CGGAAAAAAAAAAAAAAAAAAAAAAAAAAAAAAAAAAAAAAAAAAAAAGAAAGAAAAGAAAAAAAGAAAAAGAAAAAGAAAAGAAAATACTAACCCCCAAACAATCCTGCAAACTCCTCCACCTCCCATCCTCCTCACTCGCCACCAGCCTCTGCCTCCACATCTCCCCAATCCACTCCAACGACCACGCGCTCGTGCGTACCAACAAGCTCCCACTATTCACAGGAAAGCAATCCGGCGTCATAATCAGATCAATCTCCTCCCTTCTGGTCACATCTTCATCCACGTGCTGCTGCTGCTCCAAAGCTTCTCGCACCACACTATCCAACGTAATAGAAAAATTCGTCACGATCAAATCATAATCGGTCCACCAGATCCATTCGTAAGAATTCTGACCGGCGAGTTTGTTTTGGATGATTTTGGCCATGGTGGTGAGGCGGTCCCAGTCTTTGCTGTAGGAGGGTTCACTGTTGCTGTTGCTGCTGCTACTTTTGTCAAAGTCCCAGACAATGTCATAATTATGTGTGGCGGCGTAGCGGAGTTTGTTGGAGATGACGAGGAGGTCGTAGGAGTTTGGTTTGTCGTTCATGGAGCCGAGGATGAATTTTGATGAGGAGGAGGCTGCTGATATGGTGGTCGTAGGGCTCCATATTGTTGGAGTGTCGGCAAGGGCAGCAGCATTGCTCAGAGGCTTCTGAGGGACGGGTGTGGGTGGGAGGATTTTGTGATTATCATTCTTCGCAGAGCGCACTCCATAACGGTAGGCTACGTATCCTTGGATGATGAAGGCGATGAGGAGCAGCAGTTGGCTTCGGTTGGGGACATGCGATCGATTTCTTCGATACTCCATGACGCCTGTACGAGCCATGCACTCGATTGTCCTTGGCGATGAGGTGGTGTATAGGGAGCTGCAACCCGAGTGAATGTTCCCATTCGCTCGAAGAATGTCAGTCAGGTAGTGCACGCAATATCAGCTCCGATGCGAGCGTCAGCCGTGGCTAATCACGGAGCGCTTCATAGCCATCCGTAACCCATATAACCTGCATGTGGCTTGCATGATGCTCCACGAGAGACCGCAAAGTACATTCAAGACCATCTGCTTCCAAGTCCGGATGATTGGGATTGCGCTTCCAGCCAATCATGAGAACTATACAGGCTGGGACGGCCAGCTGTTCAATCGCAGTCCATGCGACTTCTCGGCGCCAGCGATGTCTTGCCGTCTCTGGCTTTTCAATCTCGCCATCTCGCAGTGGCATGGGAAAGATAAGGTGTGTCGTTGTCATATAAAGTGGGAAGAGACGCCAGGCCGGAGATGGCGACGTGTAACTTTGTACCTCATTTGATACAAGTAGTCCAGGTATGGTATAGACAACTCCAGGTATAGTGGACATATATATGTACACGAGCTCTGCACTTCCGAATGAACCGAAGATCCTCGTCTACAAAGTCGGCGCATTCTCTGCACTCGTCGGCTCAGCAGCCATATCGACTTGCATTTGCCCTCCCGTAGGCGAAGCAGAAGTGGCCACAGAACGGTTCCTCCGCTCCTGCTTCTGCATTCTCTTCTCCTCCCTCCGCCAAATCCACACCGGTCTCCCGGCCTTCAATTTCACGTCCCTTAGGATCTGCTCCTTGATATCCGAAAGTACAGCCTTTCGATCTTGCTCTTGTGATGAATTTTCCGCGACTTGGCCATCTTCCTCCACTCCTTGTTCTTGCTCTGCTACAGATCGCTGCAGTGCAGCATCCCAATTGGCACTCCGACTTTTCCACATGCCAATCTTCAAGTCTGTCACAGTATCTGCTCTCTCCTGATCAGGCCTCGGGGCAGTATTTCTCACTAGTCCCATAAAGTCGTGTTGCACTTTCCCGGGCCACTCTTCTGCATACTCTGCATCGAGGGCATTGGACCATTTGACAGATATGCCATCCATGGTGAAGACAGGAGCCCTCAACAGTTTGATGTCCTTGAGCTCTGCTCCGGTGATGAAGTTACCCTTCTTCTTCAGGTTCATTGTAATACCTTCTTGCACTGCGCGGATAGGATCGAGCTCGGTGGGGTAGGGTTCGATGTATTGTTTCCAGTCGACTGGTTCCGTGGGAGTAGTGGTTGCCTGTGCGCGCATCTCTTCGGGAGCTCGTTGCTCTGCAGCCTTCACAGCTTTCTTGGCAAAGAGGATCTTCTTTCTCTTTAGCACCATGTGGTCCCGAACTACTTTTGCTTTCCGCCTCTTTTTATCTTCATCCATTCGTTGCTTCATTGGGTTGGTCTTATCCAGACTTCTTTCGAGATGCTCTCGGACCTGTGCATCCCATTCCGCAATCTTGGCTTCCAACTTTGCCATGCCACGCTCGTCGGTCACGGCCAGACTGCAGATCTCATCTATCATCTGCCTTTTCCGCGTTCGCGTCGCATTGCGCTGCTGTTGCGCCAAAAGCATCCCTTGCCGCTCCTGCCGCAATAAGATAGTAGCCAAGTCGGCTACGCTATTTGCCTTCTGGTCCATGACCATTTTGGCGCGCATCTTCTTCTTTTCCCGCTTGATGACGTCGAAGACGGTTTCCTTTTTGCATCCGCCTCGATTTTGCAGCTTCTCCTTTAGCTTCTCTATCTGCTTTTCGGTATATGGACGTTTGATCTCCTCGGTAAGTTCCCAATTCGTTTCGTGGAGCATACGGTATTCGCGCAGCAGCTCGAACAGCTGAAGACCTTGTCGTTGGTCGGGGACGGAGACGGTGAAGAGCGGTCGCCAGATGTCCTTGCGCAGCTTGGGAGGGTTATTATTGGCGCCTGCATCGGGCAGTTGGGACAAGTGCGATGGCTGTGAGTCGTACAGTCAGCATGATAGAGCGAGACATTGAAGTGATGGAATCGAGAGACATACTCGTAGGGTTCGTTCCAACGAGTATAGGACTTGGTTGGTGCGGATGTTAAAGTAGGCGTAAACATATTTTCCATGCCCGCGCGGTCCCAATTGGGCTGCGCGACTGCTCTTTTGCATGATGGAGGAGGATGAGAAAGAGAGAGAGGAGAGGATCACCTGCACTCCCGCCCAATGTGAAGGTGAAGGTGAAGGTGTGCGAGGACGAAGACGGGAGTTCGTACGGCCAGACGGCTTTCTGAGTGGAGAAACCCGCTTAACCTAAAGGAGATGCCCTCCTGAGTAAAGTATCTAGATACACCCTACCCACGCCACGTTACTACCTCCACCTCCTACTAGATAACTACCTAACAGCTCTGTATAAGCATCCCTATGGTAGGAGAAGTATCAAATCGTCCATACCCTCGGAATCTTCGTTATTGTGCTAGAAAAGACCACCTCACAAAGCGTAGTTGACAAGGAATCGACACATTGACTGTGAGATAATCCAGTGCACAGGCGCGATGTGGATTGATCCTGGTAGTTGGCTTGTACCACAGGTCTCGACAACAGCTTGCTGACAGGAGGAGATGCTTAAAGAGGATCTATCATTTGTGAGTGTAGAGCAAAGCCAATCTGAACTACCAAGATCAAGACGAGACTGCGGCCCCCGACTTGCTATAACAGTGCTGGTCTTCGTCGTTTCGCAATTGTCCCGTAGTCAAGCGCGAGCTCGACTGCAGATGTTTCCGACTCCTGGCTGAAAGACCCTCTAGTTGCAATATATCAAGCCTAGGCGTTGCTTTGAGTTTGGCTAACTGAGGTATGTTTAGCAGATATTCTTAACAGGCAGTGCAGCATCATTCGCATTAGCAATAAAACTATCTCGCCGATGCTGAATCCAGGCCTGGGTATTTCGATATACTGTAGCTCCGCTACGGAACCTTTCCAAGGTGCTGGTCATTGCATAAGCCCCAACTGGGTCGTATAAGATTCCGTCTAGCCTGTCAAACACTCCCTTAGCTGTGTAGCATATACTTCCAGCTGGCCGCTACAATTGATAGCCGCTATTATATATGGATTTCCATTGTACGCCAATGAAGGCTTGCGACAGTTCTGAAGCTGAAGATACCGCGAGCTCCTATAGCTCCATAAGACATAGCTTGGATCTTGGTCACATATGGCATCCTCGACGCGCTTTTGCCCTCTTGAAAGTTCGGGGGTACCCAAAGGTTTGGACAATTGGCCGAGGCGATATACTCCGTCCTCTTTCCGGACTATAGAGGATGGATTGACTCATAATGTAGACCTCTACTTCGTTGTCAGAGTACCAATCCCGGCCAGCACATACTCGACATGGGATTATCGTAGACGCAGACTCTACGTGCGCTCAAGTCGGGGCCACTACCGCTCGCCAGCTGATGTAGGCGACGATGATCCGATATCAGCAATCTCTATCGTCTTCGTTGCTCGATACCAATCGGTGCAATTACGCCTGGCGAACACCTGTAATCCAACTCTTTGAACGCTCGCTGCGTCAAACGCACTTTAGACAGCGTGTCCCTGAAGTGTGGAGGATAGTCGCGTGGCGTGTTGGTCTTGCCCCATTTCGCGGTAGAACATTGATCATTCTCGTTCGCGACCTGCGCGCTGGCATGCTCTCGCTGTCTTTTTCGCGGGAGGGCAGGAGTAGCTGAAGGCATGGGAGGCAGTAAGTGCGCTGGTGCGAAGCGCAGACATGTCGACGGTAGGTACCTGTATGCTGCAGAAGAGATGAGCGCGCAGTCGCTTGCCGCTGTTGACGCCTGTACATTCGTCGACGTCCCACAGAAGGAAGCCAAACTCGTCGAAACCAGCTGCGGCCTGCTAATGCCTGTATTCCGGGCCGACGGGACGTTCCCACAGACGGCAGCTGCCTAGCGACCGAGATGGGATCACGTGCACAGGGCTCGGTGTACTTCACATGTAACTTGGAAGTGCCGCCTCATCCTAGCAGAGTCTAGATATGTATCCAGCGCGCGATACCCTGCATTTAGCCGGGAGTGGATGCTCTTAAAGGTTGTGATTCCAACTCCCCATCTACATTCACTTCTCACGCCAGAACTTTGTCAGTTTTGACCGCAAACAACAATGGCAGCATTCCGTGTTCAGATGGATTTCAACGGAGGAGTGGACAAGTATCCGGCAAAATCACATGCGAGAAGGGTTGCAGAGAAGCTCAATGTCTGCGAAGGCGTCATCCTCCTGGCGGCCACGAACGCAAGAAATTGGCCCAACTCGGATATGCCAGCACCTTTTCGTCAAGATCGCTATTTCTACTACCTGACAGGATGCAACGAGGCTGATACGTTCGTCACCTATGATATTGGTGAAGATCTTTTGACATTATGGTTACCTACCATCGACAAGGCACGCGTCCTCTGGTATGGTCGAGGCAGCACTGTGGAGGAAGCGCTGGAGAAGTATGATATAGATGCAGCCCACTATATCAAGAGTAAGCCCGGTAGCTCGATCGACGAGCTCGCATTGAGAACATGTGTCAATGTCCACGGCACCAAACCCGTTGACACGAAGCCATTGCGGCATGCCATCGACGCGTGTAGAGTGATCAAGGATGAGCATGAGATCGCCTTGATCCGACGCGCCAACGACATCACAGCGGAGGCCCATATCAGTATCATGAAAGGTATACATACCTTCAAGACCGAGGCGGAAGTAGAAGCGGCCTACACGCAAGTGTGTATTGCAAAGAATGCGAAGACGCAAGCCTACGACCCTATAGTTGGCGCTGGGCCCAACGCAGCCGAATTGCACTACTCCCGGAACTCAGCAGCATTCGGCAATGGACAGACTATCGTTGTGGATGCTGGCTGCGAGGCCGGCAGATATGCTGCAGATGTGACTCGCACTCTTCCTCTAAATGCCAAGCATCTCGGCTACTGGCCCTCAAAGGAAGCGGAGAACATCTACAAGCTCGTGGAGAAGATACAGGAGGCCTGCATCAAGCAAGTGCTTCCTGGCAACCAGTTCGTGAAGACGTTCTGGTATGCCCATGAGCTGGTGATTGAAGGACTCTTGGAGCTCGGCATCCTCGTGGGTGGTTCAGTGGCCACCATCTACGCAGCGGGGACGTCGCAGGCATTTCTGCCGCACGGATTGGGCCATCATGTCGGGCTGGAAGTACATGATGTTTCGCCCGATTCACCTCCGCCACTCGCAGACGCGAGCATGGTACGTGCCCAGAAGCTGGAAAGTCTCAAAACGGCATTCACGTCCTGGAAGCCAGAATGGGCACCCCAATTTGATGAAGCAGCACTGGAAACTATATTAGCCATGAGTGAAGAAGGAGCGCTCAGTCCTTTGCTGCATGCTGTAGATGCCCCATTGCTGGAACCGGGAATGGTCATTACGGTGGAACCGGGGATCTACTTCAACAAGTTCTTACTCGACAATTTCTTTCTTAATGATCCAAAGCATCTGAAACATATTGATCTGAAGGTACTCGAGAGATATATGCAAGTCGGGGGTGTGCGCATCGAAGACGATATCTTAGTCACGAAGCACGGTTATGAGAATGTCACGACGGCGCCGAAGGGTGATGCGATGCTCAAGATTATTCGCGAGGCATCTGCATGAGCTAGCGTCGTTTCCATCTCGCTACAGTTGTGATCATTCTGAGTGGCTTGGGATGTTGTAGTCGCTCGCTAGTTGGACAAGTAAAGTGAAGCTTGTCATGGATGGCGGTCTTGCCGCATGTCTTCGAACTGAAAGAGCGAGATTTGCAACGTGCGCCGATGTGCTTTTGGATGAAACCCGTAGTAGGTAGTCGAGCATGGTGGTCGCGAATGCGAAGGGCAGATGTGGATGTGCTTGTATTGGAAGCCACCCTGGAGCCGAGGAATTCTCCATAGGTGTCGTAGGAGCGGCCGGCTTCTTGACTACCGGACGTATGTAAATGAAATGCAGGCTGCGAACAATGCGAAGCCGTCTGTCGAAGGTACCCACGTTGTCACGTATACCTCTTCTGCAACGCATCTCGAAACCAGAGGCCGATGCCTTTGCCGCACTTCCCAGTCCATGCCCTCATCATCTCCACCCGGCTCGGAGAGGCTTGTGAATGCAGGATTTACGCAAGTGCTATGTAGCGAGCGCAATATCACATGCTCAGCTGTACGTGCTCGCAAGACCTTCCTCATCCTGTAAACCATAGCCAGGAGTCTGCTTGAGTGTGACAAGTAGATGTTCGCCAAGTGCAGCACATCCTGCAATCGCGCAATCGCGCAAGTATTCGCGCCAAGTCTTCGATGGACGTCTCTCGGGGAGAGGCGGAAAGTGTATTGCTTCGACCACAGATAGCGTCATAGTAGCGCCAATGGGACTGGTCGGGTAAGGTTGATGGTCTTGTCTGGTTATTGGAGACGACTTTCTGTTCAATCTCCCTGCTTGGTCGAGTCGTTCGAATGCTTCGCCGAGGCCCTGCCTCAAGTCCAACTCTGCCATTGTTACCTTCACCAATGCCGAATCTTCCACTTCGCATAGGCTGAGGCATGTAAAAATCAGCTCTTAGCAAAGCCAGACTTGCCTTTCCGCTTGCCAAAGGTGACGCTTCGTGGTACGAACTGCAACGATGACATTGACTTCATCACAGCTTCGAGGGCGGGATCTTCATCTCGTGCTTTCGCTACATCCATGGAGCGCTGTTTCATTGGCAGCTCGTCTGGAACAGTCTCCTCAGTCTCTTGGCTAGCGCTTGTATCGTCTGTCATCTGAGTGGCCTGCGTGGCGGAGCTCGCCCTCCGTGCGCGGCTGCTTTTTCGATGGCCATCTGAGTCGATGCCACGCCTGAGCATAGTCCACTTCCCGTCAATCCCATTGTTGACGACTAGAAAATCGTAGTTCTTCGGATAATGATGTTTATCGACCAAATGACTTCTTCGCTTTTTCCAGTCGATGCAGACCTTGTCGCAGTCTTCCAAGAAGCAGGCAAAGGTTTTGTCACCCCTCTCGCGCTTGACGGCGATGATGGGGTCGTGGTTCTCGCTCAAGTGTAGCTGCAGGAAGTGCGATGTTGGGAAGTTCCTACGGCATTGCTTGCAACGATTGGTGTGTGAAGCGTTGTAGTGAGATTCGTAATCCGAATACGTTGGAAAGCTCATCGCCTTGTGCGGTGGCAATAGGCATCGGAAGACTGACTCTGTTCGTGTGAGCGCCGCCTCCTCCAGCTCGACATACTTGGGCGTATGACCCGCCTCCTCGACAGTAGCACTGGGCGCGTCCTCAGGGGTAGAGCCGTGTATAGACAGAGATGGTTCGCGGACTCGCTTGGCCATGATGTTGACAAAGTGAGCAGGCAGCAGCTACTACTAGTAAGTGTGAAGAACACCCCAAAGTCTGCCTTGAAGTGCAAGAAGTGAGCCTCAGCAGATCGTGTGAGCCTTGCGGAGCTTCCAGCGCGTTCCTCTTCGTGCTCTTGCTGTGAGGAGCGACACCAACACAACAACAACACCAACCAACCTAACGAGGGTTGTAGTCCGCAACAACAACCTCACTCACCATTTGGCGGTGCAGCGCGAGACTAGTCTGCCTCAAGGGGGTGGATCTTTTGCTTTCCTGTTCCTTCGGGCCGCCTTGGTCGCTCGAGCCAGCGGCTGCCAGCCTCCGTTAACTCACTAGTTGATCCACGGTCCACCACTACTCTTACCTCACCACCAACCTCGTCAACGACCACCTTTTCGACTGGCTGCACCAACACACAACCCCCGACCGCGCTACGACCGCCTCGCACTCGACGCTCCTCGACTACGATTCAATAGCGATACCCGCGTCGTCGCCGACGGCCGTTCCTCACCATCCACCATTGCTCACTTCACCACCACCGACAACAACGCCCACATTCATGGACTGCGCCCGTCCGGCCACGTTCACGCCTTTTGACCAATCCACTTAGCCTCCTCAACCCCAGTGACGGAACCGTCGTTGCCTTTTCCTCGTGGTTGCTATGAGCAACACGCAAGAATGGACATGGAACGCCCGCTCCGCCAACTGCTTGCGGACGAGCTCGCCGCTGAGCATACTGTCCAGTACATGCTGAACAACTTCCACGCACAGCATTTTGACGAAGTCAGGAATGCCTTCGCAGCCTATACCGCCTATGTCGCCGGCATCGTGCCCCTCGACTTCGAGCATGCCGAAGAGCACGAGTTGCGCTTGTGGTGTGCCCATTCGCTGGGCAGGAAGCGCTTCCACAAAGTGCTCAGGGATTTTAGAAAGAATGAACCGCAGGAGCATATCCAGACCAAATTCATAGTCAAGGCCTACCTGACCTGGCTCAAGCAGAGCGAGAAATTTTACCGCTCTTACATCGCCATGCTAAGCGATGCGGCTGGCGGAATCCACGAGCTCCAGCTCATTGCGCACCTCCCGACTGGGGACGGTGCTGGTCTCCACGCACCCAGAGACATCACACCATCCCGGCGCGACACGATTCTCAGCTCCTGTCATCGCGCTCTGATCAGTCTTGGGGATCTGTCTCGGTATCGCGCTAGTGAGAAGCTGGACAGACATCCTGACTTTGGTCGGGCCTTTGGCTACTACGGCCTGGCGACCACCATCAAGCCGTTTGCTGGAGTGGGCCACCATCAACAGGCCGTGATTTGCCTTGAGCAGCGCAATCACCTACGCGCGATCTACCATTTGTATCGCTCCATGACGGTGGCCGAGCCTCATCCCTTAGCCGAAAAGAATCTTCGTTTGGAGATCGACCAGGCCATTGCCGCATACGATAAAGGTGAACTCATTGTGAAGCGTGCACCGAACGACCCGGACGCAGCCAAGCTTTCACTTGTCGGTTGGTTCGTGCGACTTCAGAGCATGTGCTACCAAGGCAGGCCCTTCCGTGAACACGAGCAGCTCGAACGCGAGGTGCTTGCTCAGCTCTCCAATGTGCTCAAACAGCGACCATTGAACGGGGCTTTTTATCGCATGGTATCGGTCAATATTTCAGCTCAGCACATCGCTGGCGAACGCTTTCAGTGTAAGTGCGATCCAACTCTGCATTTGACCTCTCGCGCTGATCCACTTATCCCAGTGTTCAAGACCGAGGAGCTTCGGCTGAGCTTCCTGTTCTATCTTCGCCTGAACTTGAAAACCTTCACGACTCTTCTCAACCTCTTTTGCAACGACCTCCGGAACCTGCTCCGTGGCATGGTGACGCATGATCATCCCCTGATTTTCAAATTGACCGAAATATGCTGTCGGCTGTTGCCCCAACTGCGTGTTTATAACAACTGGCTCTTCACGATGGTTGAAATGCTTCACGGCGTGGCAAACTATGAGTTCGTCGCTGAATCTGTTGGCCAATTCTGGCCGATCTACGGCAGAGCCATCGACCTCATATGCCAGGCATTCCCAATTTGGGAGTTCGAGGATATGAACGTGGTCGAGTACCTGCTTGAGGAAGACGTGGAGACCCTTGGTTTCTTGCCGCTCCTGTCCGACACAATGCCTCAAACCCGCAAGACCTGGTTTAGTCAAGCCACAGGCAATCAAAAGCCGCGCTACTATGATCCGGGTGTTGTGCGTTTGTCGGTCAATGAAGAGATGCTTTATCGCATGTACGATTTCATGGCTGGCGGACTGAACATCGCTGAGATAGACATCACTCCAGTGCACATTCAACACCCAGGGACCAGGGTGTATTATGGAAGCCCAGACAACATTGAAGCCCTGACTTCGCCAGAGCCTGGATACCAACCAGAGCCGCCACCGAAAAAGACCGTCCAGCCCGAGCGTGTTAGCTATGCTACTGCAGCTGCGAAAGGACGCGCTGAGAAAGCCGTCCAGCGGCCAGTTCCGAGCGAGCCGACTATGGCTAAGATCCAGGCCCAGTTCGCTCAGGCTGCACGCATGGTCCACAATCTGGTCGAGGACGACGATGAAATTGCTCCGGTCAACGATGATAACAACCCAGTGACGCCGCCGCAGCTGCTCGCAACTGCACCAGCCATTGTCACCAATGGCGAGCTGCCGATGCATGGGCAGGATATGGCGTACGATATCTCGGTCAAATCTTCCCCAAAGATCGGAACGCCCTGGAATAATCACTACAATGCACGTCCCAAGGTGGCCTCCACATCCGCGGGAGCTTGGAGACGCCCAGATAACAGCCCAGCCGCGAACTTGACTGGACAAGCTGAGCGTCTTCATTCGGAACGCCTTCACACGGCCTCCAAATTCTCGGATGGACTCTCTGGAACTTCGTCGTTCCCGGCAGACCTGCCAACGGGCAGCATGGCCTCCCCAGTCAATGGCATCCCAGGTGGCCACGCTCGCGTCAACTCTGCGAGTAGTGCTCGCAGCAAGAATTCCCTCGGCACGGTCGACCCGTGGGCTTCCAGCCATCCGGTTGATCCATGGGCGCCCCGCGTCCTGTCTGATGGTCCCGAGATGACGTCCAGTCTGGACCAGAACAACATGTCGAGCATTCTTCTGTTCGGTGCTGGAAACAGCCCGTGGAGCACAGGCGTGCAGCCTGGCTTCGGCCATCCGCGCCAGCAGTTCGGTCCCGGTGGCTGATCGTAAGTCAAGCAGAGAAGCAATCCGCTTCTGACAGACCTCACCACCATTAGCATCCAGTAGAGGATAGATCTAGGCACCATGCTGCCCCGCCCGCACTTCACCTCCGAGCACTCATATACTGCAACAACTTCGACGACTTCTCTCTCTATCTCCACCCTCCTCCTCGCAAAAGAGGAACAGACTTGTGGACACCGACGCGATTGATTCTGCGAAGAAGTGCAATCACATTGGGCGACACGAGACTCCGAACGGGCCGCCATTCACGGCTGGCCGGTTTAATTATTGGAACGAGAGGAGAAGGCGCGAGACACTTGGCGTGCTTACCCACTGCGTGCGAGAGCGGCATCAGACGACAGGGCATGTCATGTATGCTTCCTGTGCTTTCTGAACCGCTCCCACTCGATTGCGAACATGCCATTGACTTGGAATGTTTCCAGCAGACTTTGATTCACAGTACGACAGACATTCGTTATGCGCAGGAGATTAACTAGGCAAAAGTAGGTACATGTAAACAGACAAAAAACAAATGGGAACAGAAAATTGCTTTGATACTGTGCAGTGGACTCGTGGGGCGTTGTGGAGTTTGCTGATGACACGAACCAACTGACTGACTGACGGGACGCACAAAGACGTGCAGTAAGGTACCATATAGGTTCCATTTCTCGTCTTTCTCCATCCTTTCACGCCGAACACATCCGCCACTTTTCGAAGCCATTCACCGCCTTCTTTCTCCACCTTCCGACCCTCATATTTTTCGACTGCCATGCCGAGACATTGCGAACGCTCCGAGACATGAACGTCCCACGTCTGACTGCCACTGTTCTTCTGGGCCTGTCCATTCGCGAGAGCTCACCTTCGCCGACATGAGCTGGGCAATTCCGGTTTCGGGTCATTTCAGTGATATCAAATGAGATTGGTTGCGCGCAGACATGCTGGCAGAGATACTCGGGCCGTCATAATAATGGTGCAGATGGGGATATGAGGCGCGTATTCGGCCATCTGGCACGAAGCTCAGCTAATGCTATTGCAGCCATGCTGAGTATTGAGCCGTGGCAGTACTACTGCACCGTACATTCGCTGGCTATGAGAGCTGCCCATGATTAGGATCCGTCGGGAATCGTGAGATGAGATCGCCTCGGAGCAGACTACAGGACATGGAAGTAGCTGGACTGGCGCTCATGGCTGACTGCAGCAGCAAGTGATACACCCACACCCACACCCACACACACACTTGTGCAAACGAGTTCGAGCTGTGGACATTGCAATACGCCCGCGAGTAGCCTTTGTGCTGGCTGCAAGAACATCAAGTATTGCTGTTTGAGCCCGAAGCTGCCCTGCGCGAAATCATACTGCTTTGAGCCTTCGAGCGCACTCGCCTGACGACGATGAACATGAGGACCAGGACAAGGAGGAGGGGAGTGACGACAAGAACAAGGATAAGGATCACGAGGACAATCACAAGGACACCAGTCGAGGATGAGATACATCAACGAATTCGAAATAGGGCATTCCATTTTCCCAACCCACGGACAGTCTGTCCAGGACTCCAGGACATCGCCAGTTTTTTTGATAGCGGTCCCACTACAGCGAAGGACCATATGTGGAAAATCCATCATCTTAGTCATCGATTACATATTCACGGACGTTTGGCCGAGCGGTTAAGGGTAAATATTAATCCATGTCCGGGAATACCACCTTTGCATACGGCAGTCACTAACGATAATTTCTTCCATCAGCGCCGTCTTAAGGTTAATGAATCTCTTCTCCCAGAGTTCTTCCTCGGCGGTTCGAAAGAGCGCAGGTTCGAGTCCTGCAGCGTTCAATTCGTACTCGTTTTTTTTTCTTGGAGTTGGAAAATGGAAGGGTAGAAGGGATGGATGGATTGGAAGTCATTTGATATTTTTTTTTCTTTGGCTCTGTTTGCTCTTGTCTTCTGACCTAGGTACCTACATGTACCGCACATTGTGAGAGTGGAGACATGGAAGAAATGCTTTGCAATTTTGGGGGGCTTTTTTTTACAGGTGGGTACTGACTGTACTGTGCCTTCTAACCATGTTCGACTTCGGAGAATTCGTCTATTTAGCCACCTCATCCTTCAGGTACCTATTCATCAGATGATGTTCTTCTTCTTCTGATGATGATTCATAGCTTGCTTGATCTGATCAGGCGTGCTCGCACTCTATGGTTTATGGTTCATGGTTCCATACTACTTTATCGAAACTATGTCCACATTACATGTACCTCTTTATCCAACCATGCTTTACTCTTTGTCATCACCTACTGCTATGAGTCACTAGTACACTGCGTGAGTCTGCTTTTAGGGTAACAGGTACGGACTGCAAGGATGAGGTATGGATTGATGAGGAAGGAGAGTAGGAGGGAGAGAGACAATACGGCTAGAAAGCACATGTACCTGACCATTCGAATTTGGAGGATAAGGTACTCGTCAATCAGGTATGCTACTAGGTAGTCCAAGAGATGATGTGATGAAGCCCTTTTGGTAATAAAAGTCTTTCGGTATTAAGCTCTAGGAGGTACCAAACTCCACAGAACTCCCCCCAACGGGACGGCGTGAAAAGCTTCTGTAGCAGCAAGGCAGTAAAGTCCAATGTAAGCTTTCCTGCCCGGACGTGACATGTAAAGATGAGGTAAGCAATACATATAGCGGGAGCGTCCTTCTACAGTACCTACCCTACCTTACCTATCTACCTACCTAGGTACCAGTGGTTTTGCACTACCAGACTTCATCAGATTCTCATTTGGTTGAAAAAGAAAGAAAGAGAAAGAAGACGTGAGGAACGAATTCTTTCCTTCGCTAGTGCTTGCAAGGCATCAGCATCAGCATCGGCATCGTCTCATGTAGACCGCATCTAGATCTGCTGTTGTCCATCAAGATCAGAGATTGGGTATAGGGACGGATACAAACCTTGGGGGAGTAGCGAGAGCCGTCCGTCTTTCAGTTAGTGGTGATAATATTAGAATTATCCGGCTTCTGATTGGGGGATTCTAGCTTTGCTCGTCGATATTATCAGGGAGTGGTAGAGCCACTGCGTCCGTTCTCTTTTTGGTCGGTGCTTGGAGTTAGACGCTGCGCTGACCTCTTCACCTCATGTGTGACGGTTTGAGCTTTGTCTATCGAGATGTCAGAGAGTGGTAGAGGATGGAGCAAGCTATACTTTCCGGTCTTTTTTCGCCTTGCGCTGCTGCTTGTAGTAATTCGGATAATCTCTCGCCTCACATGACGATTCCCGCTTGGCTCATCGATATCAGAGATTGGTGAAGGACGGATACGAACCTTGGGAGCAGCTATAGCCTCGGTTCTTCTTTGGACTTTCGCTGGTGCCGTTGGTCATCCCGCTGATCGGTCGCCTGATGTGACGGGTTTTGAGCTTTGCTCATCGATATCAGAGATTGGTAGAGGATGGTCACAAACCTTAGAGGCAGCAGGAAGGTATAGTATAAGTGTCTCCTGTCCCCGGATAGGATCCTGCTGCATCATCATCCTGCTTCAGCATCATCCCGCTTCAGCATCATCCTGCTTCAGCATCATCCTGCTTCAGCATCATCCCGCTTCAGCATCATCCCGCCTCATCATCATCATCATCATCGTCCTTCATACCCAACCTACTTCATACCCTTTGTTACGGATTGGATTCATCACATCGCGCAACAATGTTTTCGCTTCTCGTCTCGTCTCTCCTGGCAGCGACGGCTGCTATTGCAGCGCCTTCGTCGCACGACAAACGTGGCGAGGACTTGACGACATGGATGGAAGCCCAGCATCCCGTTGCCATCGACGGCATCTTCAACAACGTCGGTGAATCGGGCTGGCCCAAATCTCGCGAAAATGCTAAAGGGGCCGCGGCGGGAGTTTTTGTGGCCTCACCATCGAAGGTGAACCCCAACTACTACTACACCTGGTAAGTCATCATCGATCATCGATTATACTGGTCACTGACATTGATCTCTTTTCCTCTTTCTAGGACTCGCGATTCGGCCATAGCGATCAAGGCGCTCGTGGATGATTTCCTTGCCAATGAGACTCCAAAGGTCGAGGAGCAGATCCGCATCTATATTGACGCGCAGGCAATGATTCAGAACATCACCACCCCTTCCGGATCTACCTGCGATGGCGGACTCGGCGAGACCAGATTCCAGGTGAACATGACCGCGACCAATGATGACTGGCCTCGTCCTCAACGCGATGGACCCGCTCTTCGTGTGACCGCCCTAGTCGCATATGGTCGATACCTCTTGGATACCAAGCAAGAACACGCAGCGAAGACGAAGATTTGGCCAATCGTGCAGAATGATCTGGCCTACGTCTCGGAGAACTGGAATAAGAGCACGTATGACCTCTGGGAATCGATTGAAAGCTCTTCGATGTTCGCAACTGCGGTAAGTGAATTCATGTCTGCTGCGCCGCCTTTTTCTCCAAGAGACGACATACCCTTTACTCATACTTTCTTCTTCTCTGTAGGTCCAATACCGCGCTCTGGTGGAAGGCAATGGTTTCGCCGCGTCGATTGGAGAGAAATGCCCGAACTGCGAGTCGCAGGCACCACAAGTACTGTGCTTCCTCCAGTCATACTGGAACGGCAAGTACATGATTGCCAACACAGGCGGTGGACGGTCTGGAATCGACGTGCCCTCCATCTTGGCGAGTATCCACGTCTTCGACCCCGAGGCACCATGCGACGATACCAGTTTCCAGCCGTGCTCCGAAAAAGCGTTGGCCAACCACAAGATCGTCACGGACTCCTTCCGCGAGATCTTCCCCATGAACAAGGACGTTCCGGCCCACAAGGCGGTCGCTGTCGGTCGGTATCCCGAAGACGAGTACATGGGTGGAAATCCGTGGTATTTGAGCAATTTTGCCGCAGCGGAACAAATCTACGACGCCCTCGCTCAGTGGAAGCGCCAAGGAAAAATCGTAATCACCGAAGTGTCCTACCCGTTCTGGCAGGTGCATAATTCCACGGCACAGCTTGGGACATTCGAATCCTACACGCAAGACTTTAAGAATATGATCGAAATGATCGGTAGCTATGCCGAAAACTTCATGGAGGTTGCGCGCAAGTTCACTCCCAGCGACGGCTCGTTGACGGAGCAGTTTGACAAGAACAATGGTAAGCCGCAGTCGGCGAGGGACTTGACTTGGTCGTATGCGGCATTCATCTCGGCATATAATGCTCGAAAAGGTGCATTGCCTGCTTCGTGGGCAGCCGGACAGGTGAGTTGTTGTTCTTCTTCTTCTTGAGGGTGTGGTCGTCTTGTTCAAAAGTCCAGCTGCTAACACTTGTCAATCTCTAGTCCAAGGAGATTCTGCCGAGCGAGTGCGCTCCTACTTCAGCCAAAGGTGCTTGCAGTCCGCCGATGAAGATGGACTGGCCTCTGAATGACCGTAATAGCAAGTAATGTCAGGTAGTAGTATTGAGCGGCTGGGCGTGTTTTTCATGGCGTTGGGGCAGAGCCGAGAGCCGGGCGGCCCGGACGGGCCGTACCACTCCCGGCGATAGGCCATATGGGGTGCTTTTCTTCTTTTCATAATGGGGGACAGGAGGGACATGATCGAGACGTAGAGAGACATATACTCCACTCTACTACGATTGATGTCGTTACCTTATAGTGTGCCTTACCTTCTGATACTACTCTCTTTGTCGCCTACGGCCATTCCTACGTCCTACCAGTTCCCCGCCTATGCTTCCCCTTTTACCGCGGAGCCACGCCGCGACCTACTGTGAGCCGGGCCTATCCAATTGTCCACCCGAGGACGGTGATAGGAGAGAGGGCTTCACGGTGATAGTAGTTAGCCAGCGAATAGAGAACATGTTTTTTTGAGTCTTTTGGAGAACCTGTACCTGATAAGTATGCTGCTTAGGTAGAGGAGATGCTGTTGAAGAGATGCTGTTGAAGAGAACACCTCTACCTGTATCAACTACCTCCTACAGGTTTGATTGATTGATTGATACATCATTTATAAAGCCGCCTTAGAACACGAAGTGTTACGTAGCTCTACCCTAACAGTATGCGCTAGACATAAGTTACGTAGACCTAGCCGTAGGCTATGCGGAAAAGGCGGTTATTATGTTTAGGAGAAGAATTCAAAGAATACTACCCCGAGAGATAGGATTCAAAGAACGCTCTTTTTCCCCTAAGAGGTAGAATTCAAAGAATGCTTCTCCGATATTTGGCTAACCCCTGTCCGCTATCGGCCTTCTCCGATAAAAAACTCCTCTCTTTATACTAAGAGTAGGAGAAAATCGAAGGCTCGATAGAATAAGGGTAGCGCTAGTTTCTCTATCCGTATCGTATCTTAACGACCTCGTAGGATATAGGGGTATATTTCGTATATAGGGTCTCGCGCGTCTAGAAAGTAGTAGGCTATTAATCCTCCCTATACGCGCCGTATACCCCTTTTCCTAGCTCTTAAGAACACGTCTCTTTAAATCCCTTAGGCGATCTCGACTCGAGTATATCTCAGAAGGGAGGAGGGCGTTTTAAGTAGTAGTATTAGGATATACGCCGTCCTAGACTCGGTAGCGTAGTTAATAGCGACGCCGATGCACCTTTACAAGCCGATATTGAATCGCAGCTACCTCGTCGGCAAGGCATCTAGTTACGTCGATTCAAATTCTATACATACCTCTAGAGTCGTCAACTCTGTCTTGGACTAGGCGGCGGCGGCGGCGGCGGAGGGCGTCGATCGGGGGCAAAGGGGTGTACGCGCTGTCCACCCCGTCATCGACAGGAGGATCCATCGAAAAAAAGATACATGTCTTACCTCCTACAGGTACCTGTACATGTAATTGAGCGGCAGAAGTGATGACGAGGTGATTATAGAAGCCCACGACTTCTCTTATCGACTGCCATCCTGGGTCAGCAGCTCCCGTCCATATCTCCGCTCCTCATCGCGACTCTCAACTTTGCGCCGGACCGCATCACACATTCCTCAATAATGTGCGCGCCGTCTCCTTGCTTGCATCTTCACGGCCAGCATCGTAATGTGCTATGGATAACCATCCGGGAGCAGTCCTGACCCCAACTTCCTCTCCAAACGGTGCTCATCTCCCGTCACCACTACCACCATCACCACCACCACCTCCATATAGTCCGAAGCCTGCTGCTTCTGCTGCTCCAATAGTCTACTCGCGCGACTTTGCCTATGCCAACAACAAGCCTGTGATTGTTCTGCCGGCACGCATGGCCGCTACAAACATCGCAAACGCCAGCGCGAAGACCTTTGCAGAGTACGTTTCTTCCGCTTCTCTCCTTCCAAGGGTGCAAGTGAAGGACGCAAAAGAGCATGCGCTAGTCACAAGATGGAGTACTGGGGCGAAAGCCTGTTGAAGAGCATGTTGACTGAAAGGTTGCGCGAAAGGCTCCTCTCCGGACCCACTGTAGACATATACGTAGGAGCGCAAAAGAGAAAATGGACTCTGCATCAGAACCTCTTGATGCACCATTCTTCCTACTGCGAGCTCGAGTTCCAACAGTCTCGAGATGATGTTGAGAAGTCAGAGAGCAGTAGATTGGATCTCCCGCACGACGACCCCATCGGTTTCGAATTACTCGTCAAATGGCTATATCAAGGCACACTTCAAGACAGCTCCAGCTTCGACACCGATGAGACCAAGTACGAACACGCAGTAGCTTGCTTCAAATTGTGGATGCTCTGCGATCGTTTCCACATGATCAAGCTGAAAAATCTCGCCATGGACCAATATCGACGCTGTCTGACCGAAAGTCAACTCGTGCCGGATGCTGACGAGATTGATGATATTTATCGCACCAGTCCAGTCCACAGTCCCTTCAGAACTCTGATGATCAAGATCGCAGCACGACAGATGATGGATCCGGAAGTGGAGAGGAGCGCCGAGGCATATCGAAAGTGTTTCGAGAATAATCCGGATTTTGCCATGGAAATGATCAGGTCCATTCGGCAAATGTCCCAGGGTATACTTTTCGCAGACCCTACCAGAGGTGATGCGTGTTCGTATCACGATCATGCGGATGTCAGTGGTTGTCCTATGCAAGGCAAAGGAAAGGCGAGAGTGCCGATGTGTAAGAAAACGAAGATCAAGACGGAGAATGATGATGATGGCCAAGGTACGACTTTCATCCTCAAGAAAGCAAAAGGTTACATTGATGAATGACCCAAGTACTTATAGCTGCTTGAAGGATCACCATCACCACCCATGAATCAGAAGAACCCACGCGGACAACGAACTCCCTCGCCCTTGGTCCACATCGAGCTCTCGCCGGCGAAAAAAACGCCTCGCAAGCTTCGAACACCTTTCAAAATACCTTCTGCGACCACTCTTCAGCTTCAACCAGACTCTACACCAAAAACTCTTCCATCAAAACTCAACAGCCCAGAATCTAGTAATAGCCTCCTACCACCTCACACCCCAGCGAAACGTGCAATCTCAAACGATAATAGTCTCCCCAAAGGAACAACAACACCTCATCGTGACCCCACGAGCGAAGCGACGCCAAAGTCTCAAAATATTCCTCTTCCTCCTATCAATAATAGCAGACAAATAGACGACCTCTCCCAACATCAGAAATCCCAGAGAAATGCAAGCAAGAATAATATCGACATGGAGATCCAGCAGCATCAGCCTCCCACATGGCCACCTAGAACGCCATTATCCATGATCATTTCAACGTCGCAGCCAGATGCAGAGAACGCTGTGCGTGGGAACGCAAGCAGCACTATTACTCCTCCCCCCACTACTAATACCGATGATAATACTGCTCCAGCGCCACGGAGAGGCAAGTCGGAATTTATTCGCGGCACGCCTCGTAAGCTCCTTCATGTGGTGAATACTACATGTACGATTGGAGAAGAAGTTGATGATTTCAGAGGAGGAGGAGGAGGAGGAGGAGGAGGAGGTGGTGGTGGTGGTGGTGGTGGTGGTGGTGGAGAGAACAGTATGATCTTCCATGGGCCACGAAAGTTGCGAGTGAGCAGTATGGTGAGGAAGATTAATGAGGATGAGAAGCGGGAGAGACGGGCTCCTCCGAAGTTGAGGAGGAAGGGTGAAGCCACAGCAATAGCAACAGCATGAGGGACATCGACAGACAGAGAGGTAACAGCAGCAGCAACATAGTGAAAAGGGCAACGAGAATGAGAATCATGAGGTAGTTGGAAATGAAGAGCATCCTGTCATAGACAGAGTGCACCAACTATCTATCTGCAAACTCGACTGCGGCCGCAGTAAAAGGCTCCCTAGTGGGAGAGTGTACAAGCCGCATGAGTTAGTCTTTTTTGGGCGGTAACACAATAACCCGTCGCTGCCGCCCCTGTTCAATTGTGTCCTTCCGTATGCCTTTCGCTCCAGAACGCCTTCGCCAAATGCGTGCCTTATGGAAGCTTATCCCGAGCTAGCTGTTTCGTCGTCTTCGTCCATCTCGACCTTCTCGGTAGTGACCGCACCGGCCTGCTGGTCGACATCCTTGATAGAATCGCTCGTCATGGCCTTCTCCTTGTCGATGATCGCGGTCTGAAGCTCCTTTGCAACGGAGCGTAGACGTGCGAGGATCTCAGCAGTCTTTGGATTAGCACCGGACTGCTTGTCATGCTTGCTGGGACCAGAGAACTTGACCTTCTGAGCACTGAGCTCGTCTTGACCGTCGTCGTCGGATGTGTGCTTGCGCTTGACGCCATCAAGATTCGTCTGGGGCTCGGAAGTCGATTCGGCCGTGGCTACCTAAGCCTCAGTCTTCACAGCCTCCTCCTTGGCTTCTGCCTTGATCTCATCTGGCGCCGCTTGCTCCAACGTCGCTCCTTCGGTCTGCTCCTTCTTCTCCTCCTCGCGGCGAGGGCTGCGGCTGCGACTGGCAGAGCGAGAAGCGTCACGATCGCGTCCTCCACGTCTGTCGCCTCCACGTCCACGTCCACGCCCACGCCCACGTCCTCCTCGACCATCCTTCTGGAACTTGTCACGGCGATCGCGCCAGTTGTCCCGGTCCTCTCCATCCGCATCGGCGTCATCGTCATGGTTGCGCTTGCGCTTGAAGTCGCCCCCGTTGCGACCTCCTCGATTGGAGTTACCGAAGCCGGTGCGGGTTGGCGATTTAGGCTTGACGGTTCCATCAAGGATACCTTGGGACTTCTCATCGATGTACTCCTTCTTACTCTTAATAATCAGGTCCTTATCGTTGAACTTAGGCTTATCTTCCATTTCGATGAACTGCTTGGCAGCGTCTTCGTCCTCAAACTCAACAAAGACGGAGCCTTTGAATGTGCCATCTTGCTGGCGACGGAGGCGCACACTACGCACGCCGTAAGGCTGGAAGAATCTGAGAAGTTAGCAGGAAGCATCTTATGGTCAGGAACCCTACTCACTCCTCAATTTCGAAAGCAGACTTGTCATGCTCCTCGCCGAATCCTTTGGCATAAATGCTGCGTCTGATACTGTCACTTGTAAGCAACTCGTTGTTCGCAACAGTGTCCAGGGTGAATTTGCTGTCCAGAGGCTCCTTGCGGAAGACCTCGTCTTGATCGTTGACCTCAAGAAAGGCACTGCCTTTGACAGCATCGACAACAGCGCTGAATGGCTTGAAGTGGCGCATGCGCTTGAATGTGTGAAGTGATTTCAGTGGGAAAGGCTTGTTTTCCGAACCGCCAGTGTGCTCCAGAAGGTATTTGTCGATAGGCAAATTGGAGTCGGAGAAGTAGAACTCGACCTGGCGACGGATCTCGCCAGCATCGTTACTCTCTTCGTCGCGCTCGAAGCGTGTACGAACATTGCGGTCCCGGTTCTGGTAGCCGCCGCCACCTCGTCCACGGAAGCCACCATTGCCTCTGCCTCTTGCCCGCCCTCGGCCTCCACCGCGACGATCGCCTCGTCCGCCATCTCTGCGATCACGGCGGTCGCCGCCGTCGCGGTTGTCCCGGTTGTCTCTGCGATCACCCTTGCCGCCATCGTCGTGAGATCCACGTCGATCTGCATGACGTTGGTCGTTGTCAGTCATCTCAGTCTTCTCTCCCGACTTGTCGTCACTGCCGTTGGTCTTCTCAGCGCCGCCATTGGTGGCCTCGGTTGGCTTGCTGTCCTGGACCTTCTGCTCGGGCGCAGCGGCCTGTGGTTCGGCTGCAGCTTCAGCCATAGTGATGGTTGATGCCGCGGAGTATGTAGGAGCGTGCGATGCTGGTTGAAGGTGTCGCCGTTGGTAGAAGGACTAGAAGCGCTCAGTTAACAGTTGTTCACTGCCTGTGTCTTGAAGCGATTGGCAGCGCATGTGAGGGTGTCAAAGTAAGAGTAGAGCTCCGAAGCGAAAATTACATGCCTCCACTCGAGCTCTGATCGAAAACCTTGTGGTGGGGAAGGCACTAGTCAGTTCTAGGTACCTATCGATTGAGGGTTTCTGCCTTACATTTCAGGCGTCACTTCCGTGCTCCGCATCTTTCATCTGGCGGGTACCTCAGAATCCAGAATCATTGAATCCAGTGCGCCTTCCGCCCCATCTCCCATCTCACATGCATTGGCCGCGATGCCTCGCACGAAGAAGATACACCAGTTGAAGCTTGCAGTACGGCCAACACTGCTCATTCATCAAATAGTTCAGCAAGTACTAATGAAATGCGTAGCGAATCCGGCAGGACTGGTCGAAATGGAATCTGTACAATTTGTCGCGCGTGACGACGCCGCCAGCAGCGAAGCAGACATTTTTCCAGCAGAAATGGATGGCCAAAGCCATGACGCGTTCATATCATAACCCGTTTGTACGCGAAGGCACGTGGACGAGAATGTTTGATCGACGATTGCCCTCAGTAGTCCCTATGGACCACAGATATCTGGCTGCGAACGATGGGTCGGAGATGGCGAGTGGACGAGGAATGGGCAAGGAGAAGGATCCCAAAACGATAGATCCGAGAAATCGGAACCTGAAGACACCATATATGCACATGACATTTTGGCCACTGGAGAGACGCTTGGATACTGCCATACACAGGGCGCTGTTCGCTTCAAGTGTCAGCCAGGCGCGGCAGTTCGTGGTGCACGGATTTGTCAAAGTCAATGGTAAGAAGATGATCTACCCAGGATATCAATTGAATCCAGGCGACATGTTCAGCGTAGATCCCGAGATGGTGATGTTTGCGACTGGAGCGAGGAAGCTCAAGTCAAGCAGCCCCAAATCTACTCAGGAACTGCGGAGACGACACGAGGCGAGGCTAGCAAAGGCAGAAACAAAAGCTGTCAAGGAAGAGACAGGCAAGGAGGACGAAACTCTGCTAGAGGCAACACCCGCAGAAGAGGAGCAAGAGTACGGCCCCGGCACGAGCTACAGCGCGGAGTTGAAAGTTCTCATGGGACGCGCAAAGAGGATCCTTGACGAATCGAAACTGAAACTTGCGGCGAAGCGACAACAAGAACTTCGAGCATTCGCAAAATCACTAAAGAAGACATTTTCCAAAATCAAAAGTATGGAGGATCCAAAAGCACGGCAGACCGTCGATGATTTCGAGACTGCTTTGGCAGAGATCACAACGAAGATACCCCAGGATATCACTCCCGAAAGCGAAAAACCACAAGCTGCAGCAGGGACTGAAAGCTCGAACCCGCAAGCGAATTTGGGCAAGGAAGATGCATACCGCCTGAGAAAAGACGCGGAGCTTTTGTACGCTGCACTGGAACGAGCACGAGCGAACCCGATTGATTCCACGAAGCCGTATGCAACACCATGGGAGCCTAGAGAATACATGAGTGCCTTTGCCTTCATCCCCAGGTACCTGGAGGTGAACCAGAATATCTGCTCAGCCGTATACTTGAGACATCCTGTCGCGAGACCTGGACTGGCCGAAGTGCCTACACCGTTCTCAGCGGAGACGATGGAACTCGGGTTTAACTGGTATTTGAGGAGACGGTAGTCAACGTCGCATATGATATCCTGGAGCATTGTCTTGGCGGTGCAGCATCGGAATGGATGGATGAATGGTTGTAACATATGTATCCACGAGGTTCGCTTCCGCATGTACAACAACAATTCCCACAATAATAGGCTCCTCGTTAGATGTGTCAGGATGTGCCAAAGCAGCAATATTTGGTCCTATTTTGTGACAGCCGGACCACCTAGGTCCACTTGCTTTGGAAGTCCTGTTCCACCTATCGATGCGACCCGAGTCAAAGCTAGAGAGGGAGGAGGGGGGCGCTGTATGGGAATGCACTCCATGCAGACAGACATGCGAAGATCTGGCGTAGATGTACTGATTACTCGTCCAATACTGAGTGCAGTACGCAGACATGCCATGCCATGCCATGATGCCAGCATGCTTGTTTACCGTAAGTACTAAGAATATCTTGTTCGATCTTGTCGAGTACAATGCATGTGAGACGAATCGACGGGTCGTCTGTGGTTCACCGTTCATGTGAGAAAAGGAGCCAAGAACATGTTCTACCCGGCAGGCCGCAGGGTATCCTTACCTAGGCATCGATTAGAACTAAAAAACGCCAATTTCACTCTTGGCCATTCTGTCCAATCACAAGACGGCATCGGCTCTGCGCTACCATGGCTTGCAGGAATGGCGTACACCATCTAGGCAAGGTGGGCGCGCCAGTAACGGGTAATAAATGGGGGACGCTACTTTGCCTCTACCAGCAATTCAGCTATTGCGACTTTCGGTCACTTTCTCCTTTGAACAGAAATTCATCCATATGTTCTATCCTACCTCCTCGCGGTAGCAGCGCGTGATCCCACGCATTGCCATGGCGCCTCTCGTGCGGAACATCTGCTTCTTAATAGGGGCAGTGGTGATACTCGCCGTCCTGTACTCATCCACATCCATTTCGGGAGCGACGACGAGATGGACAAACCCGGCGTTAGGTATATCGGCTCTCAAAGAGAAATTTGGCGATTTGTTGCCAGAGGCCGGCGTTGACCCTGTCGTAGGGGGTGCTTCAGCAGCGAACCCGCCCAGCGCCGTGCTGGGAGTGCCAGACGATAGCATCGTCAAGAGCGACGGCGATAACAAGGTCGACGAGACTGTGCAGCCCGCACCCGAGCGGAAGGAGGGCGACAAGAAAGACGAAGAAAAAGAAGAGAAGAAAGAGAAGGGCGGCATGGAGAAGGCACTTGAGGATTCCAAAGCGACCAAGACGGAATTCAACGAAGTGAAATACGCTTTCCAGTACGACCTCGACCAGTACGCCATGCCCACGTATAATGCACGCGATTTGCGACGATATATGCCTGTCAACTGGCAAGGACCCGGCCGACACGCCTTTTGCACCTACTACTCGACACGAAATGCTACCCTTCATGATCCCTATTTCCTGGCCGCCCTCTCGCTGACCTACCGACTGCTCTGGGACCCGGCGTCGAAGTCGGACAAATACCCTCTCGTCGTCTTCGTCGCACCATTCACGCCCGACGAGCATCGACATATGCTCGAAGCGGCAGGCGCAATTGTGCGCGAGCTGGATTTGATCGAATACCACCCCGACAAGGCCACCTTCTCGCGCTGGAGGGATCTATTCTCCAAGATCAACATGTGGCGCCAGACCGACTTCGAACTGCTCGCCTTTCTCGATCTCGACGCCTTCCCCGTCCAGAACATCGACGGCATCTTCCACATTGCAGACCGACAGCGCTGCAAACCCGAATTGCTCCCCAAAGAGGACAAATTACACGAGAAAGAAATCTGCGACTACGTCTTCTCGGGCACGTCCGTCGGCGGCGGATACAAGGAAATCAACGTCGGCGTGGTCGTGTTCAATCCCAACGAAGCGATGCGAAATCGCCTCCTCCGCGAGAGCTTGCACACGGACAAGTGGGACAACTTCATGGCCGAGCAAGCTTTTCTCAGCTATGCATTTTCGGGCGATGGACCTTTTCCCGCGTCGGAAGTGGATCGCGAATGGAATGGCTTCTTTCCCCAGGATGATGAAGGACCGAAGACGGGCAAGCTCAAGATTATTCACGAAAAACTGTGGGCGGAAAATGATCATTTGACGTGGGCGAAGAACTGGTTCAGTAATGAGTGGAAGGCCATGTTGAAGATGTTCAACAGTAAGAAGTTTGTCCAGGCGAGAGAAAGTGCTGGTAGGAGACCTTTTTAAACACACTGTCGCGAGATGGGTTTTGAAAACCAAAGTCTTGGAGTTTTGTATTTGCAAGCGTTCAATAATGTACAGATTAGATGACGGGATGTTGGACATAATGGATGATGGTTACGATCGACCAGAAATGAATATCTCCCTGATAATTGCTCTCGTCATATCTTACAGTAGGTACCCAATCATCCCTCGCAGATCATCATCGTTCTCTGCCCGCCCTCTGAACTCCTTAATCTCGATCTCGGTAGAGACTAGAGCTGATCTCATATCCCACCCATGTTCCTCTCTTCAGTAGTAGCCCGCTTCAGTAGTGCCAAGCCCCACTCACAACCTTCCGATCCATGCATGCATTCCATCCGTCATCAACAACACTCTCAAGTCTCATTCAATACTTCACCCTCGGCGGCGGCGCATATCCTCCCCTCCCATCATAAGCATAAACCTCCTCCCTATAGTACGGCACTCTCGAACCTCCATAAACATCCACAACAGGCGCAGGTGCCGCAGCAATTCTCCCCACACTACTCCGACTTCTCGTGCGGGAGCGACTCCGACTGCGACTGGATCTCACATAGCCTTGTCGAGGCGGGATATAAATTTCCTCGCGCACAATCGCATTGCTGCTGCTGTTGCGTCGTCTTCGCTGTCGCCGTCGGCTGCGTTGCCGTAAAGAAGGGGTTTCGAGGATAATGTACCATGCGTGTACGACGCCGGGGATCCAGCCGAGGATGCAGAGGAAAATGTTGAGGAGGACGTGGCCGCTGCAGCCTCGTCGGATGATGACGGGGATGGGTGGGAGGACGAGGGCGATGATGCCTAGGATTAAACCGCCCTGTGGTGTGAGGTAGGTTAGTGGGCTGGGCGAAGGGTGAGTTGAGGATGGGTAAGTATGCGTACTAGGACCATCTTGATGAATTCGGTTGGTGTTCAAAGATAGGGTAGGTATGTGGTGGTAGGTGATATGAGGCTGCTGCCTCAGGTGATCGTGTTCGACAGTGGTCACTTGACGCGTAGATGATGTTGGGGCTGTCGCGATGGAGTTGATGGCTGATGGGAGCGATTTTTGCGCATTATTGGAATGAGCAGTGTACGGAACTTGAAGGACGGTGCGCGTGGACTGTCTTTTTGAAGAGATCCTTCTAGTGCACAGCCTGCGTACTATCGCTCACTTGCACATGGATACACTGCATACATGCTATACGGTGCGACTCCACGATGACGTTGCGCCGGTATACATCAAAACACGCGTGCTTATCCCTGTATGCTTGCGGTCACTGGTCAATCGGTGGCGAGGCCGCACTATTCCTCTACCACGGGACTGTACTCGTCCGTGCCCGGCATAAAGGACATGTGCTGATGGTGGTGTTGATGGTGGTGGCGTTGCTGCTGCTGCTGCTGCTACTGTTGTCGCAGCAACAGAGCCAGAAAGACTCGCTGTATTGCCAATGTTCACGCCCTCCAAGCGAGAACCACTGTACTGCTGACTGTTGACTTGGCACCGCAAAGGCAGCTGAAAGAAGCAGCGAAACGTTGGCCTCGAACATGTAACGTCGAATGGCATCACCGGACGATTGGCAATGACTGATGCCCTACGACCTCCAGCCTCCTCAGCACCGCCAAGTCTGTCGCGCGACTCGTTGCCTTTCGCTGACACCAAGTCCGAGCTACTAGGCACCAATACCACCTTTACACAAGCTACCTGTTGCCCTGCACAAGGTCAGCGGAAGCGACATACGGCATGTACGGACATAGACGGCTCACATTTGTCCATACGTCCCATCCCTGGCGACACATAGACAGCTCAGCTTCATGTCTCGCCTTCTCAACCGTCGAGGTCCCAATAACTCACCTCGTCACCATCAACACGCTCCTTCTCGTAGTCGGGCAAGTCCACTCCAACATCACTCATCATCGCCGCCTCCAACCACCGCGCGTAATGCCCATCTCCAACACTGCCCGCCACGCTAGCCTTTCCCACCCCTCTCACGCCCTCCAACAGCTTCAACACGGTAAAATCACAAGTCCCATACGAAGGCTGAAACACCTCAATCTCCAGAACATCCAAGCCCGTAAAACAGTCTGACGCTTGTCGAGCAGTAAATCTCGAATCAATATCCAGTCGCACACGAAAGAAGAACTTCCGAATCATGCTCGCGACCCGCAGAGAAGTCACCGGCGGCAGAGTAGTAGTCCCCTTTGCATTCGGCACCTTGCACAGTAAGAATGACGGCAACGCCGTCAACAGATTCGAATGCGCCACAAACATATTCTCTCCATAGAGGATCGGTGCCGCTTCCGCGTGTACCTGTCGACACGTCCGTAGCACGTTTGCGCAAATGGTATGGCCGCCGCCGCCGCTGCTGCTGCTCCTTTGTCGCTCGTCTGCTGGTGCACTGCGACTATCCTGTATGAGGAGCAGCTCGTAGATGGCGTTTCGGAGTTCAGAGGGGAGAGAGAGGAGTCGACTGGCGGATTGGTCTGCTGCCATGCTCGTTCAGAAGAAGGAAAGAAAACCCTCTCTTGTCGAACCGGGAATGAGGTTGAGAAGAGATAGTGTTCTATACGAACCGTGAGAGGTGAAATGGAGAGTGTTCTACGGTTGAAAGTTCGGGCTATAGGAACTGGAGCTGGAAGCTGGAAGCCGAATTGGGAAGGAGCGGGAGCGGGAGCTGGGGTGGGATCGTGGGGCGCATTGTCATTCTTTCTGCCTTACCTCCTAGGTACATAACTTAGGTACCTAGGTATACTCAGAACACTGAGAACAGGCAATAAGTACATATACCTTACCTTAGCAGCAACGAGCACAAGAGTCAACCAAACATCGAATCAAAATCTATAGCAAATACGAAATACTAGATTGTATAGACAGTAATATTTCAAAAAATGTGATCTGAGCATCAGGTTTCTGTCGTAATTTATCCTAGGATCCGCCGTGGGAAGGTGTATCAACGAAAACACCTAAACTTTTTTTGTTGCCAATTGTACATATTCTTCTTTTGCCCATCATGAAAACAGTCCTGTGTTGACCTTGTTCTTTTGTTTTCCTTTCCCAATACAATGCAGAAGGACAAGTGTTGCTGCGAAGCTTTTGAATCGTAAGTGCGTCTCCCGCCGAGTCTTGGACGTCCCCAATGCTCGACTTCAATATTCTCTCAAGGACTTGAGACGTCATCGTGCGAGGCGCTGGAAGCGAAAGAATCTCGCTGATGTCTGTACCTCTTCCTGTCGTGTTTGCACGCTTTTCAGAGTGCTGCCTGTGTTTCTCTGTTCTGTCTCTGTCCTCGAATTGCCTCCCATTCATTACTCATGAATTTCACCGCTCTCTGTGAGTCCACACACAATAATTTTGTGTAACCGACCGAATTGAATGTAATTCAACACATAGGGATACTGGTCAAAAAGCCACATCATGCATGGCTTTCGGAAGAGCCGTGGATAGGCAGGTATTGGTTGCTCTCTGGTACCAGGTCAAAGGGCCACGGCCACCCCTGAGTCACCTCTGGCGGCAATTGGAAGTCATCGTGTGGTGTGCGCATTCCCATATTGTTAGTCAAAGGCGGAAGCGAACCCGAAGGCAAGACAGGATGGTTACCGTTCGTCCCGTTGCTGGCAGGGTAGGGTCCATTGCCGTTGCTGGCGTGCTCGGGGTAAGGAGCAATGTGTTGCGGGGTCGCGGTCGACGTCGATAACATCTCTCGTTGCGCCTGCATGTACTGATCAATCTTGTCGATCTGTTTGCGCAGCTCTCGACTGGATCCAGCTGCGGGCTGCAGTACTGTCTCGAGATCTTCCAGTAGATCGGCGAGACCTGTCGTAAGTGCGCGTACTTGCGCATACGAGCCTTCGTTCAGCACACCCTGCATGACAGAGGACAGTATATGTCCAATACCGCCGAGGAGGTAAACGAGTGGAGTGGAGATTGCTCGTAGATAGTGCTGCGGAATGTCACGGAAGGTATTGAGGACTGTCTCCGCGACACGACATTTCTCTTGTACCGAGTGTGCATTGCTGCCTCGTGCCTCGAGCAATGTCATTCGTACAAGCTGCAAGGTCGCCTGAATGTTCGCTGCTTGGAAGCCATATATATCGTGGCTACGATCGCCTGTTGCTTGGGCTCGGTAGTCCTTGAAACGTTCGGGCAGCTGATTGTACAGGCGTTGCACATTATCCATAATCTGCGTATCAGGCATCGGGTTGGAGATCATGAGCCTCACAATAGACAACCGATCTTCACGCCTGTATCTGCTGATCCGCAATCTCTTCAGCGCATGCTCCAGCACGCGGTAGAGATCGGTGGTGAAATTGTAACCTCGGAGCCAGTTCTGGGGATCGGAATAATTCGCCACACTCGATGTGAGCTCTTCATCGCTGACTTCGCTGGGGTAGGCAACGTTGGAGTGTGTCTCCTGCGATTTGTGGATGGTATTGAAGACGACGGACGTGTACACGTCGAAGTTATACATTGACCAGAATAGTCTTCTCCTTTCCTCGCGCTCCTCGACCGATATATGCTCGGGCCAGTAACTTTCGTCGTGAAAGTGCTGCATGGCGCCAAGAGTCAAGTAGTGGCCCATGTAGTGGTGCATCATCTGGATTTGGCCATATTGAATGCTAGTCAGAGCCAGCAGAGCGCAGGCGCGCATGTACCCCAAACCGGTCATTTTCGTGAGATCTTTGGAAATGTTGTCCTGGGCGGCCGAGAAGAAGACTTCGGACGAGTTGCTGGAAGTCTCGTCGTTCAGCAGCTGCTTGTCGCTCGAGGCGCCATCTCGTGCTCGTGCCGCGGCCAGAGCACAGGCAGCCATCACCGACGCAAAGAAGCCGCGATCGGTCAAATGCTGGCGTTGGTGAAGTCGTTCCCATAATGTGGGTCCATGGAACAACGGGAAAAGTGGATACACGACTTCCATATATATTTCCAGATATCGATAGATCATGGCTTGGCTGTTGGCAGCGAAGCAATGCCACGCCACGCTTAAGAGATCATCTGGCCTGCCCTCGCGCACCACTTCATATGCGCCGGTGAGGGTGCCCGCCGACATGGACGCGCCATCCGGATAGACACCGCCGCCGCCACCGCCGCCTTCAGACTTGACGGTCGGCGATATGGGCGATATGGCTGTGGTATGCCGCACCGGGAGCAGGTTGCCTGGGGCCCCTTGTGCAGCCGATGGATTGCGGCGCCGGCGGGAGGGTCGGTTGTAGGTACAGTCGATAGCGAAGTCGTAGCAGTTTTGACACTTATGAGCTTCCTCCGCGCTGGGCCGACATCGTATACTGCGCCGGTGGCACAGGTCGCAAGCCTGGGAGATGCGTTGCAGCTTGCGCGGGCGTTCCTGGGTGCTCTTGTTGTTCGACATGACATGGGGTAGAAGGATGCAGTGATAAAATAATGGCAGCGGACTGTGGTCCGACTTGTTACAAGGGCCCTTTAGCAGTGTACTCTGTAGCTCGTGCGCGAAAAGGATGGAAGGGGAAGGGGAAGGGGGGGAGGACGGGCAGCGGAGCAGGCGCAAGAGGAAAGCAGGTAGGCAGGCAGGCAGGCAGGCAGGCAGGCAGCAAGCGTGTAACCTGTACAGTGCGTTCGGGTCAGGCAGAGTGCGTTCGAGTAGGTACATAGGAAATCACAGTAGTAAACAAAGTCGTCGTCGCATGGAAAAGATCAGCAGTGGCAACTACTGGCAACGACAACAACGCTGCGAACGCCATGCCGTTCGATCCGAGCAACCGCAATCGCAACCAAAAGGACGTGGAAAATCATCGCAAATACTCGTCTCGTGCGGCGGCCACGCGTGGTGGGCAGGGCATATACCACCTACCGTAATCATCAGTGAGGCGATGATTATGGTTCTGCTGTTGGGGAAATAACACATAATGGAATCATAATGTCCACTCGGCCTCATCACTTTGGCCAGCATGAGCACTGCTTGCGACCACTCCATTATTGACGTCTGCGGGCGACCAATGGCCTGGCGTAAACACCGCATTATGCGGAGATAGTTTCTACCGCAGTCCTAACTCCGCGTGGCTGGGAATCGTCTTGCATAGAGTAGTGACATGCATGGAGATGTGACTAGTACTGTCGGGACTGGTGTGACGAGCTAATCGCCAAAGCCGGCCAGGCCAGGTTTTATACTGTACCATGGCAAGGTGCAGCACAGGCAGCCTGTTTTTTTCTTCTCTTCCAAACGAGCTACTGTGTGATGGTGTTGAGAGTAATCAAAGTCATGCCATATTATCTGTCGTCTCCTGGAATGGACTTCGTCGGTGGAGTGGAGCGGAGCGAGCGATGAGGGGGATGGAGGCGCCCGGAGTCGAACCACTGGACCAGAGCGAAGTGTATACTGCAACTGCACTCTGCACTGTAGAGGTACCCGCAGTATGCAGCAGCCTGGCGCTGGTACGAGTCGTTGGCAGAAAAGCTGGAGAAGAGAGGCGCGTGCTCTTTGAGACATTTCAGACGTGACACACCACACTTCCAGATCCCAGATCCCAGATCCCATCAGAAGTAGATTGCAGATTCGACCCATCCCATCGCTCCATCATTTGATAGTTGTCTTGATTACCTCGTACTGAGACCGGCAACCGGTACCGAATGTCTGGAGAGTCTAAGAGGTGCATAGCCATAGCCATAGCCATACCTCCCCTCCTAGCCATACACCATAGCCATAGCAATGGCTAATGCGAACGAGGGGGGCGAAAGCTAAATGACGTTGGCAACGGTGGATGGTATGGTGCCATGGTGGTATTGGTAATTCTCAGTGGAATAAGGTACCTTAGTGCCAAGCATGCTCCGCTTCTCATGGAACCACCCGAGGAGATGCGTCCGCCTCCGAGGAGTTGTCCTCATCGACGAGATAGGTAATCACTTAACTTGGCTTGTGCGGAAAACATCTGTAAAAGTCCTCCAACTTGGCAGGGTCTTCTCAGAAGCCTCTACAAAACATGCATGTGCCCTTTGGTGCCCTATGGTGTGTGGAATTCTCTGTTGTTGCGGAACCACGCGGCATTCTCGACCCCCCCTCACACACTCACTGGTTGTCTGTCTGGCTCGCGATCGATTGCAAAATATTGCATACTTCAACCAAGCCCAACATCACGCTCCATGTAATCAATCATATACTCATGTGAAGCCCTTGACCACCGAGAACAACACCTCTTTCAGACTTTTAGTACATTTCATGCTTCAAAACCATCAGGACCCGAGCTCGCGCGTCAGGGCTCCATAAGGTAGGAGGTCGTAAGAGCTTGGATCAGACCAAGACCCTTGCTGAACCATGTCGTTCAATCATAGCTTGCGACCGTAAGTTCAGGAGAAAGTATATATCCTTACCGAGTGGTCGTCACTTGCAGCAGCAAAGGCCCGCTTGACCTGCGAAACATTCTCAATCACCACCTCTGGTCGCCAGCGCAATGAGGTCACACTCTTCGAAGGTCTAATGGAGATAGGCATGTCTTCAGCGCCCTGTACCCCCAACGTATCCTGCTGCAGCCTGATGAGGATGATCTTGCCAACCTCATCTCCTGCCAACAACAACAATTGCCCTTCGTGGAGTCGTTGTTCGAAAGCAATAGCAGTCAGGGACGCCGTGCTCGCATATGTCGATATGCATTCGGCTTTGCCTTCCAGAAGCCTCCAGATTTTGACGCTCTTGTCTCGACCTGCGGTGGCGAAGACCTGTCCGACAGTAGCAGGCGCCCAGCAACAGTCCAAGATCATGCGCGAGTGACCTTTGGGATTACTTGCATGCATTGTGTACACGCTCGATGCACTGCTTTCTCGCTCAAACAATGCCCACTGCCTATCTCTTCCAACGCTAAGCAGATAGCGATCATCCGGCGAGAAGGCAAGGCTGGTCACAGTTAAGCTATGCGCAGTAAGAGGAGGTTTGACCTTCCGCCATTCTTTCGTCTCGTATAGCCGAATCACTGCATGATCCAGGGAACTGGCCTTACAAGCAGTGGCAACCAAGGTGCCGTCATTGCTGGTAGCCACAGCTGATATCTCATAGCCATGACCATACAGTTTTTCGTGTTCTGGCCAGAGAGTATGACGAGCAAGATGATCTTCGAATGGCGGATGTTCGAGATTCAGAATAGATTGATTCTCCCTTGTCATCGATGTGGAGCCACCAGTCTCGTCTTCGTCCATGTCGCCATCAGCGCCGTTCTGCTCCTGCCTGTCCACTGCGGTGACAGCTTTGTTCGACAGGCCGAGAACTGGAATGTTGGCAGCATCTGGCAAATCAGCGGCGCCAGATGTAGCAGTTCCGCCCAGCTTTGCAAGAAGATTATCCACAGCTCTAGGCTTGTCAAAGACCCGGAGCAGCTTTTCGTCAGCGCCAGATATGAATCGATCATCAGTTATGCAATCAACACAATTTAGATCATATCCATGTATCTGCGGTCGTGCGAACTCATGCCACGACGACTTTGACTTTTCCTGCTCCTGCCACTGGGAATACAGCCGGGTCGTCTGGTCTGAGCTCGTCGAGAGCAAGTACTGGCCTGACCTCGCCCATGCCAGACTGCGCACTTCCTCCACGTGTCCACCTATGCCAACTTCCTGAACCCACATATCACTATCAGGCTGGTAACTCCAGCGCCGCCAGCTGCCTGTTCGTCCTAGACTGACGACTGACCGAGCATCGTGTTGCCAAAGTCCTATCCAAAAGCCGCCTGTGCTGCCTGTCGCAGTGGTAGATCCTTTCTGCGAACTAATTTCTCCCAGTCTGCTGCTGCATACCCACAGGCCTGACGAAGGCTCCGCGTTCCATATCGAGAGAGAGTTGTCCGCAGATGCTGTTAGCAGACAAGCACTTTGGGTACCGGTCTTGTTTGGAGCCCAGCGTGCCGTGTAGATCCAGTCTTCGTGACCAACAAGCAGTGCTTCGAATGTTACGCTATGCTTCGAGCCTTCACTCCCAACTTGATGGGCTTTGTTTGACAAAGATATTTTCTCTGCACCTGCGACGAGCTCGTTCACCTCGCTGACACCGCTGGAAGCCCTGGTTTCGCCCTGGCGAAAGCGCCATAAACGGATGTACTTATCCTGGCTGGCAGAAGCCAGCAGTGTATCACTTTGTTCTGTCTGGTGCTCTCTGGTGAAGTCCAGAGATCGAATCCAACCTTCATGACCCCTCATAGTAGCTTGCAGCTCGAAACTGCTTCCATCACCATGCGCGCAAGCGAACAGTTGAATGATGTTCGAAGTTCCGGCAACTGCGAGCACTACATCGCCACTCGCGAGGCGCGTAAGTGCAAGGCATAATGGAAAGAATCGTGGCTTCAAGGAGATGGTCTGAGCGAGCTTAGCTGTTGTATCTTCCAGATACCATATCTTGACAGTACCATCTGCCGCGCCTGACGCGAACAGATTTGCATCCGACAACGTAGCAATTGCATTGATCGATGCAGTATCCTCCTTGAGGCACTGTATTTCCTCGATTGTTCCATTTGAGCTGGGAGACCATATTCGAATCGTATTATCTGCGCTTCCGCTCACAATGAGCAGTCTGTTGGAATCTTCGATGATCTTGACTGCGTTTACAGAGTCCGTGTGACCTGCGAGAAGAGCGTATACGCCTTTACGACCGCCATCTTGGGGGTTCCACCGAGCAATGTTGTTGCCAGCGCCATAGGCGAGAAATGAAGTCGACCAGTCTGCGGCAGAAGGATGCCTGTTCCCGCCAGCGGCAATATATTCGATCACGGTGTCTGTCATCGGAAACTTGACATTTCTGGTGTTATGTGAATTTGAAGTGACTCGCGAAAGCAGATTCAGAAGTGAGAGGCAAAATTTCGTGCCAAGCCAGTCAACCATGGTCTGCTCGAAAGCCTCGACAATCCATAACACACTTCTTTCAGCAGTACAGTCATCAACATCGAAACGGCAGGCTGACCATGACAGACGCCATCGATCTCACAATTGAGTTCACGTAGGTCAAAATCTCACACACATATATTAGTCCCACGCGGCGTTCCCCTCCTCAAGATTCTAAGTACTCTTTCTCAGCGGAGGCCTCGAACTGCTCTTCTCGGACCAACGCAAGCACAAAATCTCAATACCTGCCAAGGATGCCCAAGGACAACCCGCAACCATTGCATTCCTGATCCAATGGCTATGCGACAACCTCATGAAGGATCCGCGCAAAGATATGTTTGTCCTCGATGATACAGTGTAAGCCACCACCAACAAACAAACAATTGAGGGGTTGAAACCCACCCGCAAAAAACAAATCATTACCTGCATTGGGAGGTAGTAGAGAATAGCCTGACAGAAAATCATGCAGGCGGCCTGGAGTTTTGGTTCTCATCAACGACGCGGATTGGGAGTTGGAAGGCGAGGAGAAATATGAAGTGCAGTCTAGAGATAATATTGTCTTTGTCTCTACTCTGCATGGAGGCTGATGTAGCCCATTCAGCACAGTAAAAGGCGAGCATGAACATCAAATTATATTACCCTACTGCGCAGCATGACAGATATCGTCTTTGCTCTGATGCGCATGTTCTTCCATTTCAGCTTTGATTGAAAATCTGTGATATATATTGTATTGCACCTTCCCATTTGTCATCATTCAACCGAGGATCGCTGGTTGTATAGTGTAGCGGTTATCACATCGGATTCTGATGTTCAGAATGTTCCGGGAACCCCGGTTCGATTCCGGGTACGACCTTTCCGAGTACCCTCAAGCTTAGCTTGAATATCCTTTTTCCTTTTGCCAGAGAAGACCACACACAGCTATCATGACACCCAAAGTTTTGCGCCATTGTCAATTCGATCTCAAGATACCTTACCTTACCTTAACTTACTTGGGGAGCACGTCTGGCGAACACAGGTATGGCATACCAGCATAACCACACCCAAGGAAAATGTTTGCAACATTTTACCTGTATCACGGTCGAGTTGGCAAAATGATTAATATTCGCAAAATCACACGAACATCTAGTTACAGATCGTTGAAGATTGGCCCACGAACAATCTGCTTGTTACACGAAGCTCCAAAAATCTTCCACTGACACTCTCCACAAATCACCAGTCTCCCTCCTTGGCTAGTATGTCCCATCCCACACACCTCCATACTTCCTCCTTGAAGTACTCCAAAACATCGGCCTCTTTGACTTTTGGCATACTTAAAGGCCCTCCAACGCTTGTCGGCATCTTCAAGCACTCCTTGAAAGGATCATCGTCATTCACATTCTCCGTACCAAAGATCGCGTGGACCAGCGTACGCTGTAAGCATTCTTTCGCCGAACGAGCCAACATGTTCTTTGCTGGCGCTCTGTTACTCTTGGCCTTGCCATTCTTCACGCCATGCACATTACCAAAGTGGGCGGGGGCGGCGATCATGATACGATTAAGGAGATGAAGCAGGTATGGTGCTTCAAGCTTGGTCTGTTTGCGTTCTTCATCTTCTTGTTGTAAAGCTGATGCTTCAGACGCGGCACCGTCATGTAGGACACCATCATCAAGTTTGAGTTCAAGTTCGAGATCCGGAGCTCTGCTGTGTCCAAAGACAACTGAGTACAGGCTCTTGCCCAATTGGTCCAGGATGCAGTAGGTGAAGCCTTCAAATAGAGCTTGATTTGCTTCAACCCTAGGATCAAGCATGTCAAGCAGGTTTCCCAGAAACGTTGTGTACAAGCTCATTGTGGGGTTTTCCTTGACCTTTTGGTCCTTCAGTGGAATTGTTCTAGCCTTGCTTCTCCCCTTTGGCTTCTCTGACGAGGACGCATGCGCTGTAGAAGGTCTCTGTATCGTAGTCTGCTGCACTGTGGCAGATCCCTGAGCAGTCAAAGGCATCTGGGCAGTTGATGGCCTCGGATTGACAGCAGTGTCACCCGCAAGCGCCACTTTGTCTATCTCTCCAGCTGAAAGTAACGTGAAGCAGCAAAGCAGACTGCGGAACATCGAAACAATGGCATAGATGACTCGACCCTGCGCTGCGGTACCTTCTGAAACATCTCGAACGTGAGTGAGGCGGACATATCCTGCAAGGACTGCTGTAATGGCGCGACTAGTAGTAGCCAGTGCGTTCTTCAGCTGTTCGTTGTCTTTCGTTTGTTCTGCGATGATGCTTCGAATTTCGGTTTGCAAAATCTGCGCGATCGTCGACGAGGCACGCGTGATATGATACGCAAGCTCGCTCGACGTCGTGCGTTGTGTAGCCTTGCTGAAGGTTCCAAGGATGTGAAACACACTGCGCAGAAGGGTATCGCCTGGAATTGTCAGCAATGCCTTGTAAGCATGGGCATGTACCTCCTAGCTCAAGAGCAGATACGCACCAAATTCTCCGGCTTGGCTGAACTCGGCGTCGGTTGGGTGTTCCACAGTCAACTGCATACCTCTGTCCGGCGAGGTGGCCCTCTTATTTTTCCTTGGACTTCGAGGTACAAGAACGACATCCTCGTCATGTCTCTTGCGTTTCTTGATGGGATTGGGAGGTCGTTCTTCAAGTTTCCTTTTAAGAGTAGCAATTTCTCGTCGCATATCAACAGCTTTGTCTTGTGCACGTTCAAGATCGACTTTGACCAGCTCGGCTCGAGAGCGCCAATATGCAGAGCGGTCCAGATGAGAGTAGACACTGCTCAAAGCATTCTCTCGTCGACCTGGAGCGATGTGTTGTCTCAGGAGCTTGATATAGTCTGCGTTATTGTAAGCGGCCAGCAAGTCCAAAGTAAGTAGCTGTTGATTCGAGCGCACCTTCGATGCTGAGCTCCGGCGGCTTCGATTTCACAACTGATACTGCGAAAGCAATCGTCTTCTCGTTGGGCACTACCGGCCCAGGAACATCAGGTTCGTCTGATGTGGGTGTTGGTGTTGGTAAGTGCGACATCGTAGCGCAGTTCTAGCATATGAGTACGGTATGTCGATAGATACACGTAGAGAAGTGTGGAGGTCTCGAGTACATGTATGGCAGATGTTGAAATCTCAAGTGTTACATAAAAGTTCGCTCATGTCTTTAGGAAGGTCGGTCTGGAACGCGGCTTCCCAAGTCGCAGAAGGTACCCACCCAGCCAAAAGGAAGGAGGCATCGACACGCGTTGCATTTTCTTGGTACAGCCAGTTCTGCGGACAGTCAGCGAAAGAAGGCGGAAGATGAGGCATATTATACAGCTGAACTTTTTACCAATACAATCTGTATCCAGTCTCGGTGAGTAGAGCTACTATCCGCTATGCCTCCCAGGTGATTCTACCTGACCATTCACGCAAAAGCAATTGCATAAACAACACGCTAGATCGTACATTCGCAAAGATGCAGACGCTATCCAGAGTCTCCTCGTGAATGAGAAGGGAGACATGAGATGTCGCTGGGGTATCCAAAGCATGCAAATGGCCATGAGCAGTAATACAATTTCAACTAAATCCCAGACTCCTTTTCCGATAGGCTGGAAGAATAGGCTGCGGGCTACGCGACCTTCGACGTGAGTATGGTGTGGTGTCGAAACGCGACTAGCCTTGATACCCACCATATCCGCGACCGAATGGCGCCGACTGAGGCGCTGCTTGCGGCACGCCGTAGCCAGCTTGCGCTTGAGGATTAAACCCACTCGCGCTGTGTGGCATTTGAGCGCCTGGCCAGCCTTGTGCGCCAGGGTGCAGCGCAGAGGGCGCCATACCGGGCTGCTGCCATCCCGCGGGACTTGCTTGCTGAAAACCGGCTGGAGTAGCACCTAGTCGTCAGATCAGCATAGGTGCGCACAACATTACATGCAAATTGACGAACCCTGTGGTGACATTGCGCCTGGTTGCTGGTATTGTGGAAAGAAAGCCTGAGGCGTTGCTGAAGGGAACGCGGAGCCAGGTGTCTGGGCAGCTGGCGAGAAACCGTCAAATTGGCCTGTTGGTGGGCGGTCTTTACCCCACTGCATGTCTGTTAGCTATACCGTAGCGCAAAGTTCATTCGGATAACTCACGCTACATTTCAAGGGGCGGCCATTGACTTGGTATCCGCTCAATTGGCAGATTGCATTGGCCGCATTCTCGTGGGTGTCCATCTTGATAAATGCAAAACCGCGATCAGACTGGAATCTGGTCTCGGTCACATAGCCGAAGTTCTGAAAGAGTGGAACAAGATCGTTCTGAGTCGTGTAGGGCGTAAGGTTGCCGACATAGACAGTGGTCTGCCATTGCGGGGTCTGTTGGACAATCATCTCGTAGGACTGTGAACCTTGAGTTGGGAACTGGTGGTGTCCGTAAGGAGTCGTGGGAGTCATGCCCATCTGGGCCATGGCCTGCTGTTGGGAGAACGAGGGCTGTCCCTTTTGGTTGGCCCAATTGCAACGGATTGCACGCGAGCCCAGCCATTCACCATCCATCGAGCTCAACGCTTTCTCGGCCTCGCCGCGATCCCTAAATGCAGCAAAGCCGTATCCACGGGAGCGACCCGTCTTCATGTCCCACATAACGCGAGCCTCTGAAACGGTGCCAAACGCTGAGAACGCCTGCAAGAGCACTTCGTCGTTCACTTCGTTGGAAAGATCGCCGACGAAGATGTGGAAGTGGTTCGAGGTGTCCTCTTTGGCGGAGGTGTTCGATTGGTAGGCCCAGTTGACGCGGATCTCCTGCTGGTGCACCCGTCTTCCATTGAGTGTCTGCATAGCTCTTTCGGCGGCACCTGGATCGTCGTACTCCACAAATCCGTAGTTGTAACCCTTGGACTGGAACTGCTATGATTAGCAGAGGTTCTTTGGTTATGGGGTGAGTGTCGAGCGAGTGCCCGTTTTTGTGGAAGACATAGTGTGCTTCTTTACCCGTTGTGCGGTGGGAAAGGGGACATGCGGCGCAAGCAAGCACCCGTGGGCGGCGCTTGATCAGCACCTGCCAGCACGTGAAAAGAGTGGACTCACGTTCTTGTCGGGAATGATCTTGACGCTTTGCACGTGCCCAGTAGTCTCGAAGATCTGCTTCAATACATCCTCTGTAACGCGGGGGTCAAGTCCACCGACATACAGTGCCCTCTTGTTTGGTTCTGGTGCAGCGCGCCTAACTTGCCCACCAGCACTGGTAGGGGAGAGAATGTCTGTGAGCTCCGTGGGCACGGGATTGTGATTCTGCGGGATATTGACGTTGAGAGATGGGGCCGGCGGAGGTGGCATATGGTTGCCAGAGCCGTTCTGATAGCCTTGTGTGCCTGGCGCCGGGCCCGTGGTTGGAGGAGTCGGGAGTGAGTACTCGGCGGAAGTCGTAGTGTCGGCCATTGTGTGGTGAGAGCAGGGTGAGATGATAGGAGAGGGAGAAGAGGTGAATTGGAGTATGTGTGTAGGTAAGCCAAAAAGCCGCGAATCGCGACGTGAAAGCTGAGCTGGAGCTGTTAGGCGCCGAGCGAAAGTGTCGCGCGCGCAGGAAAGCGAAGCAGAAAGGATAAGGAGACGCACAAGGAGATACAATTGGCTCGCTGCCTCGAGGAGAGAGGGCAGGCGATGGAAATCGACACCTACACGGCGATGGAGAGATGGTGCGCCGGCTGTATTATGGTACCTGGATGGTGTAGAGCGTGCTGTACGCTGTACTCAGGTAGGTGGGGGAAACGCGCAGCGACAACAGAGCAGTGCCAGATCCAGTCGCGTAGGAGGTAGTATATTGCAGCGATACAGCAAGGAAACACCCGACAAAGGAGACAGCTGAAAAACGAGACTCGCAGCGCTGGCTGAAGCAGACGGGGAGGACTGGAGGTGTATGTGGTGTGGTGTGGACCGTGTCAAGAGGGGTGTAGTGTCTGTAGTGTTCAAGTAGGTTGCAAGTTGTGTTGGCCGTTGGTCCTCGGGAAGCTCGAGTCGAGGAAGGCAAAGGCCAAAGGGAGGAGAACTCCCTTGAAGAGCGGGCGGGAGCTTCGGTGAGTGGGGATCTGACTTTGCGGCCCTGCATGGCTGTGTCCGGCCTAGCTCGGCAGCTAACGGCTACTGCCTTCCAGGTTGTAGGAGGAAGTTCTAGCGCGGTCTACAGCAACGTCCATTGCCATCAGCAATACCTCCTACCTGTACCTCTTCCACGTTAGGAGGTACCGAGTCACCACAAACCCGTTATACAACAGCACAATACCCGAGTACATATCTAGAGACATCGCGTTCCGCAGAAACACCAGAATCACTGCGCTCGGATAAGCAGTCCTGTGATGGCCAACCCCGATTGCAGCGGGCTGCTGGATCAGCTCCAATCGCAGATCAATCTCGTGGTGTGTACCGTCGACTTGTTGGCGCTGCGCCGTACTGATGTTTGCCAGCTCGAGCAAGCCGGGCGCGTCTTTGCGGCGGTCGATACTACTGGTAAAAGAATACCGACAGCACAAGTCAACAAGCTGAAACAAATAATCCCTCGCGCCCAGAACAACTTCCATGATGCGCTCGACCTGCTTGAGGATGAACTGGTGAGCCCCTCCGGAGCCGTCTGAGCGGAATGTGTCTGCACATACTGATCCGGCATCCAGCAACTCGCCCAAAGAGTGCTGCGGCGTGACCTGGCACTTTTCCGCGAGAAGGCCGGTCATCAAAAGCACGCGAGTGTTGCGATTCAGACGGCACAGCAAGGAACGGAGACTGTGGATTCCGCTACTGCACCCGTGCCGGTGGAAGACGTGACCATGGAAGATGTGACCATGGAAGATGCCGAGCCACAGCAGCAGACTGATATCGTGACCAAAGCTGAGCCGAAAGTCGAGTCACCTGATCAAATCCATACACCACAACCGGAACCCATTGACGTTAAGACTGCGCCATCTACAGAAAAACACAATCCAGAAAACCACAATCCAGAGAGCCACAATCCAGAAGATACGCAGCCGGAAGCCCGACGAGATGGCGCAGCACCAGCTCCAACGGAAGTACCTGATACCAAGCCCGCAGACAGCGCTCTGCAACTAGACACCGCACCACCCACGATCAAGACAGACAAAACGCCCGAAGACGAGAAAGCTCCCGGCACAGCGAAAGAGAGTATCAACAATGACTTGGATTCTCTGTTCGGAGGCGGCGATACCAGCAACGAGCCTAATAGCGAATTCGCATTTGACGAGAACGCAACTGGAGAGATAGATTTTGGCGATTTCACCAACTTTGGCACAGACAATGGCGAGAACGATAATATTTCATCTCTTCTTCCAGGACTCGAAGACTACGCCAATACACAATCAAACGCCAGCGGCGCTGATCTTGATCTCAGCTCCTTCTTCACAACCAACAACAATGACGCAAATCACGCGGCGACTCAACCGGCTGCTTCTGAACAGCGGGATACTACCTTCGACGATCTTATGGATCTGGCTAATTTCGATGGAACCGCGATGGGAGAAGATGCAAACAACAGCACCGACTTGGCAGATTTTGAATCACTTTTCAACTAGCAGTGTCAGCGGAGGGAGGCGTAGTACTGCAGGGTGACAGGTCCGCTGCATCCATGTAAGTCAGTCCACGTTCTGTGCCACGGGTGGGCATAAGAGGTAAAGAGTCATAGACCAGAGAGAGACATAGTACACTGCAACCGCACAAAACTCATTCCATGACCTGCATATTCCATGTGTGTTGCACGTGTGTTGTATATGTCATCCCGTGTGGCGAGGCTGTTCCGTCTCAAGAGTGAGCCATGTTATGGGTCTTCCCTGCTACTCTTCTTCCTCGTTGTCCCTTCTGAACAAACTTCCATGGACAGCCGAAAGGTAGGTATTCACTTTATACAACCGTCGTAGAAAAAACTGCACAGTGCAACGGCATTTCGAACTGTCATACTGCTGCTGAGGAGAATTGTGGTTTGTGCCGTTGCAAGACAGGGAGAAGACCTTCCTTCGCCTTCGCTACCCACCCTACCTACCTTGCTATTATAAAATCCATGCTCCGCCGATTTGCGGGACATGTGGTTTGTCGCTGCAAGGCACAGCACGTATCTACTGCGCCCCGGCTCGTCTATGGGGGAAAAATAGAAACTCGATAACATGGAATAAACTTCGTGCCTTCTACACCCACCTACGACCACGTAAAACTCGTTTATCGGCTAGGCAGACATTGAGTGTCCGCGGTATGTGGGCTTAGGCTGTTATTCATCTGGGCAGATTCGCGTATTGTGTCGAAGACTCGAAGTTTGATGATCAGATGCCGCCCGCATTGCATGCCAGCGCACTGCCATGGGACTCAGGAAGCGGCATTGCAGCCGCAGATATAGTTTCATGGCTTTATTCGGGTCCCAAGCGTAGCGGCAGCTGGTGTTTTTCGTGTATATCTGTCCTGGATAGGCCGGGTGACTTTGTGCCTGGGCCCTGATCGTCTGCAGGTTGTGACAATTTCAAGGCGATATTGGTAATGGTGTCGATGTGTTGAAGAAAGAGCCCGAGTGTGTTGGCTCCAGCAGTCTCTGGAGGATAGGCCGAAGGCACGTGCTCAACGACTTGGGCAAGTCTGAACTTCTTCTGCACCATCATTTGCACAACATAAGCAGGCACATACAAGCATAGCCCATCATGAGCAAATCGCTGTCGCTACCGCGGCAAGCATCGAGAATAGTCAAAACCGCATCACGAAATCCTGCGCGACTACAACAATATGCTACTGCGTCGCGAACACCACCTTCACCTCCATCCGCAGAACCGACCGACCTCGACCAAATCACGACGCTCCCCAACGGCGTCAAAGTTGCCTCAGAATCGCTGCCGGGCCATTTTTCAGGCATCGGCGTTTACATTGATGCCGGCTCACGGTATGAGACAGAAGCGCTACGAGGAGTGTCCCACATCATCGATCGACTGGCCTTCAAAAGTACGACAAAACGCACATCAGATCAGATGACGGAAGCCATAGAAGGATTGGGTGGAAATATCCAGTGCGCTTCATCGAGGGAGAGCTTGATGTATCAGTCGGCCACTTTCAACTCTGCCGTGCCGGAGACCGTCGAACTGCTGGCAGAGACAATACGCGAACCCGACATCACCGAAGAAGAGGTGCAGAGACAGCTGGAGACTGCAGACTACGAAATTGGTGAGATATGGGGAAAGCCAGAGCTGATATTGCCAGAGCTGGTGCACATGGCTGCCTACAAGGACAACACACTGGGCAATCCCTTATTGTGTCCGAAAGAGCGGCTGGATCACATCGACGCCAGGACCATTGAGGCATATCGCAAAGCCTTTTTCCGCCCAGATCGTATCGTCGTGGCCTTTGCTGGTGTTCCTCACGATCAAGCCGTTAAGCTAGCCGCACAGTACTTTGGAGACATGACGGGACCGGCCACGACCCATGCGCCTCCACTCGAGGTCAAGACATCACAGGTACAGCCTCCTTACCCGACTTCACCACTCCCGTCTCAAAAAGACTCGCGACTTTTGTCGAAGATTCCGTTCCTGAAAAACCTTTCCACATCCGCCACTCAAAAGGCTACGGTCTCACCTCTTGACCCTGCACAGATCATGCCGCACCCATTAGATGCTCCCATCGATTTCAGCCTCCCATCACACTACACCGGTGGCTTCCTAACATTACCACCCCTCCCAATACCGCCGAACCCTGCACTTCCTCGAGTCTCGCACATCCATCTGGCATTTGAGTCTCTGCCCATAGCTTCCCCGGATATCTACGCCCTCGCCACTCTTCAGACACTTCTTGGGGGCGGAGGCTCTTTCTCTGCAGGTGGTCCTGGAAAGGGAATGTACAGCCGTCTCTACACCAACGTCCTTAACCAGTACGGTTGGGTAGAGAATTGTGTAGCTTTCAACCACGCATACACAGACTCTGGACTTTTCGGCATCTCTGCGAGTTGTGCGACGCAATTCGTTCCGAGGATGCTGGATACCATGGCCCGGGAACTTAGTCTGTTGAGCGCGGAAACAGGTTTGGGAAGATTGTCAGAAGTAGAAGTTAAGCGCGCCAAAAACCAGCTTCGCTCATCCCTCTTGATGAACCTGGAGTCTCGAATGGTGGAGTTGGAAGATCTGGGAAGACAGGTGCAAGTTCATGGAAGAAGAGTTCCGGTCAAAGAAATGGTTTCGAAGATCGAGGCAGTTTCCATTACTGACTTGAGAAGAGTGGCCAAGCAGGTCTTCTCGGGTGGAGTCATCAATCTGGGACAGGGATCTGGTGCGCCTACTGTTGTGTTGCAGCAGGGCGAGGAGGAAGGTGTACAGCTCAAGGAATTGCCGTGGAATGACATCCAGGAGAGAATTGCGAAGTGGGGTTTAGGTCGAAGGTGAGACAAGAGATGGAGACAGCAAGAAAGGGGGTAATGAACAGTATGTATGATATTGTACAGATTCAATCCTGACTCATAGCGATGGCGCTGCCTACCTTGACTTTGTAGAATAGATATACAATCAGAAGAGGGCGGCTGCATTCCATGCGCCTACCAGTAAGAGAAGCGTCGAAATGATTTCGCTCGAGATTTCCAAGTCGATGTGATACGGGCCTCCTCTTCGTATACGTATATTAGACCCACGGAGACATATCAGGCTTGATGGAGAAGTTGAAGAAGTAGGAGTAGGAGGAGGAGTAGATGTCGATGCATAGAGCACATGTACATGTGACTTATGCTTGGGGACATACATGTACCTACCTGACCTACTTAAAAAAGCGGTGTTACTTAGAGGGGCTCTGTATATCAGCTAACGTATTCCAACCCCTGGGAGCATCTGTGTTTACGATGCCCTGAGTGAGAGATATGGACTCCACAAGTGGAGGGAACGAGCGGGAGATGGCCGTTCATACACCGGGTGTACCTCCTAGTCTCTGAGGGCAATGTAAAGGCAAACAGCACGAGCTTTGTCCGGTCAATTGATACCCAGGTACCCTACCTCCTAGGTGCATGTATTGACTCAACAAGTGATGTTGGTGGGTGGGTGGCAAACCAATGTGGCCACCCTTACCTTACCTTAGGCAAGGTGGCAGCTTCGCGAAGCTTTGTCATCAACCGCGTCGATGTTGGTTGAAGTTGCTTCCAGCAACCCTCGAGCTGATTCCGTTGAAAACCCGACTTACTATCACACTCCACCAACATGCCTCGATTCACACAACTTTTCACTGCGGCATTGGCTGCTGTGAGCACCGTCTCAGCAGGCTCAGTGCTCGACCTGACGCCCAAGAACTTCGACAAGGAGATTCTGAAGTCGGGCAAGCCCGCATTGGTCGAGTTCTTCGCGCCATGGTGTGGCCACTGCAAGTCCCTGGCGCCCATCTATGAAGAGCTGGCTGCCAGCTTCGAGGGCGCCAAGGACAAGGTCATCATCGCCAAAGTGGACGCCGACGAGCACAAGGAGCTCGGCAAGAAATACGAAATCTCAGGCTTCCCTACGCTGAAGTGGTTCGACGGCACGGGCAAGTCGAAGCCAGAAGACTACAAGAGCGGTCGTGATTTGGACAGCTTGACGGCATTCATCACGGAGAAGACTGGGGCAAAGGCGAAGAAGGCGAAGACTGCCGCCAGCCAGGTCGAGCACTTGACTGACAGCACTTTCATTGAGAAGATTGGCAAGGACCAGGACGCTCTCGTGGCATTCACTGCGCCATGGTGTGGACGTCAGTATACTCCTACTTCGCGAGCTATATCGTCCACTAGTTGGGCGAAGTGGCTTCGACAAACGATTTCAAGGCACGTGCTAATGTATGAAACAGACTGCAAATCGCTCGCGCCCACCTGGGAGAAGCTCGCCGCTGACTTTGTTCACGACGACAACGTCCTCATTGCCAAGGTTGACGCCGAAGCACCAAACGCAAAGGCCACCGCCGAGAAGTTTGGCGTCAAGTCTTACCCAACCATTCTCTACTTCCCCGCCGGATCGACCGAATCGCAGCCATACGAGAGCGGCCGCAGCGAGGAGGATCTTGTCAAGTTTGTCAACGAGAAGGCTGGCACTTATCGGTCCCCTGGCGGTACTCTTAATGCCCTCGCTGGTGTCATCCCATCCCTCGACGCCACAGTTGCCAGCCTCTCGACTGGCGGCGACAAGGCATATAAAGAGTTGATCAAGCAAGCCGGCAAACTGCAGGGAAAGTACGCCGAGTACTACACCAAGGTTGCCAAGAAGGCGCAGGATAACCAGGGCTACGTTGAGAAGGAGCTCACTAGGTTGACGAACTTGATCTCGAAGGGTAGCCTTGCACCAGAGAAGTTGGACGACCTGACCAGCAGGAAGAACATCCTCAGCGTTTTCGCGGGCAAGGTGGCCGGTGCAGCGGATAGCGTCAAGGAGGCTGCTGAGAGTGTGAAGGCTGAGCTTTAGATGACCAAGAATGACACGACTGTAAATTTAGCAAAAAGCGGCTTTGGTTGGTTCATGGACGACACAGACATGTCTGAATGATGCGTCGTCGATCGAGCGTTATTTGACATGAATAGAATCTGGAAATGTGCTCACTCTTTTTGATAGACATCAACTCTTGCAAACCGTGTCCCAGTTCAAATCATCTATAGTATCTTGAGCAGATTCATTGACACCGAGAGACAAGGAATTGTACAAATGTCTCTCGTTCTTCTGCTCGGCAATCGTAGTGCCAACGAGTCTCTTCGGCGGCAGCTCACCTCACCCCGCAGTACTCCACTGTTTGGCCTACCTCTCAACAGCTCTCATTTAGAAGATTCGATTCACATGTTTTACATGTGTACCTACACCTCAACTTTGATACCTACCTGACCTACCTATTTGACACTACCTTACTACCTGTACCTACCACTCCCGGTGCCTCTTCTTTTGTTTTCTCATCAAAAAGCCTCCTCCAGCATGTCTTCTTCCCCAGTAGCCATTGTGACTGGAGGTGGCAGCGGGATAGGCTTCGCCATCGCCGAGCATCTGATTCAATTCTACGGGTACAAAGTGGCAATTTTTGACATGGATGAACACCGCATCAAAGAATCGGGTATACAGCTTGGAGACCACTGTCTCGCTGTACACGTCGATGTTACAGATTATGATCAACAAGCGAAAGCTTTTCTGAAAACGTGGGAGTGGGGTGGATGTAGACTTGATTCTGTTTACTTGAATGCTGGAATTGGAGATACAGACTCGCTCTATAAAGATTTTGCTATCGATGAGCAGACGGGTTTACCTCGACCTTTGGACTTGAGAACAATGGATGTCAATCTCAACGCGGTTATTCAAGGCATTCATCTCGCTCGACATTTCTTCTCGGAGAAGAATACTGCCAGAGGAGGTCAGATCGTCGTCACGGCGAGTATGTTCGGTCTCTACCCGACGCACGCGGTGCCGCTATACTCGACATCGAAACACGCCGTGGTAGGTCTCGTCCGTTCGCTCGCTCCCGTCTACGCCAAGGATTCCATCTCCATCAACGCCCTCTGTCCTGCTTTGGTCGACACCCACATCATTCGAGAAGATATTATGCGTCAGTGGGATCCGAAGCAACTCACGCCATTGAGCACGATTTTAAAAGGTATCGATACTATTCTTGGAGATAAGCAATTGACCGGGAAAACTTTGGAATTGTCTCTGGGGGATGTGAATGTCACCTCGCAGCCGGCATTTACACATCCGAATCAGAAGTTTTTGTGTGATCAGGATGTGCTTTGGGAGTTGGTGGCGGAGCCGCTGTTACCACGCAAGCCGGGGGAGAATATATAGGGTAGAGAAGATGTTTGTTAGAAATTGGTTGCTCATTTCGTTTCTTTTTTCTTCTTCTTCTTTTATTCGATATCGAAAGTCTTCCATTCAGCGCGCTATGCTTGTATCCTGCAAGATCTCGGCCTCGATCGAGATTGTTAGCGGAAGGATTGATATTTCCGTCATATATCCAATATATCTCTAGTCTTGCAATGGTTTCCTTGAACGTGGTCAGCGGACCATCGGCCCCCTAGAGGAGTGGATCGGGATCGAGCAAGCATTATGTCGTGTGAAGAATCTGCCATGTGTAGTTCGAAGCCAGCACGAACGCTTCCCCTTTCAAAGTGTTTCAGCTCACACCCGACCGTACTGAGGCGTGCCGATACGGTACAAGTAGGCTGAAGATGTTGCCAGAGAGATGGAAAGAGCAGGAAGCGCCTGGATTCGACAAGATGCAGTCTCCGCCAAGACGAGCTTTGTCAGCAAAATCTAGTTCGGTTCTACTGATGACACAGGCCAGGAGGAAGATCAATTCAATGCAAACGCTGTCGTAAGTAACGTAGCAGTCTGCGCCACGAAATATCACGAGCCCGATACAACCGAAAAGAAAGAAAAAACGTCCATTTAGTCACTTACAATATCTGTCTGGTTTGCTCGCAAGGCTACGAGGGAGATGTCGCGCTCAAATGATCCCGGGCACTACTTCCAAACAACTGAAGCTCTCGCGACTACAGAACGAAAGGCAGCAAAGTCCAAGAACAAGCACGGCGACCCAATCAAGCTCTCGTCAAAAGTTCTCGCAGTCATTGCAGACCCATGGGACGAAAATGCCGTCTACCTCGCAGAAGCAGTCGGAGAGATCAAAAGAGTAGACTTGGAAGTGTGTAAGCAGCCTTTTAATTTTCCATGATATGGCGAAGAATATATTATGCTGACGGAACATATCCACGCAGACACGTAAAGTCCAAAAGATCTTCGATCAATGTGCAGCGCCTCTCACCTGCTTGAGCATATGTCTACAAACCAAGACGCTTTTCACGGGCTGCTGGGATAAATTCACCTATGCCATCCCCCTCGACAATCCGACCAACATTCGAAAACTTGCAGGCCACACCGATTTCCTCAAGACAGTCCTTGCAACCACCATCAACAAAACTCCCATTCTCATCTCCGGCTCGGCAGATTCTACCATCATCATTTGGGATATTTCCACCAACAAAATCCTCCACAAACTCAAAGGCCACACCAAAGCCATCACAAACCTCGCCATCGACCCCTTAGTCTCCTCCTCCTCCCCCTCCCTCCCAGATGAAGAAGACCAAGGAGAAGGAGAAGAAGCAGAAGAAGAGATCACCCTCTTCTCGTCCTCCTCATCCCCCATCCTCCGCACCTGGACCATCAACCTCTCCACCCACACCGCCTCAGAAACCCCCACCTCCCTCTCACAACCCCTCAGACCGCACGAAACAAGCATCTACCGCCTCCACTTTGACACCTCGGGAGATCTCTGGACCTGCTCCGCCGACAAAACATGCCACCACCTCATTCGCTCCCGCAACTGGGAATCCGACACGACTCTCCCACACCCAGACTTTGTGCGGGATATTGCCGTATTCGACACGTTGGGGCTGGTCGTCACGGCGTGCCGAGACGAAGAGGTGCGAGTGTGGGATGCGAGTCGCGGGGAAGTGGTATGTGTGTACGGAGGACATTTTGAGGAGGTGACGGGGCTGGTGGCGTGTGAGAGGCAGCGGAAGGTGGTGAGTGTGAGTATTGATGGGACGTTGCGACAGTGGAGTTTGGACAGGAAGGATATGCTTGCGTGGGAGGAGGAGAGGGCTCGAGAGACGTTGACTGGGGTGGCGGCGGAGACGGAGGAGGAGAAAGCTGCGGGGAGAGGTAATATGCTTACAGCGGAGGAAGAGGCAGAACTTGCCGAGCTGATGGATGATGATGATGATGATGAATGATTATGTGGAGCGATCATGTGGAAGTATCATGCTAGCTGCAGTGATGTCAAGGTGGAAGTTCAGAGAAACATAATTGCTCGTGGAGCGATATACGACTCACGCTCTCTCAAAGGTAGCCTGTGGCCCAACATTTCTCAGAACCACACCATTTCCATGAGCCAGTACGCCGCTGCCATGCATTTCATACTATGCCTCATCAATCAGAATCGGGTCATATCACATATCCCATACACTGTCGCATTTGCCAAAATTCTCGTTTCGCCGAGCTCGATTATTGCCCGAGTCTGCGGAGCACATGCTTCTACGAGTGCTCTCGTACTTCTTCCTTCGAGAGCTTAGGCGGCTCCCTACTCAACAGCGCTCTCAGCTCAGGCGAGATCACCTTTTCTCTGTCGGCCGCGCTCGCTTGTGCGCCAATTCCCCCTGCTGTCTGTTCTCTGCCCGTCACTGCAGCACTCTGTGCTCGGTTGCTAGGTCCGGAATTGCTGGTGTTTCGAGGTCGTCCATCACCTACGGGTTGCGCTCCAGGACTGGGCGGCTGAGGTAGTCTCTGCCTCAAAATCGGAGCTTGGGGGAAATTGTTCTTCCTGTCAATGGCTTCTACTATGCGCTGGAACTTCCGGAACAGCGACTCTGCTCGTACTAACGTGCTGTGAAGGTCGATAGTGCCACTGAGCTCGTTCACGTACTTGAGCACTTCATCAAAGCCTTTCAGATGCTCCATGATGACATTCCTGTGCTTCTCCAGGATGGCGGCAGCGATGAAAAGATGAAAGTTTGCCGAGTAGTAGTCTGTCCATAGGCCCTCCCACATTCGAAGAATGGCTTCAAATTCGAATTCGCGCTTGAACCAGACGATGAGCATCCGGAAGAAAAAGAAGAAATTGGTACTATCCACTTTGGCCAAATGCTCATAGAGTTTGGGGTCGATGAGCTGCACCAGCTGGTCGAGGGTGAGCAACTGTAATCGCATACCGGATTGGTCGCGGAGGAAGTTGCGCTCCATACGTTCCATGAACTTTGTGAAGCCCCAGAAAGCGACTGCATCATCTTGCTCAACAGCATAGATGGGCGCTAGAAGATCAGACATACCTTGGACATAGCCAAGATCCCGGTTGTACTCGTTGTATGTTAGTAGCATGTCCTTCATTTGTTCCATGTGCACATTCGTGCCAGCTTCGGCGAAGGGACTGTCCGGATCGGGATGCGGTATATCCTCGCCCGCAAATATCGGGATGTGTCGATCAGTACGATGTACGTCCTTTTCTATTTGGCCATGAACAGCACGGTCAGCGCGTCCATCAGCAGTAGTAATCGTGGTGGTGGTGGACGCTCGACTTACCAATGCGCATTTTCTGCTCCTTCCACCATTCGCGTTCTTCCAACGTGCCAGCTTCATCGACCATGCGCTCCCACCAAGCACCTTTCAAGCGGATGTACTCATCACGCAGACTGTTCATGTGAGCGTGCCTTTCCTCTGTCGTGCTATCCCATTCGTAGACACCGAGAAGGAACAGCCAGGCCTCCTTACGAACGCCATCGTCTGGGCACATGCCGCCGTGGAAAATGCGTTCCTTGACTTCATCGGGTGTCTTCTCGAGCTTGCCCGTGTGTGAGTTAAAGAAGCTGGTCCACTCCTTCATGGTAACGGGCTTTCTCTTATCGGCTAGACTGATGCCCTGCTCCATGTCCAATATCTCAAATTCACCGAGCTCGGTATCTTCCATCTCCAAAACGTCTTTGGCAGTCCAGATTCGTTGATTGCGCTCACGTTCGGACTGTTCTGCAATGCCCATGGCCCATCGTGCCAAGTATATTCTGGCAGAATCAAACTCGTCGGATACAGTTTGAACTTGCGGGTTCTGCAGCAGCCTCCTCACCTGAGGCGGCAAGCTCTTGTTCTCTGCCACGGCCTGTGCAGTCCTCCTTGTAAAAGTGGTCACTTGTGCCATTTTCTCGAGAAAGCTCCACCTTGCATTCTGTAGAGCCTTCATGACTGGGTCTTGTTGTCCTGCGCTCTTCCGCTTGTCCTTTGACGGATCATCCTTGTGCTTACCTTCTAAGACGTTCTTGACTTTGTCTGGAGTAGGCTTTCCTGTGCATCATCAGTAAGACCTTCGCAGCTACCCACCACATAAGGAAATCCTACCTCCACTACCAAACGACAGCTTGTCGGCATCGTTCGGGTCGATCATGTATACGCTCGGTTCCTGCGCTGACCTCTCCACCACCACATACTTCTTCAGCCACTCGATCGCTTGGTCGCCGCCCCAGAACATGTGGCCATCTTCAGCGCTGATGCTGAAGTTCTCCCTCTGCAGCTTCTTACGCTGGGCAATCGTCGATTGGCACTCCGAATCATGGAAGAACAGAGCGGGGAAACTGTCGCCGGTGCGTGTATTAATGATGATGCTCCCAAACCACCACCCGGTGCTCGGCGGCCGCACCAGGACGGAGAAGATGTCAGCTACAGGGACTGCAAAGGCATATGTGCCTAAGCTCGAGCTATGGGCGGTCACAACAGGTGGTCGCGGGACCAAATTTCGTGGGTTTGGGGTGCCTTCCGAGTCCGAAGCTTCCACTTTGGTATAGACAGCACGTGTATCTGCATCCAGCGTGCTGTCGGGCACCCATGCGAGAAGCAGGTCTGTTCTCTTTGGCGGCTTGCTCGCACTGCTGCTTGCGCCCTCGTCGGCTCTGTGACGGAAGTGTCAGATTATGACTCGCCTGCCATCACATAATCTACATATCGCAGACGACGGGACCTACGGCTTCTGCTGAATCAGGGCAAACCAGCCATCGACGTTGTCCTTTGCGCTCTGTGTGGGATGAACATAGACCTTGCTCTTGCAATATAGCAGCTTCACGCCCTTTGTGCTCCTGCTGGGTTTGATGGTGCTATATTCGGACTCGTCGTCGTCGGACATGTCGTAGAAGGAGGCGGTGGGCGATGGGGGAGGGTAGCCTTGTTTCTGCTGACGGTGACTCGCGTCTGCTACCTCTGCAGCTGGTGGAGGCGGAGGGGGAGGCGATGGAGGCATGGCAGCGGTACAGCTCCTGCTGCGGCTGACTTATTCAGTAGATGGGTATGGGAGAGTGTGGTACGGCACGGTACGGTACTTGGCCCAAGACGTCGTATCACATGTTCATTCGCATCATGAGGTGGCGAGCCAGCGAGAAGGCTGTCTGGATGTTGATGTGTCGGTATGAGGCCCAGTGCCTGACATGCACTTGGTGGGCTGGGTGTTGTTTACTGACTGACACTGACGTGGTGGGGGAGTGGCGCATGAGAGCGATGACGATGTTGCTCGCATTCCAGGCATCCATCCACCCAATCACTCCCATCGTCGCCTGAACGACATTACCATCACCACCACCATCACCACCACCACTCACACCACCTCACTGCGTCTATCGACAACCATGGCACTTCATCAATGAACGTGAGGATGAAAGTTGCAGGCATCGACGTTCGTGCACGCTTCGCATGAGCGCGTCGACGAACAGGAAGATGAAGCAGACGGCCGACAAACGACTCTGCGACGCACGGGCTCGAATGTCCATTTATGACACGCCCTTAATTCGGGCCTCCGACATATATGGCGATCCACTCGCCACCGGACAATCGACAGCGACGGCGACTTGGGCACGTCCAGTCATTCCTAAAGAGAAGGGAGTCCAATTCACCTAACGCAGCGAAGAAGCACGCCGTTTGATGATCCCCCATACACTTCACTCACCCGTGAAGATGGATTTTCACTGCGCCGAGCGCACATGGTAGTATTGCCAACGTTGTTGACACGTCCTGCCGCTCTCAATAGTCACCTCGAGAAGGCCGGGGCGGAAGCTCAACGCGGCGGGGCCATAAGTCATCAGGATCAGGGCGTGGGCTCTCCGGCGAATTGCACCCTTGGCAGTACAGTGTGGTGCTAGCCGAAGGGCACCTGGTCTGTGCACATGTCTATTGTTACGCTGCCAACGACGCTTGCTCTGACCTACATGATACTCCAGAATGATCGGCATTTCCAAGGGCGCTCGCAATCCTTGGGAGATGCAAATTCCCATCTCTATGAATGTCGTGGAAAGGTATGGGAGGACTTCCCAAGTAGTTGAAGACGCACAGCACAGAGCCACTTCATTTAGCACCACTGTTCGCCATATCCACCTTGCTCTGCACCAGTCAGTCGATGCTAAGCTCATCTACATAGAGTCAATGTGTATTTGAGACATGATTCCACGGGGTTTTCCCAGTCGACGATCGTCACATGAGGTATCTCGTTGAGACCAGATAACGATTGGCACATCGATCCTTTCGGTGGTTGTCTCTACTGCCATCAGGGACAAGCACAATGTGCCGAGTCGACCATTGAGCTTCGATTTGGATGCCCGGCACAAGCTAACGCTTCACTACGCACTCTTCTTGCCGGCCGGTGCCACGTGCTTCATATGGGGATTCAAGCACAAGAAAATAGTACAAGCTACCTACCTTAGTCTTGCGTGTCGGTATGCAGTAAGGATGACTCCAGCACTGGCTGAATTGGCTCAGGGACCATACCGTACAACCAGTCTGCCTTCCCTCGTTACCCGCGAGACTTTCATGACCATTGCTCCAACAGACCGACGAGCACAATGCACTCGCAGCTTGGCTGGATACACTGCTGCACTTGGGGATTCGCAAAGACGCTCAGTGGAGTCTGCCATCGCAAGAGCCGAGACCTATTCCCCCATGCGAGATCCATCTAGTACATTGCCCGAAGCTGTTTTCACTCTTCGGTTGATTCGCTACGATGATCACACTAACGCTCAAGGTGGAAGGCTTCTGGAAGGATGACTTCCATCAAGCGATAGTGGTGGTTTCATCATGTGCAACGGCGCGCGAACCGCCCTCACTTGGCCGCTAACAGCATTCTTCAGGTCGTAGTTCATACCCATCGCAAAGAACGCACGGACCAACGACATTCTCCGACAGTTCGAGAGATTCGCCGACAGACCATAGAGCATGAACATCAATTCTTCGATACTGAGAAGAGCACAATCATCTATAAGAAGCGGACAAGAAACCCCTCTTCTCATCATCATCAGCATCAGCATCAGCATCCAACAACCAGCCAGACCTACTACAGTCTCTTCTTCGACACCCTTCACACTCAACACCACCACTCACATACCAACCGTCAAGATGAAGTTCACCGCAGTTGCCATCTCCGCCCTCGTCGGCACCGCCTTCGCCGCTCCAGAGTGGACCCAGCCAGGTGGCGACCACGACTACAAGCCCGTCGCAAAGCGTTTCGTCCCAGGCACAGACTCCATCCAACTTTCCAAGCGTATTGGACCAGTCGGCATTGCTGTTGCATCTGTCTTGGCTTCCGGCGTTCTCGGTTTCGTCGGTGGTCCCGTCGCCAACCGCGCCTTGAACGACATCTTCGGCGTTCAAAAGCGTTCGATCAACTTCGACCTCGACATCAACGGCCTTAGCTTCGACGAGGCACGAGAAATTTACATTGACCACCTCTCCGAGCTGATCATCAAGGAGAACCCTTACGACGGCAACGACGCGGGTGTGTGCGTCGGTATCGCATACAAGGTCTCCAAGCCTGCGGCTATTGTTGATGCCGCGGCGATCAAGTTCACCTCTGAGGGACAGGAGCACGAGTGAGTTTTTTGTCCCCCACGTCCCTGCTTGGATTTTTTTCCCCAAACGTCATCCTTGATCGACGATGCTAATAGAGATTTCCTCACAGGTACGACTGCTTCGTCCTCCAGGGACCAGTGACCCTTGAGGTTGCCTCCAACGCCACTGAGGCCGATGTAAGTCTATCCCCAACTCGCAGGTGCCGCAAGTGATTCTACTAACAACGCTTGTCATTGCAGATCGCCTTCGTTGCACCAAAGTCCTCTACCTGGTCTGGCGGTGTCCTCACCCTCACCGAGTAAATTCGCTCACTCACTCCATCCGGCAAATCGTGACGACGAAAGCCAGATATATATCACGACTGACTTTTTGGGTATCTTGCGGGAGGGATTTGAATATGCATTTTCAGGTGTTCAGTAGCATTTGGGGGTCAAATGGGATGCGATGATGGTGATGATGTTACCTTTGCAGATTTCATACGCACATACAATGAACCAATTGAATGGACGTTTATGAAATTTATCCTTATCTCTCATGCACAGTCTCCTCCGTTATCCCATCTTCTTCTGCTACATCATCATCATCTGAACAGCTTCCGCTGCCAATGTTACTCACCAAGGTACTGATGACCTATCTCTTATGTGTAGGAGTCACAAGAATCAGAGGAAACGTTTGTCGTAATGGAGCTGATCGTGGATGGACTTGGTTTTATGATTGTCAGACATGTTACAGATGGCGAAGAGGTCATCAATGACATCTGGGGGCCTGTCTTCTGTCTTAGCAGCGTATGACCAGTGTGTCATCAGTCTGGCAATAGGGTATGATGTCTCCTGGATTCACTATTCCATGCTGTATGGTATCATGATTAATCCCTCCATGCTGGATGTTCCATTCACGAATGTTTCCACATCTGTCGAGCATGTGTGACAAAAACGGACAATGGGTACCTACCTACTCTCTGGACTGGAGTCTAGAGAAACCATAGCCACCATTGATTTGACCAACGAAGCGATTAACGTGAACCAGCACGAGTGGTCTGGGAATCAGTACTATCACGTCTCTCTCGTTATCACGATTGATGCACTTCAGTAACCCAACCTTTCCAGCTTTCGAGGCAAGAGACGAAAATATGCATCTCTTTCTCGACTTCAATTCGAGCAGAGATCAGTTTCCTTCTGCCATCTCTGAACCTCCAACGCCTTCATTGGACGGCAACGTACTCCAAGCGACAGAGATCCCCTCGCATCAAATTCAACAGCAAAGAATCCTAAGAACCGGAATCATCGAACCCCCACCCATTTATGAGGATAGAGCTCAACCGATACAACAACAATCAATACCCCCAGGAACATCGGAGGTACGGGAAGAACAAGAAGAAGCAAGCAGAGAAACCCTCATAACCGCACAACTCGTAGCACAATACATACCCCGACCTCCACCACCACAACCCTCATCCTCATACCCATACTCACACTTCCGATTCCCCTCAAATTCCACACTCCACACCTCATCAATCTCCATACCCACCACAGCAACTTTCTCCGACTTTCTCCGAACAATCTTGAATCCTCTGCTTCTTCTTCTCCAAACCGAAAGAGAAGCCGAAGCAGAATCTCAAATTCTCCAAACAACAGCAGGTACGATAACGACAGCAACAACAACAACAACATCTACCTACAATAACAACAATAACAATGAGGAATTACAATGTGAAATATATTTCCTATACCCCAAGTTCAATTTCAATCTCCATCTCGGGGGGAAATGGAAATTGAAATGGAACAAATGGATGAGAAGAAATAGTAGTGGTAGTACAATGAGAAATATCCAAGTGAATGAAGAAAATTGGCCAATGGTGGTTGCTGCTTTGAGGGATAATGAGAATAAGTCAAACGAAAGAAGGAGAGGAATGGGAGGAAGAGGTTTTTTGGAGGGGGTGGGAGAGGGAGAGTATAACGGTCAGGATGAGGAGGAAAAAGGAAAAAGACAAGGGTCCTTGTTGAGGGTTCTGTATTGGGGAAGAAGCGAGGAGGGGCAGGTGGAGACGGATGCGAGGCTGAGGAGGGAAGAAGAGGCTGTTAGAAGGATGTACAGAAGGACTTTGAGACCCTATGGGGCGTGGTAGGAGGTACCTCCATAGGTACGCCGGGAGGTAGTTGGTCTGGAGCGATTGTTCGCGATTCTTTGTGCATCTTTTGTCTGTGGAGTGAAGTGGAGAGGAGAGGAGAGAGAGAGGTGGAGTGAGAGTGAATCAGGTGTCACCTTTGGTGTGGTATTGAAGGTCTTGGACTTGAGGGTCGAGATTCTCCTTTGCGGTCGGGATATACGGTACACGTTGTGGGTCTGGTTGAAGTTGGGAATAAACGTGGTGCGGTATTGCAGCAGTAGTCTTACAAGAATCTTTGTATCCACACACCAGAACCTCGATCGATGCAGAGCTCTTTCACATTCATGTGTTGTGTGGTGAAGAAGGTTCGTGGTAGCAGTTCTAGACCAGATCGACATAGCTGCTGCAGCTCTGCAGCTATTCTGTCACACAGTATGTCTTTCAGCAACCATACTATCAAGCTTTTCCGTCGTGATTCCTGCCAAGTAGGCGGGCTTTAAACACAAGCAACATTCACCATGGCTGTTGTGCAGAGCCTGTGCACAGATAACGCTGATCGTACTGGACTTGGAGAGCGCAATCATGATATTCCCATCTGTTGGATATGAACAAACGACAAGACTTCCGGCATCGAAAGCACCTATTGTTAGCGAGACCTTATTGGAAGATACAAACACCACCGAGCGGCCCTCTCGACCCCGACTTCCAGGACGTTCTCTATCGCATCGCATCACTGACCTAATTGACGAGGCCTTTCCGGTGCCGGAAGTTCTGGAAGACAACTTTGAATATCGGCTCTCGAGCGAAGACTGCGACATCATGAGCACTATCATGACGACCGAGGATGGTCCGGCTCCGCCAGCATATACAACACTTCAGGAGCCGCCGAAATATAATGCTGTTGGAAGTCTTGTAAGTCACGCTTAGGACCCCAGCATGCGCATGGCGCTGACTGACCTCTGATCACTCCTAGGCCGATCAACTTCCCGAATCGTTCTCCCTACCAATCGAGTACGATCGCATGTCAATGAGCTCTACCAATTCCAACCATCGATACCACACATATCACGATCTCGTACTTCTAGCTCCGACGATGTCATTCGATGACTTCCTTCGAAAAGTGGAGCAGAAAGCTACCGCGTACATCATGTTCGAACGCATTTCGAAGCGACTCCTACCTGATGAGAAGGTCGTATGTGTGCCAGAGGTCAGATGGCGGACATCCAAGCGAGGATTCCTCAAGCGATCCAAAGTCGTGAAGAATACAGTCGAAGCTCAAGACTGGCCGGCAGTTGTGTCAGTCTTACAGAATAGACCAGGAGAGGTGGAGCTGAAAGTAAAATTTTGGACGGAGCGGCCGGATTCACTTATGAACACGCCTAGGAAAGAGCGTAGCGCGGTAACCGATGTCGGTGTTGATCCTGCAGCAGCTGCGAACACTATGATTGTATAAGGTAGCTTGGTGTGGGCATCGTGAGCTAGGTAGGCATGTGGCATGCAGACAGTAGTTCTGTTGTACCTATTCAATCTCACAGTCGTCGTCAACTCTCTTGACAACGTTTTCTCTGCAAGCTCAGCAATCTTGCAGGCACACATTTACTCCCGTTGCCGAGGGAATCTTTCCAGACGACTCTATCGCCCAGAAGAGTGCTGACCCTTCGCTCCACTCGCAGCCATTGGTCGATCCTCATCATGCGATACACCATTAGTGTGCACCTGTCGTTGCTGCTTCTTTTGCCATTGGCTTTGCAAGTGCATTGTGAAAGGACGGCCGATATGTGCCAGAATGACACAGAAGAAGGTAGCGCAGAAATGCCAGAGGAATACGATGGTGGTGCCGATGCCCCAGGGGGCAAAGAATTGGAAGAACTGGTCCACTTGGTACAAGTCGTTCTGGGATTGAATATAGTATTTCCGTGACCCAGGTTTGCGAGTGAGCTGGAGGACGGTGGTAAGATTGACAGGGCTCCTGTGGAATGGGATGAACCAGATGCTGAAGACTTGGCTGATATTGACGTATAAGACCAAGTTTTCCTCGTCATATGCTACTCCATTCACGTTGAGCAGGATTGTGGGGCTCATGATCTATGTATATTCCGTCAGCTTGAATGATGTGATTTCGTTGAGATGCAGAAAGTAATTACTTTATACCATTGAAAGATCTGAAGGATGAGCCATCTCGAGCCCTCGAAGCTGCCCGTCCGACAGAAGGGATGCTGTTTACCGGAGGTCAGTTATCGAGATCTGGTTGGTGAGATGCCTGCAGTGCTCGATATCGCTCACGGTGAAGCTGGCGTCAGTAGTGAAGTAGTCTTCAATGGCGTCCTTTTGCTGCTTTGGTGAGCCCTGCGTGAGTCGATGCACGACGCTTCTGATGTCTGCGATGGGATCGTCCATTCTCCCCAAAATGGGTGTATACAAGATGAGATACAGTATCAGTGTCTAGGAAACGAGATGAGATGGTGATGTTGTTGTTGTGACGGGAAGGACGGGACTTGATGAGAAGACGATACGATGATGACAGCCGAGCTCCAGTGAGGATGAGACGGCACGGGACGGCACGAGGCACTCCAGGAGATGCATTGGGGGATGCTAAGCTACATTGGGTATGGAGTAAAGGCGCTAGGCCTGTGACAGTGACGTCAAACAAAGCTTGTTCCTGATTTCTGCGGATGCATGTGAGAAGAGTGTGGTCGGGTGAGAGCTGGGCTTGCACTTGCCTTCTCACACGCTTATTTCGTGCACAGGGAAAGGACGAACGTCCAACCGACTATAAGCATGTACCTAAGGTAGGTGCAAGCCGCGTGGAGGTTGACGTACACGCACATACCCATTCCGTTCATTCCGTTTGTACGGACCACAGGCAATGGAAGGTGCGGGAGGCACTGTTCCTCTGGGTGGTACCTTCCCATTCGAGTATACATCAGGTTATCCTCCCTTACCTCTATGCCTTCATCATTGGAACAACATCCTCCACAGCAACACCTCGGCGGTAGAAGAGCGGCTCCATCATCATCATCATTATTATCATCATGGGCCAGAATAGACAGCAGACCGGCGCGGAGATGCTCTTGCAGCACCTGTTCAACGACCCCATCAACTTCCTCTACCGACTGCTTCAGCGCCTCCTCGCCTTCATACTCTCGCCCGCCCCGCCGACCCCATCCACGAAGCTCCGCCGTCCCCGTGTCGCCATCATCGGCGCCGGCCTGACCGGAGTCTCGTCTGCAGCACACTGTGTCGGTCATGGCTTTGATGTCACGCTGTTCGAAGCCGGCGGGGAAGATGCCGTGGGAGGCATCTGGGCCAAAGTGAACAACACGTCGGGACTGCAAATCCATTCCGTCATGTACCGCTTCTTCCCCACCGTCCAGTGGAGCGAGGGCTATCCCAACAGGAAAGAGATAGTGCAGGCGGTCAAGCAGCTGTGGCAGACGTACGGGCTCGAGAAGAAGACTAAGTTCAACACGCGGGTCGACAAGGTGTACAAGGATTCCCAAAACCGTTGGATTATCAACGATGAGAGCAACGGTCGCTTTGATGGCGTGATTGCCGCCATTGGCACTTGTGGCGAGCCCAAGAATGCTACAGTCAAGGGCGAGGACAAGTTCAGGGGCCACATCTACCACTCCAGTCAGCTGGATGGCAAAGGTGGGCAGCATCTGTTCTGGTGACACATGGGAAAAAATCAGCTGACATGCCACAGAGCAAGATGCCAAAGGCAAGAATGTCATTGTCATCGGCGGAGGTGCCTCTGCAATTGAAGCCATGGAGTTCGTTACCGCTGCGGGAGCTAAAAAGACGTACATTCTCTCGCGATCCGAGAAATGGATCATTCCACGAAACCCTGTCATCGACGTACTGCTAGCTCTGAACATCTTCGGCCAGGAGACCATCTTCTCTTTCATCCCAGAAAGGCTTCTGCGTCTCTTTTTCTACCGTGACCTCCAAGACATAGCACCTGCGGAGAATAGCGGAAAGGGACTCTTCACGGAAACTCCAATGGTGAACAACGATGTACTGGAGCAGATTCGTTCGGGTAAAACCAGCTGGCTGAGAGGCGACGTCAAGAACTTTGAGGAGAACGGTATCAAGTTTAATCACAGAAGCCAGGGCACACCCAAAGGCGGACCTGGTCGCGAAGAGCTTATCGAAGGTGATATATGCATCATGGCCACAGGCTACGAACGTCCATCTCTCAACTTCTTGCCCCGCGATTGCTTCCAAGAGAACTACGAACCACCCAACTGGTATCTCCAGGTCTTTCCACCCACGCATATAGACATTTGCTGCAACAACTGCACGTATGTCAACGCTATCGGAGCTGTGGGTAATTGGCACATTGGAATCTACACACGATTTCTCCTCATGTTCCTCGTCGACCCTCTGGCACGACCAACAGAGGGTCTCATGAAACTCTGGATCGATTTCACCAGATGGGTCAAACGATTCGCTCCCACTGCTGCATTCGACTTCTTCACTTATTCCGAGTTGGTTTACTGGTTTGTCTTTGTCATTATTATCAATCCCTTTCGCTGGAAATGGGCTCTGTTTGTTCTAACGGGACGAGGTTCTGCTTTGCCCAAAGCTGTGGTGGAACAGGAAGATAGAATACGAGGCAAATATGCGGCCAAGGCGTCGTGATCCTTATGCGTGAATTACTTTACATTGGAGACGAGAGTATACATGCCTTGGCGGAACTATCAAAGAACTTTTCCCGAAGGTTTGTGTTGTGCAACACTGGTCGAGAGTGATGTTCAGAAGAGTGAGACTCTATTTGTTGGTACAGAGAAAGGGAAAAGCCCGCAACCAAGCGAGCAATTCCAGCCCACCATTACTACTATAGACCGATGTACGACGTCCCATTCTGATCGCTCCTAGCCTCTCTTCATCCTGCTCACAGTCAGAGAGAGGAGAAGAACACAAAGACGTATCTTGAAATTACCACCGTTCCCTCCCATCCATAGCCGTTTCTGGCATATTAAAGGTACCTAGTGCAGGTACCTAATTAGGTTGTGTAGTTAGTACTCCTCCGACAGGTCCAATTCCACATCCTGCAAAGTTAAAGTCCGCGCCACCTTCCGATCCATGCCATGCATTTCAGGGGCAAAACGACATTTGTCGCCGTTGATGCAGCCCACAACGCGCAGGGAACCCTGCTGCTGTTGAGGATACGGGCAGTGATGGCCATATATGCAGTCGAATTCGCGACAAAAGGTGCCCTTCTTGCAGACGGTCTCGCGGGCGACGACGCGGAGCCATTTCTTGTCTTCTTCACTGAGTTTGGTGTCGTGCTCGTGAGGGCAGGCGCCGTTATTGGCTTTGAAATGGCAGCAGCCGCGGCCGATATAATGCTATAATATGGTTAGTCTACCTCAGAAAAACCTCCGTGCTGTGAATGGGAGCGAGCGAGAATTTTGGGGGGGGGGGGGGGGGGGCACTATACCTGATTGCAGTATTTTGCTTGCTTCAGCTTGTACACTTTGTCGTGGTCATAGTCCATCTGCTTGTCGATGCGATAATTAAATTTGTTGACGTGAATCACAGGTCCGCTAAACACCACTTCCGCCTGTGGCTTTGCGATATCTTTCAGTGGGAGATGCGCATTCTTGCGAGCGATGCTGGCCCATGCTCCACCAGGAGTGGACACCGGTACTACCGATGCTGGTCCTGGCGCAGGAGCACCAGCGATTGCCGGACCCTCGCTCACTGCCAGCGAGGCGATACTGTTAGCACGAGTAGAGCTCTCTCGGAATGAAAGTGTGGTAGGACTGTACAGCGGCGTGCTCGGCGCCGGCGTACGTGTCGATGGCGGTGGAGTGAACATTGCACTGGCGGGGTTGAACAGGTTCCTCGAATCATGACGACCCCGGGGAATGTCTCCCAGAAGATCCAGTGGCGGCAGATTGATCTTGGTGTCGCGAAATAAACCAGGAATGGTCTTCTTGTCGAAAGGCAACGTTTCCAACTCCTTCTCAAACGGTACACCTCCAAGCAGAGTCACACGGCCGACCTCTTGGGAATCCTGCATGTGGTTCTCCAAGAGACGTGCATATCCATTATCGTGACTGCAGCCAAGGACAATTTGGCGACATTGATTGTTATGAAAGTGTGTGCGGAAGTTGGCGCTCAGTTTCGTGTTGGCTTTGTCCTTGCCATAACCCACGTCGATGAAGTCACACATCTCATCGCCGCTCGTGAAGCCATCAACGAACTCTTCGAATATGGATGGCGAGCTTAGAATGCCGGCCTTGACTAGAGTGGACGAGAGGCCAGTGACGTTTGCATATACTCTAGCGATGATTTGCGAGTCTTCAGGACAGTGCGGGTGACCAGAAAGCATCCGGAATATGCCCTCCTTGAGCTGTCGGGCAGCCTTGCGTCCTCCCGCCTCTCCCAGTCGGAGCAGCTCGTGGTTGAATATCAAACCGTCACCATCAATCAGGACCATGACGTACGGATTGGACAGTAACAAGTTCTTGAGCATATCGCGCTCAACTGTGACCAGTTGTAGAGTGGCTTGCAATGGAGGCTGTGCATGACTGCCACGCGCGGAGAGGGTGGAGGCCTGCAGCTCTTCGTGCTTTATGACAAGGTTAGAATATCGGTGGAGAACTTCCTGCAGAACGAATTAGCACAAGGGGATGTCCATCGTGTGCGCTTGGAAGCGTTGCCAGGGCAATAACGGCACGAGATGAACTTGGCGAACGGCGAGCTGAGCCTGGTGTCATCGCGCACACGTGGAAGGATCATTCGAGGCAGCCTTACCTGAAGGAGCTTATCTTGCGAATTGTGCTGCGACTGTGAAATATTGTATCTCGACCACAATTCGCTCAAATGTTCACTACTAGCCGATGCCACGCTGGCAATCTCACGAACAGGCGTGCGAACAGGCGGCGCCGCGACGCTAGAGCTTCGACTTCCAGAGAGCCTGTTCCAGCCGTGCGAGCTGTCGCGCATCGATATAGGAGTTCTGCCGTTCACAGAGCCATTCTTGCGAGGTGTGCCTATCGGATCCATGGCCATGGGCGGCGGTGAGGCGGTTTCGGCGTCTGGTTCAGACGGCCCTAAGTTGTAGAGCGCCAGTTTGGCAACGTGTGTGTTTTTGAATTTGGGGTTGATGAGATCGAGGTTGAATGAGGTTGAGGTTGTAATTTGACTTTGTAAATCCGCGATCCCGCCGAATCGAAATTTGATGGCGAGGTCAAATTGACAAGTCCCCTGCCAGACCAGGAAGATGGGAGACTGCGGGCGGCGGGCGTGTTGGCTGTATTGCTTCGCAACAGTCAGAGGTCTGATGTTGGCTGGTGGCAGAGAGTCTCTATAGCAAATGATGACCGGTCGCGTGCTGATGTGAAAGCTCTTCCCTGCTGGTGGTGGGTGGTATAAAAGATATCCTTCGTCGGTGGCACCTCGTGCTAGTTCCAAGTTCTGACGGGACGGCAGCGGCAGCGGCAGCGGCAGCGGCCCGGGAGAATAAGGAGTCTTTTTTCTTCTGGCGACTACGTTGAGTACTGGCCACGCTGCCACTATCCAGAGTGCAACAAACAGCGAAGCAACAACAATCTACAGCAATACGCGTTGATGCGTGGATGTGCAGCGAAGAATTTGTTGCTCTTCCTTCACCGCATGGGCTTATGCGCGTTGCGGGAGTGCCGTGCCAGGGTAGTCTGCAGGAAACCAGTCGGAAAGTCTGCTGTGCAACGCCAACGACGTGGATCGCCAGAATAGTGTCTGCGTTGTCTCCTCCACACGCATTCAAGCATTCTTGAGCATCGGACTGGCCAAATGGCCAGTGGCGTGCGATGCTATGGGATAATAATGCAGGCTAGGTGGTCTGGTTTCCGCAGCGAAGCAGCACGAGTCACTTCATCATATGGACGGTCAGTAGACTGTCATTCGCCCTACCGAAGCAGACAAGTGAATGCGCGCGCACATGTGCAGCATAGCGATGCGAAGCCTGTTGACATGTGAGTTGCCTTCATACCTATGCTGAATTACAATCGGAGGGCGCCAGAGGCCACTCTAGCCGACCGGACAGTGAACAACGGCCTGTGAATGCACATATCGCTCAATGCAATCGTGTAACATATAGAAGAAGCCCCCAAGATTTCCATTATGTTGACCTAGGTATCTCGTGTCTAGGTCACCTTATATATCAGCGGGCGTGGTTCAACACAAAGGCACGTTTACATACGGTCTTGAGGCCTGGTCTCTTCGCATTTTTCGCATTTTTTGTCTCTATGCGATGGAACTGTATCACGGGCTGTTTCCATATTGGTGTCTTTGTGGGTATAAGTCTCTGCGGTCGATCTCCAGGCTCTCGGCCGATTTGAGAGCCTTGACAGCTCCGTCGTGCCTTCTGTCTACTCACGTTTCCACGCGTCGAGCTCCTCATCTAAGTGCTCCTTGAGCTTCTTCAACTGATTACCAAAATTTTGGCCGCAACGCCAACACTCCATGCTCTTTTCCGAAATACTCCGGCGTTTTCTTTCATACTCGTCCGTGGTCATTGGAAACTCCTCAAGGGCAACGAAGAAATCTGTTGTGAAGGAACGATAGTGGCTGGAATTCTTTAATGAATCGCTGACCATGTCTTTACTCATGACGTGGATATGTAGATGATCCATCGACGGAGTGGCGTGGATTCCGGACTTGACGCCTTGCAGCCAGTCGCGCCCGGGAGGCAGCTCTGCAGGGGGCTCGTGTGCGTCCATCGCTTCGTTCCTGGCCTGTTCTGCTGTCGAGTACTGTCCAAAGCGTCGGCGAAGCTCGTCGGCAACCATCAAGGACACCTTGTCCTTCTCGCGTTTGCAGTCGGCCAGGAACTCTGAATCACCGAATGCTGATTGCGATCCGAGGAGGTTCTTACTCTTATCACGAGGGAGTATCAGAAGATGAACGGTAGACTTGGGATACACTAGCATATAGGAACAGATCAGCGTCAGTCCCGTCGCAATGACGGTTCCTCTCGGGGCAATAAGCTCCGGAGATTCTCAATGGCATCCGAGACCACGAGACAAAGCATTTCGTCGGCCACTCACTATCATTGATCACTACAAACTTGTCATCGTAGTAGATGACTCTGCTCGGGGGAAAGGCTTCCGGATGGAGGGCATACTGTCCGAGAGCAAGTCGTCCGTATCGTTGTGTTTGCTGGCTGGCTGGGTCATGTCTGGCCTTGTCATATGTCGGCGGCACATCCATCCTGGGTTTCTTAGGCTTCATGAGCTCTGTAACTTGGATGGTGGTCAGACTCGGCCGATTTGGGGTCGACTCGTTCGCATACACGCGTTGGGCCTGGGCCGTGCTGGCGAGGAATGCTGTGAGGAATGCGGACCAGCGGCAAGCAGGGAAGCCGCACGCTCGGTAGTCTCTCGACGCTTCGCCATGCTAGGTGAGGTGGTAGGAGGTAAGGTAGGGTCAGGTAGATGTCGATGATGAGGCGGAAGGGCAACCTGGAGGGTCAATGGCTGGCAGAGGGCAATCACAGAGAAGGAAGGTGACCGGTGAGAGGTAACTGGAAGAGTGAGAGGCTAAGAAAGGCTAAAGGTAAGGGAAGGGAACGGCGCTGCGGCGCTGGTGAGTCGTACGCAGAGCAGACCAGCCCCGCACCTGAGTCCGTGAGTCCGAGGTCGCTGTCGAGTCTGGACTTCCACTTGCCTTATGTTCCTTGTGCAGTACCTCCGCATAAGTATTTATGCTCCGACACACATGCAGTGGAGGACTGCATCTACCTATTTTCCTCTAACCGCGTCATGGGTCGCGTCGCGCGTCAAACTTTCACATTATGGAGGTATCATCATCTACCTGACTGTACCTGACTTCATCCATCACAGCATGTAATTCTGCTGCACCATCCTCGCATCTTCCCACTCAGGCTACGCTAGGTCTTCTACCATGCCGCGAACCAAGGCTTCGCGGAAGCGCCAGAGCAGATTGGAGTTCACGCCCTTGCCTTCCTCCTCCCCCGCCGCGAAAACGTACAACCAGCAGATCCGAGAACGTGCCGCTGCAGTTACGATTCAAGGCTCCTCGAAATCGAAGCGACCAAATATGCCAGACATTGGCGACGATGGCGATAACGACGATTCGATCCTACCGACTCCTGCCGGCACTCGGAACGAAGACCTTATCGAAGAGAACGACAGCGAGCCGGTACGAACAGCTTCAAGGCGGCCCCATGGCGCTTCATTGTCGCAAGACCGTCGTTCGACGCGGAAGGCGCGATCCCAGCAGAAGCAGCTCGACTTCTCGAACGCTCGAGATGCCGCCACATTCGATTCACCCGTCCGACTCGCCTCTTCCAGACCCGTCTCTTCTGCCAAAGGCGTTTTTGCTTCTGCTGGCCAGGCGAGAATGGTCGAGCTGTCTAGTGACACGGGTTCCGAGTCGGACATGCCATCCGCACGCAAGATCATAGCCCGTGCGAAAAAAGAGGAAAAGCAGGAGAAGCCGAGGAAGACACGGGTCACGCGCGCTTCACAACGACCAGTAGTGCTGTCGGACAGTGACCAGGAAGGTATTGTCGTAGCTAGCAAGCCAGTAGCTGAGACAACGAGCGACAAGGAGGACAGCGGCGAAGACATGCCAACTACGCAAGGAAGGCTACCTCGTAAGCGGCGAGTAAGGAGGACATCGATTGACAGCTTTGTCAGCGACTCCCCTCCAGCGCCTTCAGAAAGCGAGGACGATGTCGTGCAGGTAAGCACGTCTAGACGGAAGCGTAGACGACAGGACAGCGACGAGGAAGACTCGGCTCATGGGACACCGAGTCGGCGACGAGTAAAGCGGCCGCGACAGCTCTCTCAGCGCGAGAAAGAGGACCTAGCCGAAGACCTGGCCGCTTTAGGGTCAAGTAGTGAAGCACCATCTTCGCCACAGCCTCCGAGGAGTACGCAATCTGCCGAGAAGCAGGCAAGACTCAAAGCATTGGAGAAATTAAAGAAGAAGCGTGGTCAACCTCTTGAGCAGGTTGTTGAGGAAGACGGAGAAGAGGAAGATGATAACAACATACTGGACTCGGATGCCGAAGAAGTCGCTGAAGACAGCGAGGTGGAGGAGGTGCCTGCTCCGATGAGTAGTCGTCATATGTTTCGGCCTGACGAGGATGACGAGGACTTCTTGGTTGAAGAAGGCGACGATGACCCTCTCGGAATCCCCGAGGGTTTGCCACTGCAGTTTACCCGCTACGCTTCTATGCGCGGTAAAGAACTGTTCAAGTTTGCGATTCTGTGGATGGTTCAGAAGAAAATCAATCCAGGCTTCGACATGAGTGCTGAGATCTTTGACCTGACATTCAGAAAGCTGGACGATGAGGTCCGTGGGTTAGCCGAGTCGAAGTTCATGTCGTCGGCCTGGACGCCCGAGTTCTCAATTGCGTTACAAGCTCGACCCGAAATCGCATATCAACGGCCTGGTGGAACTCTCAGGGACGGATGCGATGCCTGCAATCGATCGGGGCACCCGGCAACATACGAGATACAATTTCATGGAAAGCCGTATCACACAAGCACGCTCGAGGACGTCGACGAGAAAGACGACGACGATGATGATGACGACGACGATGACGAAGAAGAATCTGACTCTGAGGCGGCTGCAGAGAATTGGGACTATGACTCCCAAGGACGCAAGGTGGTGCCTCAGAGCACCGTTTTCTACGTTGGCAAAATGTGCACAGCCAATGCGAAGACGGGTAAGTACTTTGACGAAGAGCTTTTATCATCTTCGAACTGACAGTGTACAGCACATGCCCTGCGGCATTGGAAGTTTCAGTTGTACGAATTCGTAGTCATCTGGCTGACTTCGACTGGATACCTAAAGCCAGACAAGATCGTGCAGCGCGACAAAATGTCTACCAAGAAGAGGGGAAAACAAGCACACAAGATCTTGATGAAAATGGAAGAGTCCGGCGAGATCAGGTCCTTGTGGAAGACATTTCGCGACTCTATTGACGCCGCGAGAGATTCAAAGCAAGGTCGTTATGCTGTGGAATCGCCGTGAGAGTGTGACGCTCTACGCTTTTGACCTGGCCACTTGCTACGAGGTTCTTTCTGGTAATACCTTGAGCATATGAATTGGTATCGGTACCTTTTGCCTAGTAGGAGGAGTAGGAGGAGGTGCCTCCTACCTTCTAGTACCTCCGAGCTACCTAGTAGACACCTTTCAGTCGGAGCTCGCATTGCGCGTAACTCTCTGATCGCCCGGCTATTATATGCCAAAGATGAGTGAAGAGTGAAGACGCCGCAGCTCTTGGCCTCTTAATAGGGAGGCTTTCGTGAGTGACTGTCGCGTGACATTAATTCGACCAATCAGAGAGTTGCGTCGTTCTAGAGATTTTTCTTTGAAAACTCCGGCCAAAAGGTGGGTACATGTAATGTACCTACATGTATCAAGGTAATGAATTACACAATCGTTCTGCATTGCGGAGCTGTAGAGAAGCAGAACGATACACATTCCTCAAGATGCTATATCAACTTCCCAAGCTATTATGTATGCAAAAGCTAAGAATGTCTGTGCTCAGAAGATTCCTGGTTCCCTGGGGGTATCGTAACGTTCCATAGCAACCATCCCTCATATACATTTCACATGCACATTTCTTCGTTCCATCTTCACATCATCATAGCCATGCATCCAATTTTTTCACCAAATCCACCACCTCATCAAGTGCATGCAGTTCTTCTTCCAAATGCGCGGCCAGCCAGCTCCCCGCGCTTCCATCCCTCGCAGCGAAATCTCTCATCGAGGTCCGCACAGCTTCCACGCCTCCCTTTTGAAAAATTCTTGCAAGTATATCACCGTCGATGTGCATATCTGTTAGACTGCCGACAGTGGTCTGCAGCATGGTGTTTGTCATTTCATTTCCACTGTTTCTGAAACCGATGGGTACAGCGCGAACACTTCCCACCATCACATCGTCGCCCGGAGGCGAGTACAATGGCCTCATGTGGGAGTAGGGCGAGAGGTGCTCGCTACGTTCAATCAGTCGCTGAAGCCAAAAGAGCTTACGCCACGTAGTTTCGTCTATAGTCGCGAGAGCGATAATGGTGCCATCCGTGGCGGAACCGAGAATACGATTTGACGCCAGTCCAGCAGGGCGTTCTCCTTTTCGTGCTATGGTGGCGGAGGGTCGTAGACGTGTGATGGAGCATCCCAATTGGGCTTCGAATTGCAGAACAGCGGATAGGCTGCCAACCACAGAAGCAGCAGTATTATTCCCTATTGATATTGTCATTCCGATCAATTTGCCATCCTTGCCCCCGGCCAGCACCATGGGCACCTTTGAGGCAAGATTGTCGACCGCGCGTGGCAGGACATAGTGACTGATGAGGTAGTCTGCGCGAGGTCCAAGGCACACGGGCTGCAGCCGGGCAGATGCATCGTCTCCTTGGCCTTGCACCAGACATAGATTTACGACAGAGTCGGCAGCCGTCGTGATGACCATCTGCCGACAGTCCTCGTTAGCATCTTCGACTGTCATATAAACACCAGCACTTGCTAGAAGAAAAGCTGGGCAAATCTGCGTCCATTTCATCTCTTGCACATCAAGCCTGTAGAGATAGACCTTGTTGCCAGCACAGACCGCATATGTTCTGTCATCGAATACCGCTAGTGCAGTGACATCTTGGTCGAAGTATTCTTGTCGGGTGACCGTAACATCGACAACTTCCCGACTCTTGACTTTGGGTTGCAGGAATGTCACTTTGCCTCGGCGGAGGCCATTCTTCCTTAGATAACTACCTCCAAGTAGAATCCACGAAATCTTTTTCTCACTGTCCAGTCGCGGGGACCATGAAAGCAGCGCATTGACCTTCTCCCCAGGCTGCAGCTCATGCGTGAATCCGGTATATGCTTGTGACTTCTCGCTCGAATGCTCCTCGTATATATCTCCCATGTCAGGACGATTTCGTTGCACAGCGATGAAGTCAATAAACGGCCACAGCTGCCTTCTCTCCTCGGGGGGCGATCGTGGTCTCGAGGGTAGAACGCGCACATCATAGCGCATACCTGAACAGACCAGATGACGCAATGGTTCAGCATATACCAGTCGGTTAGGAGTTCCGCTAGTGGGCAGTTGTCGAGGCACGGTGGACGATTGGCTATCGAGCCCGATCACGATGAAGCTGTCACCAGATACGAGTAGTAGCTGTTCGGCAACTTCGTCCGAGGACAGATAGCTTGCGGCTGGAATCTGGCAAGTGGCAACGACGGACCCCTGGACAAATTCAGGGTGAGCCTTGTCGGTGATCCAAATATTTTCGATACGCAGCGACCTGTTCCTCCCACTCCAGCTGATTAAGAGGGTGCTGTTGCCAGTCATGGCGACTGCCGAAGCTTGATCGCTCGTCATGGATGCCAGGCGAACAGTACTCGACCCAACGACGCTCGTGCCGAGATACGTTAGGGGCTCTTCCGCATTGGGCTCAACGATGAATGATACCAGTGTGCCATTCCGTAACCCACAGACTGCCAAAATGACGTTGTCGCTCTCCAGGAGGACGATATGGTCGCATGGGGCGGCCTGATCAGATGACGGCGGTAGTCTTGTATCATAGCTTACCGGTGCTGAGCTGCTGTCACCAAAGCACAGCATGAGTAGCCTTCCATTGGAAGTCGATGCAAGCGCGACTATGTCGGTCTTGACCATGGTGGACGCGATGCAGAGTGGTTGGCTGGTTAAATCAACTCGGGGCCCAGCGGTCATAGCGTCGTCATCAGCAGCGGCAACACTGTAGCATAATATACCAAAGCTTCTCGCACATTGCACTGCGACCACCACCTTCGAGGCAGCTGGTATGATCGATGCGGCCAGTATCTCTTCATCTTCTGCCAACCTGCGCCGGAATGTGTCTTCAAAGTTTGCATGCAGAGCTTGCGACATGCAGATGCTTTTTGGAGTTACTTGTACAATGATATTATCAGACGTAATGGCTGCAACAAGTGTCCTCTCCTTGGTATCAAATGCCGATATTCCAGTCACGTCTTTGGGCAAGGAGTCTGGATGGTAATCCGGCAATGACGCAAACTCTGCATGCAACCTCCAGAGCGTAGTTTCGAGAGGACTGGACAGTACAACGATGAGCGACCCCATCGACAGATCAGGCAGTACCCAAGCACCGGTGACAGCCTGACAAAAGTCCAGACGCACGAAAGCGGCAGCGATGCCCTCAAGTCCTTGACGCAACTCTGTAATGGCACCATATGGCTCTCTTCCAGACGTGACAAACATACTGTCAGTCTCCTTGATTCGACTGCGATTAGTGTGAATAACATCCGAAGGAATCATGTCCGTCACTGATGCCCAATTTGGGATCAGCTCTATCGGCTTGATACCCATGGTGTCCATTCTGCTCATTTCTCCAATGCGTCGGGCGCTTGGCCAGTTTCCAATGGAGACCACCAGGCCGCTGCTAGTATCACCTGCCACGCACAAGATGTCTGGATCTAGCTCGCCGCCGAGGGATGCAAAGGCGGTGCCGACATGACACCCGAGACTGCCAGCAACACTTTGTGTCACTCGAGAGGACTCACTCTTCGGAATTTTCATATATAGCACAAGGCCATCTTCACGAACCAGGTAAATGTCATCGCAAGCAGATCTAGCTGCCTGACTGCGTTGCGGCTTTGCCCAGCTTGTCCATACAGGAAGAGAGCCCGAATTACCAGGATACTGACTTGCATCGTCGACCGGCGCCAGACTGTTGCCCAATGTCGACCCAGATAGGATGTTTTTCCATATCGTCATCCTGAAACCAGTGACGAGAAGGAAAGCAGCGTCTTGTAGAGCTATTAACAGACTTGGAATCTCAGTAGCGCCGTCGAGGGGTAGTCCTGGGTGTTGCTGCGCCTGTATTGGGCCTGTTGAGTGAGTCCAGTCTATTTGAATCGCCTTTGTGAGTCCCTTATCGATTACAACCACCAGCAGAATGATGCGGTCGGGGTCATCGTCGGGTGGGACAAGGAAGCTGACCTGCTGCACTACGCCCGCAACCGCCAGGTGCCGTTCAGATGACACGGGACACCATACTTTCTCGCGACCACAGATTTCATGTTGGATTTGTTCATGTGTCTTCGCCGCGTAAATAATGATCTCCCTTTCCTGCGCGGACACAGCCAGGGCTCGCGAATGTGGATCAACTGCAAGATAGTGACCAGGCTGGTAGATCAGCCGATCGTACTTATGCATGGGCACGATTTGCTGCACAAACTCGAATTCTCCACGCCCGGTACTTTGTAGGAAGATAAACACGAGGTCGGTATCGAGAGTCAGGACAACCGATTGAGAAGGAAAAGCGGGATTTTCGAGTGGACCGTTGTCCTTCTCCAATTTGACCAGAAAGTCCTCATCGTCAGGGGCCTTTTCGGGCGGAAAACTTGCGGCGTCTCGTATGGGCGAATCGAAATCGTTCTTGAATGCAACGTGCGATAGATGTCCTCGATGCCCCACGTGCTTCACATGAATGAAGTTATTTCCAACGAAGACAACATCGTTGAGCCTGGGATGCCGGATGCGAGCGTGTATGATGAAGCGAACGACAGAGCTCTGGATTGTTGTCTTGGTGTACACCCCGATGACTGGCTTCGAACCATCACCATTCGACAAGGGTGCAGAATCCATTGCGGAAGGCGCAGGGAACCTGAGTGAAGTCTGGTCCGGGAGACTGTCGTCGCTGTTGCTATAAAGAATGTTGGAGACCCCGGCTTGATACCCAAAGGAGAAATCGCAGAAGTCAATCAGTCTCTCGCAGGCAGCGACGCACCGTTCGTGCCAGTGAGATTGGGCGTTGCTCGCTGCTGCATTCACTTGTCACAGAGCAGACCAGGGTCGCCAAGAAGGTCACGATCCGGGTTCAGTGTGCAGTCCAGAGGAGAGCTGCCTTGCATGTCAGCCGCAAGCGAAGACTGAAGGCTCTCAATAGAGTCGATCAAACACGAGCCTGTCGTCCATCTGGCAATGCAATATACCGTTAGTCCGCGTTGCTGTGACTCGCACAGCTCGAAGCTGCTCTCGTTTCAGAATAATATGCGGGACGCGAAGTCCTTGCCGCAGCTGTCTCCTGCACTTCTCTTGACCCTGCTCGCCAGCTTCAATTGGACCCCAACGAGGACAGCAGTCAAGTCGAGACGACGTGCAGCATGTGACCGGCGACAAGACCTGCGGCTTAAACGACCACCGCAGCAATGTCCGTGGAGCGGCGCGTCGGGTGGAGCCGTGCGGGACTTGCGATCAGTCGGATTCTGGCGTAGTTCAAGCGGCGCGCTATCTGCATCGTCAGCAAGGGGGAGCTATGGGGCCATGTCTACTCCTCCATGAATATCCATGAGGGAGCTGTCTGCTTTGCCCGCTGCCCGCTGCCCGCTGGACCTTTCGACGGGGGGCCGCACGGTGGTGTGCAGAGGATGCAGAGGATGCAACTGTGCAACACGCCCCCAGCTCGTCGCATGCACGTGCAGGAGACGGACGGACGGGCGGAATTTGGTTGGTGTAGTGCACTGTGCAGGTGGTCGTCGGAGGATTCGCGAGGATTTGCGAGGATTGGCAAGGCAAAGAGCAGGACGCGTTATGGTTTCGCGGCGGCGGGACGTCGGCAGACGCCAGCGGGAGCACACAGCAGGGTTTCTCCTTCGCACCTGCCGCGTGCCACCGCCTCGCACCTGCCACGGCCATGCTGCACCACCAGAGAGGTACCTTACAGTACACCTAGTGAGAGGAAAGGGCACTCATCAGACACAGAAAGTCTGGCCGATTGTTCATTCACGACCTCGCCGTCATCCATGGTCCTGGAAGCGAGCATGCTGCTTGAGCACGTTCCACAACCAACATATCCTACACACTGTACATAGGGCATAGACACGCAGGATGTGCATCAGCGCCTGCGGGACTCGCTACGGATACCAAGGCCGCCAATCCCGCCATGACAGCAGTGCCAGCAGCTGAGCAGCAGCAGCAGCAACATCATCATCATCAGCCAGCGCGTGGTGTCACTGGAGACGACACCTCCTCGAGCGCGGAGCTCGAGCGGGCTTCAGCGACGGCGGTGCACGTCCAGCAGGCGCCCAGCGACGAGAAGGACAAAATCGCGCGCATTCTCTCGGCATGCCGGGATCGCGACTTGGAAGCTCTGTGCGAATTGGCCTGCTCGGAAAAGGGCTTGGTGGATGACGAAGTGCGGCGTACAGCATGTAAGTTCCTGGACTCTCTCGGGCATCGTCGATGCTGCAGCTACGCAATAAACGCTCACACTTGTGCCAGGGCCAATTCTACTGGGCGTCCACAGCGGCAACAAGCAAGTCGCTGCGAATCGGAACTGGCACGACTTGTCCCGTCATAGAGATGAAGACCAAGTTCGGCTGGACGTCAACAGATCATTTGTGTATTATCCTGAAAGTAAGAAACTACATATTCCAACCACGACAACTACGAGCTAACATCGTTTGACTCTGATCGTTGCACAGACGAGTCCGAGAAACAAATGGATGAACGCAAGCAGGAACTATCCGCGGTGATCACCGCCGTATTGCGTCAGCATCCTATGCTTTGCTACTTTCAAGGCTACCACGATATCGTCCAGGTTTTGCTCTTAGTCCTGGGTGCCGATGCCACGGGACCGGCTGTCGCCCGGCTTTCCCTGCTACGCATCCGAGACTTCATGCTTCCGACTTTATCGGGTGCCGAATCACACCTTCACCTTCTTCCGGCCATACTGTATGCGGCAGATCCCGATCTCTATCGGCATCTTTCCAATGCCTATCAACCAGCGCCCTTTTTTGCCCTTGCGGCCACTTTGACTTTATATGCGCACGACATCGAGGGCTATGGAGACATTGTGCGATTGTTTGACTACCTGCTGGCGAGTGGAGCTGTAATGCCAGTGTATCTGTTTGCAACGGTATGCCTCACCGCCACTTGAGTTCATATGGATGTATGCTGGGCTAATATCTTCTCGCAGATTGTCATGACCAGGAAGAAAGAATTATTGGAGATAGACCACGATGAGCCCGAAATGCTCCACTCCATTCTGTCGAAGCTTCCCAAGCCACTGGAACTCGAGAACCTGATCCACGGGACACGGACTCTGTTCGGGCGCTATCCGCCAGAGCGACTGCCGAATGGGGCCTGGCGACGAGTAAGTTCAAACTCCGTGCTCAAGACGACTCCGAATCCCCAGGCACTCTCCATGCAGTCGCTCCGAGAGGGCGAACAGCTTTTCGAAAAGCACGCAACCGAAATACGCAGGTACGACGCACTCGTGAGTGCCCGGAAGCGCATAGGAGCGCTTGCATACCGTTACCGACGCCCGGCCAGATGGACCGGGGCTGCAGTTCTCATTGCCGTGCTGGCATTGTGCATGCGTGGGGACAGTGCAGGCATCGTCTTTCGTTCGCTTGGCCGCGTGCACAACACAGCCTGGGGTCTTTTCAAACCTTTAGCGCCGTCATCAGCACAGAATCTGCTGCGCACGTATATACGTTGGGCCGGGCATGTTGTGGAATAGCGAAGCATGACTTAGGGTTGGCAGACACCGGACTTATTCCGTGTGCGAGGAAGCACTGGGCTAACGGAACAGCAAAAACGCCAGAACGAACCTACTGGCGCATGAACGGGCTTGAGCAAGAATATCTCAGCATTTGGTGCGGCATACCGTGAAATGTCTCTTGGAGAACTGGCTCGACCACTGGAGATGAGCTGCGGATGTACATGTACTCTAGGAAATTGATTCGGGATCATGAATATACATGTACCTCACTGCTCGACCCCGCAGCCTGTTACGAATACCTGTACATGGTGCACAATGTCTCTCGAACCGAATATCCGCCGGGAGGCATATTCGCGTTTCTCGCTGATTCTTTCTCGTGGTCACTGGCTTTGTGAAGTGTTGAAGTGAGACTGGGTACCGGAATTTCGTGGTCACTGGCTTTGTGAAGTGTTGAAGTGAGACTGGGTACCGGAATTGAGGTGGTGTTACTGGGTCATCCAATTTGCTGATAGATTAGGTATTGTACTTTGCATCATCCACCTCAATGGAATCGAACGCGAACACTACGACTTCTGCCAGCATCGGTCGGAAGGCGTGTGGAACCTGTCTGATACCTGGTACATCCAATGTACTTGATCATCGATGCTTCTGGGCTGGAATGATCTCTGCTACGTATCAGTCCCCGGCGCGTCGCCACTGCACCTCTCCAAACGCGCATTGCCGGGTTTTACTTGCGTATATGATGCTCCAACACATGTTTCATGGCAGGGAGCTCTTCGTATATCTGGGATTGATCATTTACTGCTTAGCGACTGGAACTGGTGTTCCTGCTCAACTTGGCGCAACCTCCATTTCGGCCGCCCCGTTCTCGATACCTGGCAAATGAGCGTTGCTTTGACAGCCGGGGCAATTGTGAACCACCTCATGACAAAACACATCGCAATCAATGCAAAAATGCTGCTGGCAAGTCGAGCACTCATACCGGGATGACTCAGATGCGCCTTCTGCCCGTTTGGGCCGGCTGTGTCCATTTGCAGAGCCATCGACTCCGTCTATTCCGCCAGATAGTGCAGGAAATGGAGATTGGCATCCGAAGCACTGCACGCTTCTCTTTTGTTGGGCTCGTTTCCAAGAGACCTCGTCCCAGTTCTGCAGGGGGAAAAGATGGTGGTATGATCTCGCGAGATGCGTGGAGAGGATAAGCGTGAGCTCACACGTCGGACATGTAGCTGGGAGGTTGCAGACTTTCGCTTTGCATCTGCTGCAAAGGTAACCACCTCTGGTGAGATTACCATGACAAGCACACAGTGTTGCCTTTTCTTCGACGATTCTTGACGGAAAGCCCATCATTAATAGTGCAGCTTGGTTTCGCTTCTGCGCTTCAACGTCCGAAGCACGCACCACAGGTGGTGTCGTGATTGACATGAGCAATTCACGGTAGTGGACCTCGTCAACTGCGACATTGTAGCAGTTCGTGTCGCCTTGGTTTGTCTTTCGACAGATCTCGGCACATATGAACATTTGAGCCGCTAAACCGATGATGTTCACGCGTATTTTGTCTTTGATACAGGCTTTGATGGTGTCATGAATGTCTCCAGGATCCGAGGTATGTAGGGCTCCGAGGATTATCGCTACTTCACGCGTGCCGTGCGATGGGGTGTGGTAGAGGGCTGCTCGCGCCATCTCGAGCGCGTTCTGCAGTGATGGGTTCCCCTTAGGATCCGTACTTCGAAGTGCTTTGATGGCGTTGATGTGGTCATTTGGATTGCCAGACATGTCGCTGACTCGAATGGCCAGTCCTTCCCGCATGCCAAGGATTCCAAGCTGTGAGATGGGGTTTTGCTCGAAGTATTCGCGGATGAACGCAATTACATATGTGAGGGTCAGAAGTAATCGAGTAGGACGCAGATCCTTCTCCATCATCGCCAATGAAAGATCCAAAATTAGAATTGTATGTCGAATGATGCCACGCTGAAGAGGCGTAGTGTCTTTGACAAGCCTACATACAGTTAGAATGGCGTTCAACTAGGGAGCACAAATGAATGGACTACCGTTTCCTTTTTGCGGCTTCTTCAATGCCACCCAGCACCTCCAATAGGTTTCCATCTGCCCCTTGACGGAGATCACCAGTTCCAGTGGCTCCTTCTTCCCATCTCGCCAAAGCTCTTGCTTTCGGACGCGACGCCAAGGTTCGACCTTTGCCTGTGCCATCGCCATTGACCTGGAGATCATCATCCTCGTCGTACTCGTGGTCTGAATCGGCCATACTGGTGGTCCGGAAGGTGGGAGAGGACTACTTGTGTTCGGGATATGTGCACATGGGGCAGGTGAATTTCCTCGAGCCTATACCATACTGGTATCGCTCAGCGGCCAGAGCTGCCAATGGTGAAGTTCGGAATAGACTTTCTCGAAATGATTCCGGACACGGCTGCTTCCAGTGGTAGCTAGAATCGGAAGGGTCCCGCAGCGTCCAGGAGAGATCAGGGTCGAAGGGTGCACAGTGGGGGGTGGACGGCGATATCGAAGAGCGTTAAAGCCTCTACCTAAAGCAAAGAGGACGGGAAGTGTCTACCGTAGTGAGACTGAGCGACTCCCTTTCACGTGGCAAGCTCGGACCCCTGTTAGACGCCAAGGCAACGTCGTTCAGACAAAGAAGGAGCAACCATGACCGGACCCTATTATTGACGACTTGTATTGACGACTTCAGCAAACACTCACCACAAACACTTGCCACACACACACTCTGTCGGCTTCATCACGTACTACCGCCCTCTCCCGTCACCTTCTCCGCGCTTCAGCCGACACCTTCGACCTCACTCACCGCCGCCCTCGCACGACCCCTCCACCGCTAGACACAACTAGGCTGCAATAGCGACCATGGCGAACGACGAATATGATGTGCGCAACCCGGCAGTATGAGATGGAAGTCAGCCGCTGATATCACCCATACAGTTTCTCTTCAAGGTGGTGCTCATAGGAGACTCGGGCGTCGGAAAGTCCAACTTGCTCTCTCGATTCACACGCAATGAGTTCAACCTCGATAGCAAGTCCACTATCGGCGTCGAATTTGCGACCCGATCTATCCAGGTCGACAATAAGACCATTAAGGCTCAGATTTGGGACACCGCCGGCCAGGAGCGTTACCGCGCCATCACTTCAGCCTACTACCGTGGAGCTGTGGGCGCCCTGCTCTGTTACGATCTCACCAAAAGCCAGACTTTCGACAACGTGACCCGGTGGTTGAAGGAGCTGCGAGATCATGCTGATACGTAAGGATGGACTACACTCCGCGTGATCGCGATGCGGGAATGCTGATAAGAGAACAGAAACATTGTGATTATGCTTGTGGGAAACAAGAGCGATTTGAGGCACCTTCGGGCTGTGCCTACAGATGATGCGAAGGCATTCGCTGCAGAGAACGGATTGTCTTTCATCGAGACTTCTGCCCTTGATGCGAGCAACGTCGAGCTTGCCTTCCAGCAAGAATTGACCGAGATTTACCGTAAGTCCTTAAAACATGACTTGTGCTCATAGCACACGAGATGCTGATGGACTTGCAGGAATTGTGTCTTCAAAGGCCCTCGACAACGATGCAGGCAGTGCTGGTGCGCCTGGACAGGGCACATCGATACCACTATCGTCTAGCAACCCACCGGGAGGTGACGCCAAGAAAGGACAATGCTGCTAGACGGCACATTCCATTCTCGATACCCGGTTATTTAGGGAAGCTGCAGTAGGTGTTGGTCGGGCGAATTGGTACGAAGCATGGGTTGACTGCGTGGCCTATGGGCTGGCTCCGATATCCGCGATAGGAGTTCCAGGCGTTTATAGGTAACGATTCTTGTCGTCCATTGCCGGAAAGATATGAGAGACTCTACGCATGACAACAATAACTTAATGATCATTGAAACGCATTCGACGAGATGCGCAGGCTGTACTCAGATATGTGGTCACTCAGAACTGACATTGTTTGGCAACAAGCTCCGATTGACTTCAGGGACGACCGAGTATACACGACATACCGCTTCTATGTGAAATGCCTTCGGATCCCCGTAGGACCTGTGTGTCTGCTATACTTCAAGATTCGCGCCGCCGGCAAAGGCCGTGGTGATTGTGCCTTGTCTAGACTTCTCTGCGAAGAATCCAATTCCGAAAGAGTCTGCCGTAGCAGACAGATGAACAGATCATCGCCACAGGCCTTCTTAGTGGAACACCATGACTTCGTATTTCTCGTAACGATGACCGACCTACAGCAAACAAGCTCCGTTTACGTGACGACTACTCGCAATTTGCTGCCTTTCCCTCCCCCTCGTAAACAGCAGTAGAAGAATTGTCTCCGACTCTTTCTCGGGCCGAATAATGTCACCAATGAATTAATCAATAGTACGCTGTAGAACAACGTACCATGCAGAAGTTGCATGATATGAGTGATCACCAGTAGTAGTGCGTGTAAAGTTGTATCCCTGACGGCGATCGGAGATAGGCGGATTTATGGTGAATGCTACCTGTAGCCATGAGCATATACATGTAGCTTGAGGGGCCCTCGTTCTATGATGTCTTCTTCATTGAACATTCATTCCCACACCAGCCGCTGAATTCGACTTCAACAATGTCTCTATTTCCCCCCGCTCCAAAGCCAAAGTCCCTGCTTGGGTATCACAGAATCCTCTCGCCGACAGCTGGCGTTCGAGTGAGCCCATTATGCTTAGGCGCCATGAACTTTGGCGATGCGTAAGGAATTACCAGTAGAACTTGTCACCAATTTGTCTGACACAGTCGCTAATTTTCATGTTCTCTACCTCTCTTGCAGATGGAAGTAAGTGAGATTCGGTTTATTGCAGTCCGGAGCTGGTCGAATAGATTAACTGCCTCAATCATAACTTATACATGTATAGGGACTACTTGGGCGAATGCAACAAGCAGACGGCATTCGAAATGCTTGACTTCTTCTACGAGAATGGCGGCAATTTCATCGATACTGCCAACAAGTAAGCCTATTTTTTTTTTCTTCTCCTCCGCATCAACTTCCTAGAGACTGGCTAACAGTAGCAGTTACCAGGCTGAAGAGAGTGAAACCTGGATTGGTGAATGGATGAAAGCGAAAAATAACCGTGATGAGATGGTTATTGCTACGAAATTCACCACCGGTTTCCGAACGGGCTCAGAAGCTACGGAGAAAATCAAGTCGAATTTCCAAGGCAATCATTCGAAGAGCTTGCGAGTTTCGCTGAATGCTTCGCTGAGAAAGTTGCAGACTGACTATGTTGTGAGTAGTACATGTTTCCTGGCAGCTGTGGATTATGGCCTGACTCCATCCCTTCTATAGGATCTCCTCTATGTCCACTGGTGGGACTTCACCACCAGCATCGAAGAGCTCATGAATAGTCTCCATGCCATGGTTCAGAATGGAAAAGTTCTCTACCTCGGCATCTCAGACACACCAGCTTGGCTGGTCGTCAAATGTAACGACTACGCTCGCTTTCACGGATTGACTCCGTTCTGCGTCTATCAAGGCCATTGGTCGTGTGCGTTTCGTGATTTTGAGCGGGATATACTGCCCATGGTGGAAGCGGAAGGTATGGGCTTGGCACCTTGGGGTGCACTGGGTCGTGGCCAGTTGAAGCCCAGTGATGAGTATAATGATCCGAACCGCGAGGGCCGAAAGATGGGGCCGCATAACGAAAAGTATGCGAGGATTGCGGACAAGTTGAAGGCGTTGGCGGATAAGAAGGGTACTATCATCACTAGTATCGCTTTGGCATATGTGATGCACAAGGCGCCGGTGAGTCGATCTTTTCTTATTCCTTTTCTCTCCCAGGTAGACCATGATTTTGAGCAGAGAGAGTGACTGACACAAATATCTCAGAACGTCTTTCCCATTGTGGGAGGACGCAAAGTCGACCATCTTCGCGGCAATATCGAAGGCCTTGGGGTGGAGCTGACACAAGAAGAAATCGACGAGATTGAAGATGCGGAACCCTTTGACGTTGGGTTTCCTCAGTCATTCTTGTTTGCGGCTGGCAAGCCTTACCGCACGAGGTATACCGCCAGGGATATCTCGCTGGTGACCAGCAACACGCCGTTGGAAACGCTCCCGAAACAGCAGCCTATTCCGCCGAAACAGGGCGAGAAGGAATTGAAGCTGAGCTGAGTCGACGGGTAGAGCGGATGAATCGCTCGTATACAAGTCGATGTGTTCGTTGGGAGACTTGCACGTCCACCTGGATTATGACTTTCAGACTGTGGCGGCATCTCCGCAGAGCAGAGGAGATCTGTTAAGTCTTCGATATTCTTTAGACGACAGTCAATACAACTTGTTTGCAGACTTCTGAGCAGCCCTCGTCTGTAGGGCTAGCATTGCCATCGTGGGCAGGCCACCATGTATATCCAAATCTTCAAGTAGCGCCGTGTCCCCAGTATGCTTCGTGCACATTCTATGCATTACACGCGATTTGCTTTGTTTCTGTCTTCCCGTCTACTGTACAAGCACTCTTTACCGGCTGAATCGAGCAGTCAAGTCCTTCCATATCTCACTGTCCAGCTTTCCTTGAGACACATTTAGCGAAATCGACTGAACACTCTGTTCTTTTTGCAGCAATTCGTCCACGAAGTCACTCAATTCACCCGCCGCCTCTTCACTTGGTATCTCAACCTTGGTGTCCTCATTGGGATCCCATATGACCTCAGATGATACAATTTGTAAATCCAACGCTCGTGCAATCGTATCTCCTACAGCACTCAAGTCCGAGGGCTCTGTCGAAACGACTATCCTACCATCCGGGTCGCTGTCCACATCTGTCGCGCCAGCCTCTAGGGCAACCTCGAAGGCTTCGTCAACGCCTACGCCGTCCTTTTTCTGGAAAGTGACGACGCCCTTCTTGGTGAAGAGGTAGCTCGTCGGTGTCGCTGAGCCTCCATTACTTTTGATTGCGAGTCGAACCTCCGCTAATGTTCGGAGCTTGCTCTCCGTCTCGCATTCCACAATGACAGCGACGTTATTGGGCAGGATGCCCTCGACGGTGACCGTCTCCAAGTTGGCGCCACTCAAGCTCCGGCCTTGGCCTCGAGCTATGGCTGCTTCGATAGAAGCCTTTGCGAAGCCTTCACGCTTAGCTTGGGCAATGAGGTCGAAGAGATGGGGGTTGGTGTTGGGATCGGGTCCGTTCAGCTTCGAAGCGAGTGCGATCTGGGCGGCGAAGATGGAGCGTTGCTTGTTCTTGCGCATATCCACCTTGGCCTTGTCGTGCTGGATCTTACTCCAGCGGCTGTGACCAGACCGGAGTGCGGCATTCGTCGTCAAGCCGCGAGAGCAGCATCGTGGGGATGGAAGACGGATGAATCGAGCGACGTGGCTGCTGATGAGCGTGGCACCTCTGCTGGGGGCCATTGTGATTCCTCTCGGTCTGTCTCCTCCTCTATGTGTGCATGTTAATTGGCGTTGCGAGAAACCAGTAGTTACCAGCTAGTGCTATAGGTATTCTAGTTCTATTTACAGCGGCTTCGTTCCGCTGTATTTCTCCCATTGTTGCAGCCGTTGACATCTCCTGAACTGCCTTCACGACTCCACGACGCATGCATTGACGACAACGACTTTTGGGACTCCGGTCATGATATAGAATATATACGGAAACGGACCATGGCCGATGTAGACGCGACACCCTCGACGGCAGCTACAAAAGCAACCAAAACAGCATCGAATGGAGCGCCATCTGCGCCAGCAACAAATGGCGAGCGCGAGTTGTCAGCCTACGAGCTTGATGTCAAGAAGCTACATGCTCTCCCGACTGAACAGCAGGGACTGTACCTGTTGACCTTTACCGCGGACCTTGCGCGACATGTCGAAGAACTCACCGCCGACCAAGCCACTGCTGAGCAAGGGACAGTCAAGAAGGAGCTCCTACAAGTGATTAGCCTGGCTGCTCCTGCGCCTACGAGGGTCATACGGAAGAACTTGGGGAGAAGCTTCGCGGGCATCTTTGCAAAAGGAAGCAGAAGAGTCTTGTTTGAGACCATTACAGATCTCGTAGCAATCGTCAGCGCGGGCAAGGAGAGGGACTTTAGGACCAAACATGCGGCGGTATACTGCCTCGGAGTAGTCTTTGAAACTGCGGGCGATAGTGCCATCAGTCACTCTCCATTGGCATGCTCTGCAATATTGAAGCAGCTGAAGGCGGCCTCCAACGATGCTGGGCTTCGGAGCGCTATATTCCGAGCTGCAGGCAGAATCGCACGTGGAATTACTGTCGCTATCGACGAGGAAATCGGGCGAACTGTGTGGAAACTGGCTAGGAATGCTGCAGGTGTCGACAAGTCATTGCTGGTGCAAACGAGTGCGTGCTACGCTCTCGAACAGCTTGTACAATGTAGCTCATACTTCGACAACTCCAACGACTTCGAAAAGTTGCAGACTGCAATAGGCAAAGCGCTGGAGAGCTCTTCTATCCCCGTGCGTCACGCCGCAGCTTCATGCCTAGCCGCACAGCTGGCGAAAAGTTACACAGATATAGCCAACAAAGATGCTATACCAAAGCTCAAGAAGCCGAAGAAGTCCAAGAAACCTGAAGACTTGGAAGAAGAGGCGGAGCGAGCGTCTTCACCTGCCCCTGATAAGTCGACTACCGCTTTATCGTACACTCTACCCGAGATACTCAAGATCCTATCTTCTTTATTCTGTAAATCCTCGACTTCAAATCGGTTACGAGCAGGAGTCGCTGTTTGCTACGTCAGACTGCTCAAAGCTCTGGGTGCTGGTGTCGTAGAGGCGAACTACAACCACATTGCTCGCCATCTATTCACTGATATTCTGAATTACCCAGGCTGGCAGTCGAATCAGTATCGCCAACTTATGGCCCGCAAGTTTGTTCGCGTCATTCTTGAGCGTGTAGTAGGCTCAATGCTGGGTGAGACGGCTCAGCTGGATGCTTGTCGATTCCTACTCAACGATATTATCAAGGACTTCCCCCAGGCTGTCAAGGAACGTCCTGAGCCATCCAAAGCGATCTTGACCGGTGCGATCAGTTCTCTCCAATCCCTCATACTGCGCCTTGATACTGCGGTCGGCAGTATTGCAGAACTTTGTCGCGAGGGATTACTCCAAGTCTTGCAGCATCCGAGCTTCACAGTCCAGATTCAGACTTCTCAGGCACTCCGAACTTTTACTCTTGCCTGCCCGCAACAGCTTCTTCCTGCTCTCACAATCTGCATGAACAGTGTCAAGCGAGAACTGAAGTTGCTCGGTGGTCAAAGACAAAGCCAGCGGAGGTGTATCGCATATGCCTATGGTCTTGCCGCCGTCTTGAGCACCTCCAGCCAGCATCCACTGTATGGCTCGGTTGATGTCTACGACCAAGTGCATCACACCGCGACCGAATTGTTGAAGTCCAGTGGAAGCTCAGATCTTAGAGTCTCCTCCTGCCAGCTGCAGGTGGCATGGATCATGATTGGGGGACTGATGTCTCTAGGCCCTAACTTCGTCAAGATTCATTTGTCACAGCTCATGCTCCTGTGGCGTAATGCCCTCCCTCGACCAATGTTGAAGGAGAACATGACTCAGAGGAACATGTTGGAGGTCAGCTATCTGGCTCATGTGCGAGAATGCGCTCTTGGCGCCATCAAATCCTTCTTGACATATAACCAGCGGCTGTTGACGTCGGACGTCTCCCGAAGACTTGCAGGGATGCTGGAGAACACAGTGACATTTCTTCAAAATCTTCCGGCGAAAAAGACGAGCGACGAACCTGCGAACAGATTGAAGGCAGGTCTACAGTTGCAGGACTACGAAGTCATGGTAAGGCGGCGTGTGTTCGAATGCTTCTCACAACTACTCTGTCTCAGTCCTGCTGGCAGTATCGAGTCGACAGCGCATTCCAGCATATTGCCGCTAGCAGTTGCATCATTTTCCGATTTGGAGTATGATGCTCCAACTTCTCTCAGTGCGGCGATTGCAAGCGCCACCGCTGCCTTCGAGAGCATATGGGAACTTGGTGACAACTATGGCTTTGGCGTCAACGGGAGAGCGAGGGGTCTGGACCTGCTCAACCCCATCAGCGGCAAGCTAGAGCGACATTGGACGAGCAGAAGCGATGTCGAGTCAGAGATTGATCAGACACTTCTGTCGCCCATTGGCCGAGCTGCTGAGAACGATCCGACATGCTGTTACTTGCCGACTACCAATCTCGAAGAAGACTTATCTGGACCGCCAGCTACAGAGTCTGTGGACTCGGCAATCGCGGCTTTCGCACTCTGCTTGCCACTGCAGAGCCCTAGAGTCCAGGAGAGCACGCTGGAGCAGATGGCTTCTTCGATGGGCGCGAATCTGCAGAAAGATCCTGTCAGGAAGGTTGCAATTACGGCAAACGTGGCACTTGCGCTGTCTACAGCACTCAGAGTGGCGACTGGCGACATTGGCTCTGCCAAAGGCAATCTTCAAAGCGCCAACACTGAGAAGTCTTTACAGAGCCTACTGCACGTCTGCGTCAAGGATCCGGATGAGAGTATTCGCAGCACGGCAGCTACAGCGCTCGGCAGGCTGTGCTCGAGCTCAGGTACCGCGTTCACTGGCGTGGAGGTCACGCAGCTCACCGAGACTATTGTAAACAACAGAGAGCCTCATGTACGAGCAGGCTGTGCGAGTGCGCTCGCGCATATACACTCCCAGATTGGTGGCATGGCAGCTGGACTGCATATGAAGAATATTGTAGGCATACTGATGTCACTGGCGGCGGATACTCATCCTCTTGTGCACTTCTGGGCGCTTGATAGTCTATCGCAGATTGCAGAATCCGCTGGGCTGAATTTCTCGGGTTATGTCACCAGCACGATTGGTATGCTCTGCCAACTGTATGTCTCAGATGGGCATACCGAGGAATCCGCATCACAGGCGTCGTCCAACATGGCCATGGGCCTGCCTGTCACTGCGACAATTGCTCGTGGTGTTGATGCAGTCATCAATGTACTGGGTCCAGACTTGCAGGATATGGCCAAGGCTCGGGACATGATCCTCACTCTTGTCCGGCTATTCTCGCATGAATCAGACGTCTCAATCTTGCTCGAAAGTCTGCGTTGTTGGGAACACCTTTCGCTGTATGCTCCCGGCCACTTGCAATTTGAAGAGTACGTCCGACGCCTTCAAGATGACGCGGACTCTATGTCTCCAGAAATTTCATCTGTAGCTTTACACGGTCTCTTCACACTTATGCGTCGGGATGCTCCAGAAATCATCCGCACTGCTCGTCCTGGCCTCGAGGAACGGTTATGGGAGCATTTGAATTTGGACCCTGGGCAGAGGTCGATACAGGATATCTTCTTGAATTGGCTGCAGCAGACTGGCACCAGTGATCCTGGAGACTGGATCGAGAGATGCAATACCGTCCTGACCAAGACTGTGGTAAAGTCAGAACAACAGCCTAGAACCGCAGGGCCCGTATCAACTGCTGGACCGGAGCTTCAGGACGAGGAGGTCGCTGGGTTTGCCGTCACGGCTGGTGCTCAGAAGGAAGACGATACACAAGCTCCGTCGTCCGCACAGGAGCTCATGCGATGGCAAGTGCGGCTATTTGCCATGGAATGCTTGCGAAATCTGATAGCTATGATCAGAAAGGAGGCCGCGATCAGTGATGACAGTCCAGGAGAGGCTGCGTTACAGAACAAAGTGGCCGATGTCATCCGCATTGCTTTCTCTGCCTCCACGGCTGGCGTGACTGCTCTGCGGGTGGTTGGTATGCAAATCATTGATCAGGTTCTCAAGATGTTCGGCAGAACACCAGATCCGGACTTTGCAGAAGCCATGCTCCTTGAACAGTATCAGGCACAGATTAGCTCCGCGCTGACACCAGCTTTCGCGGCAGATTCCTCGCCTGAACTTGCCGCTGCTGCAGTCGACGTATGTGCGACCTTCATTGCCACGGGCATTGTCAGAGATGCTGAGCGTATGGGTCGTATCCTGAAGACGCTTGTTTCTGCTCTCGAGAGCTTCTCGCGTGACTCTGAAACTGCGGCGATTGGAGACCTCAGAGGACTCACATCAAACGCCCAAGTCATGGTTCGCATGGCGGTCTTCTCTGCATGGGCGGAGCTGCAGATGGCGAGTGGCGAGCAAGAATACCTGGTGGACATTGTGAAGCCGCATATCGCACAACTGGTGCCTCTATGGATCTCGTCTCTCCGTGAGTACTCACGATTGCGATTCGAGCCTGATATCTCAGCAACCACAGCCACGCCAGCAACATCAGGCGACCTCGACATGGTCTATGCTGCGCTCAACAGAGAAACACTCCTTGGATTCTATCAAGCGTCTTGGCTGAGCCTTGTAGACGCCATCGCTAGCTTGATTGACGAGGACAGCCAATTCGTGTTTGATGCTCTCGACAACAAAGATACTGACACTGCCAAAATCGAGTCCGGCGCAGCCAACAGTATTGCACAGAAGAACGCAGGCATCAACTATCGCGAAGAGCCTGTGGCGTTCTTCTTCGTGCTGTACGGCCTGGCATTTGAGTCACTCGCCGTACGGAGCGGAACCGATGATGTGCTTGTGCGACAGAAGAACCTGGACATCCTCGCTGCGCTGAAGAAAATCTTACGACCATCCGTCTCCGGAATGGCCGTTTTCCAGGAAGTCGTTTTTGCAGAAACGATGGACTTGTTAGATCGTATGGTCTTGACCGAGAGCCTGGCCATGCAGGAAATCATTATCGAGATTGCCCGTAACCTATGCTTGGTGCATCCGTCGTCAAGAAAAGGACAACAGGGCGCGAACCACAGCGAGGACTTGTCTGAGGATATCGAACAGCTTTTCGAGCTTACTCGCATCATCATACTTGTCATCGCAGGTCTGGTACCAGGTTTGACCGACACACCAGTTGCATCGCATCTCGAGACATCCGAGGAGGCGATCAACCTCATTCGTGCCGCCCTTCAGGCCCTAGTCGATGTATCCGAGGTGTTCATCTCCATCATCAAGACAGATCTGCACGCTTCGATACTGCACATCTTCGTCACGATTCTTGGTACGGCAAGTTGTCAGGCCACAGTTGTGCCACAAGCTTTGCCCATCTTCCGGCGCTTCGTGGCCAGTCTGGCGGAAGATAAACAACCCGAGACCAAACAACAGATTCACAGCGCACTGAAGCGGATGCTGGCCATCTTGCGGAACGCGCAGACACGTGAGAGTGAAGCGAGTCTCCCATGCGAGAAAAACACGCTCCTCGCCATCACGATCTTGCTGTCCACTGCACAGCAATTTTTCGGCCCCGAAGATCCTCTCGTGATCCGCTTCATCAACGAGCTCCGCGAGTGTCTCGCGGCGCCCACGACGACGAAAGTCTCCGCGGGCTGCTATCGCACCTTAATCAGCCAATCCGTCGCCCCGAGACTCACCTTCTCCCACCTCGTCAGCTTTCTCATCGACGCGCCCGATCTCGAAGGCATCGATGAAACCAAGCTTGTAGTCTCCCCCATTTTAACCTCTACCGTCTCTCGCCTCGCACCCGAGCAGAAACCTGCTGCTGTCGTCCTCCTCGTTCACACCCTCCTCGTGTATGCGGGCAACGCGGGGCCGAGTGCTCATCACAGCATCGCATCGAGTTTGCTCCAACTCGCCGCGACGGAACCAGCCACGTTTCGTAATCTCATCGGCGCCATGTCGGGGCCGAAGAAGGTGTTGATGGAGCAGATTTTGAAATCTCAGGCGGGTAATCGTCGAGGCGGCAGGCAGGAGGGTAGTGGTGGTGAGGATCGAGAACCGACGATTGCGCTCAAGATGAATTTTGGGTCGTGAGGCTCTCTCTCTCTCGTCTAGAGTAAGAGGGGAGGGAAGTAAGGTACCGAGCTGAGGTGATGTTGATTGATTGATTAGCGTTTTGGGGCGTAGTAAGGATGTTTATATCGATATGTAGCGGAGTAATCATGTGAAGTGAAAAACGACGAACTAAGGTTAGATAGTAAGATGTTTGTAACGGTATGAACGCTAGCCTCCCCCTAATGTAGCCGAGCTAGTGTATGTTCATATTATGCCCCTATTACAACCAATCCGCGTAGCTTGCTTCTTAGCTATAGTAGTCGTAATCGAACGATATAGCTAATACATCTGTCGTATAGCTAGTAGACTCGGGGACTTAAGTAGGCGCGTCGCCGGTCTCGATCCATTCCTATAGAAAGTAAATTAGTTACGCTCAATAGCTATATCGCGTTTACGTAGCGCGTTCGCGTAGACTCGATAATAAGCTTAGGTTTATAGTTGCTTACCTTGAACTCGGCCTCGGTCAGAGTAACGAGAGCGTTCTCGGTAATCGTCTTTTGCTGGTTATTGCCAATCTTGCCAATAATGACAAAGTCGGCGTTCTCCAGCTTGAGTTCCAACGCGCCGCCGTGGTTAACGGCAGTCAGGGCGAGAAGCGAGAGCGTCAGCTTCATGCCTGTGCCACAGAAGTGGAACTGCCACGAGTGTTAGTTAGAGATGCTTGGTGGCGGACCAGGCCCAGGAGAAAGGGGGGAAACTCACACTTTTGCCGGCCAGGCAGTTGGGGATACCCTCCCAGGGATTTTTCCCGCTCTTCATGCTCCTCTTGGCCTTCTTCGACGCCGAAGGACCGTCAGAGGCGGCGCCAGAGGTGCGCGCCGCGCTCTTCTGAGCGCCGCGGCTGCCGCCCCGTCTGGGATTGATGGTCTCCTTCTTGGAGACGCCCATCGTGTGCGTGGGTGATGTTGTTTTGAGGGAGGGGTGTGGTGGAGGGAAGCCTTTTGTATAGGGCCGAGCAGTGTGTGCGAGGCAGTGAGAAAAGTAGTAAGGTGATGGAAGTGAGCAGTGTGTGCGAGGCAGTGAGAAAAAGTAGTAGGGTGATGGAAGTGAGTAGTGTGTGTGAGGCAGTGAGAAAAGTAGTGAGTCGATGGAAGGGAGTTTTGTCGGTGGATGGTAGTGAGTTGAGTGAGAAGAGGAAGAGAATAGGTTCTCAGGACGACTTTTCTGGAGAGCTGTTGCGAAGGAAGGCACGCTAGGCAATGGAGTACACGTTCAAGGCGCGTCTTTTCCACCGTCACGTCACGTCCATTTCTGCCCAGTTGCTTCACGCGCCACTCGTGCGTCCAGCAAGAAGGTAGAGGTAGCTCAGTCAGGTAGAGACGAGATGATCAATCATCTCTGATCCCTCATCGGCTCAGCAGAGGAGGGCGCTGGATTCACACTCGGCACCTCTGACCCGGTCGCGACTGTGGCACCCGCGTCTACGGGCAGAATGACTCCGGTCATCCTGTGAGATGGTCAGTATCATCATTTCCCGAGGACAGACAACGCGGACAACGCACCACCTCGCTTCGTCTCCAGCGAGAAAGCGAATCGCAGCGCCCACATCCCACCCCGTTCCCTCCGTCTTGAGCAGCGACCGATTTTTTCTCGACTCGCGAGCTTGTTCAGACATACCGGAAGCGTACATCATCGGTGTATACCTAGCACAAACCATTGAGGATCAGCATGGTTATCGACATATGATCATCATCTCAGCAGGACAACACATGTATCAGAGGGCAGGTTTTTATACGGCCGGCCCCTTCTTCACTTACACCATGCCAGGGCAGACACAGTTTACACGTATGCCGTCGGGTGCGTGATGGCTGGCCATTGCTCGCGTCATGTTCTGAAACAGGTCAGGGTCAGCGTACTGCGGCCGAGTTCTATTGTAATCCAGATCTACACTTACGACAATGGCACCTTTCGAAGTTGGGTATAACAAATGTGGATTGCCTCCTCGAAGCCCGGCTACTGATGCAAGATTGACAATAGATCCTCGGCACTGCAGGCCGTCATTCTTAACCATCTCTGGAATGGCATATTTGGCCATCAGGACCTTGTCTCGATCAGTATCATGTGCGGCCGCTGCTAGCATTACAGACTCACCATGCTGCCAACGTTAATTTCCATGCCCTTCGCCCATTCGGCCATATCGACCTCCACAGCCGTACCGACCGCACCACCAACGCCCACAACGTTGACCAGAATGTCAAGGCGACCGTATGCGTCGATAGCAGTGCTCACAGTCCTCTTGCAGTCATCCTCTTTGATGACATCAGCCGCTACGGCGACAGCCTGGCCAAAGCCATCCTTGTCGATGAAGTCGACGGTGCGTTGTGCCAGGTCGAACTTGAGGTCTACACATACAACGCTACATCCTGCCTCAGCCAGTAGTATCGCTGCAGCTCGCCCGTTGCCTATTCCATCACCTGCGGCACCAGCACCTGTGACCTATGAATCCTCTCAGTAGTATTCTGATCTACAGTACAGCAGATCACAAGGACTCTACTTACAATGGCAGTCCTGCCTTTTAACGATCTAGTCGGTCTCGTGAACAGGTCGCTCATAGTGTAGTGTATACTCAGAAAATGGGCTGCAAGTGTTATAGCTGCGTGGTAGCTGTATTGAATCGCAGCTGGATCCAAGGGCGGGGAAGTGTGGTCAGTGAAACAGCAGTACCTTATGTGAGGGGTTAGAACTATATATCATGTGGCCAGAGCTCTCTGTTGGCGTTGTGGCTGCGATATCGCCCAGAAATGGAATTTTGTAGTTGATATATTGCAGGCTGCACGTTCTGGTTTCTTGAAAGAAATCAGTGCTGCTCCTCCTACTCCTCCTCCCTCTTCAGCCAGCCTGGTACGCCTCTTAAATGCGGCGGGCATGTCCTTCGCCTGTGTGTCTACGTTTGCACGTTTGCCACAAAGGCGAGAGATGGACAAACAGGTCGCAGCATAGGAGCGTCAAGCAGAAGGACGATGTATGTTTGTAAGGCAAAGCAATACATGGCCGTTCTCAGAGTAGTTAGGGGGCATGTTGCTGGCCAGGAGAGCAGGAATGAGTGATGGTGCAGTGCTGCCGCTGTCCCGCTTGGCAATGCCAAGCAGACGGGGGATCTTCGGCAAGCATTGTTAATGAATATGACGGCAGACTGAGCAACATCACATTCACCACAGACCATGATCAACTTCCGTTGCATTCCCGCCGGTGCCGAATGTGTCACAATATCAGAGGCTGCTCTACCTGCATTACAGGTACATAGTTATGTACCCCAAGGCTCCGAAAAGGGGGCTTGCAAGGGAATTCATTAGATGCAGGCTGCGGAATAGCACAGGAAGTAGTGGAACTAGGGAATCCTCGTTGCGCTCCTCAAGGATTTTGATACTGCTAACATGAGGCCTGCTCCATTAGAATCATGCACCAGAAATTCGACATAGCCTCCACGGCCAATGATAATCTTGGAGGTTCACATGTTCGAATGTTCGGCCCCGAAAACGACTTCGGCCTCGAAATGGCCCTCATTCATGGCCGGAGTACCTCCTACCTCGTAGCCAGTGACGACTGCGAGCATCGCCTATGAGTGTCTCACGACAGAGCCGACACCTCTGCGTGATATATCTTTCACCTCAGCATCAACACTTGCTCCGCCGCACTCACCACCACCACCTCCTCCTCCTCCTCCCTCTTGAACCACAAAGACATCTCAATATCAGGCACACGCGGCCATTCACCACGATGCGGCAGGCTCAGATCAGAGCATGGGGCGAGAAGCCTACGTTAGTCGATTTGCCTGAGCTGCCTCCCCCTGGCGCCGGCGAGGTCAGGATTCGAGTCGAAGCCACTGGAATCCATCGCGTAGTGCAGGCACGGGCGGCAGGAAAGCACTATTCGGCAAACACGCTCCCACATATTCCAGGAATCGATGGCGTAGGAGTGACCGACAGAGGACAAAGATGCTACTTCGTCAGCTTCAGCTCGGGATCTCTGGCAGATTATGTCAATGTTCCAAGGTCCTCATTATACCCAGTGCCACAGGGAGTCGACGCTCGACAGATAGCAGCAGCCGTCAATCCTGCCATGTCCTCATGGATGGCCTTGAAAGCAAGGACGACGGCATTACCTAAGAACTTTACAGTCCTCGTACTCGGTGCATCTTCCGCCAGTGGGCGTGTGGCCATACCACTCGCTCGTGCGCTGGGGGCAAAGAAGGTCATTGGAGCAGCTCGCAGTCAGGCGACGCTAGATACTCTCGGCCTCGATCAGACCATCACCATCGCGAGCAATGTCGAGCAGACGAACTTTGGTGAACTCGATGACGTGGATGTCGTGCTGGATTACATCTATGGACCTCTCACCATGCATCTCTTCCGGTCGTTGCAGACACCAAAACCCGTGCAGTACGTCCATATCGGAGGCTTGGCCGCGACAGACATGACGCTACCCGGTGATGTGCTGAGGTCCAAGGACATTACCATTCGTGGCTCTGGTCCGGGTTCGTGGTCGATGGAAGCACTGAGTCAAGCATTGCCAGATCTCTTGGCGGCTATGCAACATGTTCCCGAGCAGCCGGTTAAGGTGGCGCAGTTGGGAGACGTCGAGAAGGAATGGGAGTATGCGGGACCGGAGAGGTTGGTGTTTGTACCATGAGGAACAGAAACGAAGGACAGGAACAACATATTTCCAATCAATAAATTCAGTCTACCTCTATGTGTATGCCTCCCTCCCTACTACAAACCCCTCAAGCCAAGCCGAAAAAATCCCTCTCAACCGCCTTGGTATTCACAAACGTCCCATTCCCCCGATATGCATTCACATCACTCTCCCCCATCAACTGCATAGTCGTCTTCAACTCCTCCTTCAAAATCGCAATCATCTTACTAACTCCCTCCTCCCCAAAAACATTCGCAAACATCGCCGGCCTCCCCACCCCGACCGCCTTGGCCCCCAACGCAATCAACGTCAAAATATGCGAAGCCCTTCTCACGCCCCCATCCGCATAAATCTCCACCTGATCAAAAACCTCTGGATACAGCCTTCTAACCTCCAACAAAGTCTCCACAGCCGTCGGAGCCAAATCCACCGTCCGACCTCCATGATTCGAAATATACACAGCGGGAAATCCCAAATCCGCGCATAATTTTACATCGTGGGCAGTTTTGACTCCCTTGGGAATGATAGGGAGAGTCGTCATATTGCGCAGTTGCGCGAGAGATTCGATGGTGAAAGTTGCACTGTGGAGAGTTTCGCTCAAACCGGAGGAATAGCGCATTTGACGATTGCGGATGCCGTTGACGCCGACGTTGTCGACTGTGAGGACGAGGGCTTTGTAGCCGGAGTTTTCCATGCGTCGGAGTTCGGAGGTGAGGCGGGTGGTGTTTGTCCAGATGTATTCTTGGTGGAAGAGGACTTGGGGGGTGGTGGAAGAAGAATTAGAGGAGGTGGAGTTGTTGCTGCCGGGAAGAGCAGCATCGCTAATCTCTTCAATCGACAACGTTGAAGAAATCGAAGGAATATACAAAATCCCTGCTGCTCCTGCTGCTCGAACGAGATTTGTTTCGGCTCCTTTACTCGCTTTTCCGGCTTTGGCAGCAGGAGCGATAAAAAACGGAGCAGAAAATTCATGGCCGAGAATGCTTGTTTGGAGATTAATATTGGAGACATTCACGAAAGAAAAACCGTTTAGTCGGATTTTTTCCCAGTCAAAGAGGTTTTTCTTGTAGGTGACTTCGTCGAGAGATGCGGTGCGGTAGTAGGCGTAATTTTTGCCTGAGAGGGCGTTTTTGGCGGCGAGTTGCATGTCGTGGAGATTTACCATGTCGTCTAGGGGAGGGACTTCTCCTGTTACCCATTGGGAGGTGTCGAGGCCTGTGTCGGGGAGTTCTTCGGTGTCGATTTCTGCGCTGGCAGTAAGGCGCGCCAGGGCGGCTAGGAGGTGTAATGATGTAGCTCGCATTTTGTTTGTCTTGTCCTAGATAAAAAGTAGTAAAGTTAAAGTGATGTTAGAAAGAAGAAGAAGAAGAGGAAGAGGAGGAAGAGGAAGAAGATGCCGTACCACGGGATGCGTTTTATGTCAAGAGAGATAAAGATAAAAACACGGACAGCAAAAACAGAATATAAAAAGAGAGAGAGAGAAACAAGGGAAAAGAAAATAAACCAACAGGCCGAGGGCCGGAAATACCTACTTACTTGAGAGAGATCGAGGCTGCGAGCGAGCGAGCGAGAGAGACAGACAGACAGAGTAATCTGAAAACATACATAGCTGAAAATCGATCCTTACAGTAGTTTAGTCCTATACTGTACGTCGGAGGGTACACTTCCTTAGGGCGAGCGGGTGGGTAGTATGTACAGTAGGATAGGATTAATGCTCCATCCAAACATGGCGTCAACGCTGTATGTACCCGCAAGGATTTTCTTTTTAGTACGACGAAACTAGTCCGTAGTGGCTTGCTCGGGTATGTAGGGACGGTCCTTTTCTTTTTATTGAGGATGTTTTTTAATAATAATAAATATCAGAGAAGGGAGGATTTGCTAGTTGAAGGGCGTCGCTAAGGGGGGCGTCATTCAGATCGAAAAAACAACATCTTGATTCTCGAGTCCGGTTATTGCCTAGCTAGATAGGACATAAAAGGACATACACAGTCTGTAGTAGTTTGTCTGATTGTCAGTGTACGTCGGTGGTGGCAAAAAGGGATAATGAATGAGATGAACCAGGTCTTGACGGACCCATAGAGCGTACAGTAGACTGAGTACCTACAGTAGGAGGTAGTATATGGAGGTTTCAGGTCCCTTATAGGCCAAGGGCGCAGGGCAGGGCAGGGCAAGTCTTGATGATATGTGGATCCGCGGCGCTTTTTTTCCTGTACAAGACCTTAAACCGAATCGGGTAGTATCTGGCGCAAAACCACCTCCACTACATACCTATTGGCTACGGGGAGTAGTATTCGAGACTTTTCCAGACTTTTGCTTTGCCCAGAAGGCTTATCTACGCATATGGTGGTGGCTTATATTATTTCTTGGCCTACGCCTTCATCTGCTGGCTGCTGCTGCTGCTGCTGCTGGTGTGTGGGTCTGCGAGTGAATCAATTGTTTTTTTAGTTGGTGTTGGTCGGCGTTGAGATCGGGAGGAGTAGAAGTGACGTGCTTTTACAGGGGAAAGTCATTTTCTATTAAGACTATTATACCTTACCTACCTGTGTATGTCAGCAGAGCGGAATGTTTTAGTCTTGGCTGCAGTGGTTCACTCTCTCGATGCCGAAAGGCTTTTTTTTAATGGTTTTTCGGCTCTATATACGCTATCACATGTCTCTCCCGGGACACGACTCTCGCTCTGGTCATTGCCGCGAGAAAACCACCTGCCTCTCACTACAGCAGCGTGGTCATTTCTCCTGTGCATGCACTCCGTGGAGTGTATGGAGTGCATGCACAACTTCCTCTTCTCACGACGTTCTCATGTTTGCCATGCCCATTCGTGCCAGCATCCTCCGCCGACGTCGTGCCTCAGTGGCAGTAACTCTGCCACGAGTTACCCTGGTGTTCACCAAGGAAGCACGACGAAAGCGGCTGATGCTGGCATTGATCAGCGAAGCAGAACGAAGTGGCGCATGGAGGTCTGCCATAAAGGCATCCATGTCCGCTCGGAACTGTGGGATTGGCTGCGCACGAAGGTATTCTTCGCGCGTCTTCCACAGCTTGCTGACCTCTCGCAAGTCTGTTTCAAATGTCTTGCAGCACAATGCGAGGTCCCGAGTCGAGGTGTTGGGCCTTGGCACGAAGAGGTCGTTGTCGTCGAGGACGAGGTCGAGTATGTGTTGCTAAGGCGTTGGTCAGTAGCTGAGCATGTAGAGAGAAAGCAGCCAGCAGGCGGGCAACTTACGCGAAGCTCAGCAGGCAGGCGAAGCAGAGTTGGCAGTGGCTCGCGCTGCGCCTCGTCGTACACGTTTGGGTACTCGTGGAAACGATCGAGACTGCGGGAGAAGCGCATACAGTATCCACCTTTTTCCTTGCGCTTGTTGCTCGGACTTGGTACAACACTCGCCGGGTACGAGATCGGCGCCGGTGGTGTGTCCAACCGTGTCCATCTTGACGGCGGTTCTGGCGAGGCTCGTGGACTGGGCGCTGGCGAGGCTCGTGGACCGGGCGCTGGCCATGACTTTGGCTTGCGGCGAGATCTCGTCCTCTTCGTCTTCAAGAGGGCGACGTAGGGAGTCAAGTCGGGTCGGATGACTTCGCGAGGCTCAAGCGAGTCGTCGTCAAACTTGAAGTATGGCATGCTGATGGTCTGTGTTCTGATGGCGCGAGCTGCTCGTCTGGCGCTGGATTTTTCACGTCGCAATGGGAGCTGTCAAGGAGAACGTGTCAGTATACCGTTTTCGTCTCGTCGCACGCGCGCCGGCGGATGACTCACTTGGTGACAGCAATGGAAGACGTCTGTGGGAGGAGAGCGCTGTCCACGGCGGTGTTGTTGTTACTGCGGCTGTGAAGTGGTGAGCTTTTATGAGCGTTGTTTTGGCGGCCTGGAGTGAATGTGAGGCAGGAAAAAGTCAAAATGAGCGAGCGAGCAAACAATGCTCAAAATAATAACAATACCGGTTACCCATTGATACAGAACGAAAAAGCACCCATCACACTGTCGTAAGTCGTTCACATCATCGCAATCGTACCGCGTCCCTTCACACTTCCTTGCACTGTCGATTTTCACCTATAATGGTCCTGCTCCACACTTTCAACACTCGAACTCCTCCTCGCCGGTCGACTCCTACTCCTCGTCCGCGCCATGGCCCGCCTACTGAGCGACCTCATCTTCTCCCGAAAGCCAACGGGCTTGTCAACGTCCCTCTGCGACTCCCTCACATCGTCCATGTCCCTCCCGCGCTGCGGATATGGCCCCGCAGGCACAGCATAGGGATCACCCATACTCCTCCTCACAAATACCTTCTCCTCTTTACGCTTCGCATATTGCCGCTCCGCAGCCTGCGCCGCAATAGCACCCACCACAGCGCCTCCAAGCGTGCTAATCGCGCCGCCTTTGCCGAATTTGTTTCCTAGGAATCCACCAGCTGCCAATCCAGCCAGATTCGCACCTAATCCTCGTTCTCCTTCCGAAGCACCGAAGAAGTCTCTGCCCCCTTTCTTGGGGTCGGAAGGGTATCTCAGCGCCTTTTCCGTGATTGAGTCGTCGTTGGAATATCTCCGAATTCTTCTCCTGTCTTGATAACTTCTTCTGGTTCTTCTTCTTCGATCATCATCATCGTACTCGCTATCATCGTCGTAATACCGATCATCGTAGCTGTCCTCCGACCTACGCCCACCACGACCATACCCTGCTGCTACGGCCGAAGGGGGAGGGCGATTTTGCATGTACGCTCTCTGTTGGTGATCCTGCTGCCAGGCGTCCTGCTCCTGCGCATACGCTTTATTGTCATCATACGGAGCCATTTGATTGAACGAGTCTGGGCGAGGGGAGAACTGGTCTCGAGGAGGAGGAGGAAAGGGGGAGAAGAAGGAGGAGGACGAGTAGTCTTCCCCGGCTTGTCCTGCATCGCGGCTATTATATGTGTCCTCGTAGGGCACGTAGCCTGGTTCCCGTGGGGGTCGCGGGACTGACTCGTAACGGTGATCATCGAGGGAGTCTGACGCTTCTGGATGGTTGGTGCTGTAGTAGTAGTGCCCTGTGTGCCCTTGCCCACGCGCTGGACCACCACCTGCGCTACGGCTGTAGCTATTAAAGTCACAGGACATTGCTGGGATCAGTGGGATAAAAAGACTGGAGCTCTCAATGCTGATGCGAAATTCAGAGTTCACTGTACATATATCATTATATACCAACCACGCTGCGTGCTGCTTTCTCACGTCATCGGCTCTGCAATGTTGCGGTGTTGTCTCTATCTGCACCAGTGGACTTGGACGCACTTGGGCTGCATTGCATAAAGACTGCTTCGTATGACGCACAGGGATACATTGGCATAAATACATATATGTGCCAAGACGTGGAGAGGATGGGATGGCTACATGTAGTACCTCCTTACCTGTAGTTGATGAAGGCTGATTATTGGTTGCAACTGCATAACAATTGCAAAAGTGTCACTGTGCGAGCTGTCTGGACTGTACTTTGTATAGGAAAGATTGCTTCTCATATTCGTTCCTAGTGAGCTCATCCAAGGAGAATCACCTTTTAAGTCCCACTCCTCAGACAGTCCGAGATGTCCTTGATGGGCAAACATCTGACTACGCCATCTACAACCGCGAAGCAATGTCTCTGTCGCAAAGTACACTCTACACACGGCCTCAGCCCTGCAGAACCCTTGTGCCACAAGCTTTGCAACCCTCTTTCGTTGCACCATAGACAGGAAATAGTGCCGCCGGATACTACTGGAAGTCTATCCCCGGACCAAAACTGCAAGAACTTGATGTACGACCTCAGCGTCTTTGGCAACTGACTTCCACGGTAGTATACTGGCTGTCCCTGGGAGTCGTAGCACTCGACGACTTGTATCCTCCACAATACGACCTCATTTTTGGGTTTCGATTGAAAGGCGATTCCGAACGTGGGAATATTGTCCAGTCTTTCGTATATGCAATGTGCTTTCCTGCCGCACACCGGACTTGCTGCTGGAAGGGTACATGTATCTCGTTGATTTGTCTCGACCCAGGCTAGCAAATCTTCCATTGCGTCTTGGAGTTGTCTGCCTGCTTTTCGCTCGGATGCCAACTCAGCCTTCAGTTTGGCGATGATGGCGTCTTTCTCTTCGACTTCTTTGCTTTTCGCATTCACCTCTTCGAGCAGTACTACTGAGTCGGCCTGGGCTTGGTCGTAGCTGCTCCGTAGAATCGAAACCTCTTGTCGCACAGTGGTCCAAAATGATTCCAGGTCTCCTGCGATGTTCTTGCGATCAAATCTTGAAGTCGGCGGAGCGCCCGTCTTGACTGGCACTGGCGAGTGTAATGCCTCATCGATGCTGATGTCGTCGGAAGCGGGTAGGCTGACTCGGCGCGAAATTTTGCTAAGTTCATCGAGCATTTGATCTACGCTTAATCGTCGTGTTTCGGAGGCATAGCCTTCGTCCTCGGGGCTGCTTGCTCTTCTGTCCGCCGAGACTTCGCTGAGTGAAGAGTCTTCATATTCCTGCAGGAGTTCTGGAATCGGACTGAGTTCCCGACCACAGGCCATGGCTGCAGTGCTTCTTTCGCGAGGAAAGACTGGTGGAAAACAGGAGTTCGTATCGCAAGAGGATGCAAATGCAGCGAGAAGCATCCCCATTGATAACAATCAGCTTTCAAAGATCCCTGTCACAACAATGCGCAATAACAACATCCATGTCGGGGATGGACAGCGGGCCAACGAGGGGTGGCCCCAAAAGGGAAGAGCTATGCAGGCCTGTGAAATCCATTAAATTGGGATGTGCCCATGTGGCCAACCACATCTTGCCCCCGAAGCTATTATCATTTCATGACGCCACGGGAAGGTTGCTTGAAAGTTTGGGGGGCGAATGATATCTGTCTGAGCAGCTCTGAGTCCTAGGAGCAGCAGTGGCAGTTACTGTAGCATCGGTGGTTGGGCACAAAGAAAGGAGAAGTATATGTTTGCGACAAGGGAGCAGCGTAGATTGCGCGTTCTGTGGTGTATGGGCTCCGGATCAGAGAGATCCTGCTTGCTAGAACTCCTCCTGCTCTCGGAAAAACAGGCCAAATGAGATGATGGTGCCGTAGATGAGCAGACCGCCGACAATGCTCATGATCATAGCGGGAATCTTAATCTGATCACAATGTGCAAGGACGATAGGCAGCGCTGGAGTGTCGTATCAGCAAAAGTGCGTCCAAGTCACAGCTTCGATAGGTATGCAGCATCTCTTGTGTGCACGTCACGTACCAATTCCCATGACCACCAGAAATCCCGTCAAGAACCTTCCCAATTCGACGATGCTATTGCTCCCACTGTCCATGAAGTCCTCGTTTGCTTGTGCCTTCCCGCATATCCAGTTGGGCAAAGGCGCGATTATGTAGGTTGCGACAACGAGCAGGGTGAGGTAGGACTCGAAGAGGGCCGAGGAGAGGATGACCAGGAGGAATCCAATGGCCAGTATCTACTGTATTGTCAGCATAGCGCTCGAAGGCGACGACGTGCAGCTGCGGCACAGCATACAAATGAGAGCACGATGATGGTCTTGAGCCCAGCCATGGCCATGGCTGCGGAGGTCCACGGAGGATGAGAGTCGTTGGGGTGTAGTGTGGTGTCGCAATCGGTGTCTGAGGTGTCTTTGCTTTGCACAGCAGCACGGTGAGCCGGCGGTGCGAGGTTTTGAGCGTCGTCGTCGTCGTCGTCGGGATGCGGTAGTTCTATAGTAGTGGATGGCGTCTCATGATATAGTGAACATTGAGGCTCTGACGCTAGCGCGTAGTTCTACATGAGGTACTGTGCCTTAGTCAAGGTCGCCGCGTTGCGCTGCTACCTACCACCTACCTACCTGACCTTCACGTGAAGCTCACCAAGACCACCACCACCTCACACCACAACCTCGCACCTCTTCGTGCCACATCTCTGTCATCCCTCCACAGACACTCCCACCGGCACGATGTTCAGGAACAACTACGACAACGATTCGGTCACCTTGTAAGCGTCGCCAGCAGATACGAAGCTCGCGAGAGATCAAGACGCTCCATCTAATCACTTTTCCTACTCCAGCTCACCGCAAGGCCGCATCTTCCAAGTCGAATACGCACAAGAAGCTGTCAAGCAGGGCTCGGTGGTCGTGGGCATCGTCAGCAAAACACACGCCGTGCTCGCAGCTCTCAAGGTGAAATACTGCCGTCGATAGATGCGCCTCTCGCATAATCCATGCTAACCCATCCTCCAGCGCAACGCCGAGGAGTTGTCATCATACCAGCGTAAGATCATCGAAATCGACACCCACTACGGTATTGCTCTAGCCGGACTCGCCTCCGATGCTCGCGTCCTCTCCAACTTCATGAAACAGCAGTCTCTCGCCTCAAGACTCACCTACGACCGACCCATTGCCCTGTCGGAGATCACATCGCGCATCGGCGATCGCGCGCAGACGAATACACAACACTATGGAAAGCGACCGTATGGAGTAGGTCTGCTCATTGCAGGCGTGGACGCCAAGGGTCCGCACCTCTTCGAGTTCCAGCCCAGCGGTGTGACGCAAGAGATGGTGGCATGTGGCATTGGGGCGCGCTCCCAGATGGCAAGAACATATCTGGAGCGTAACCTGGACGAGTTCGAGGGGTCGAGCAGGGAGGAGCTCATCAAGCATGCACTCCGCGCGCTCAAAGACAGCTTGAGCCAGGACAAGGAGTTGACTATCGACAACACTAGTTTGGGAATCAGCGGCGTGGATGAGAAGTTCAAGTTGTACGAGGGCCAGGAGATTGCAAGCTGGTTAGAGACGACGTTTGAGAACAAGCCAGAGGGTGAGAGTGCTGAAGGCATGGAGGTAGATTCGTAAGACCGCTCACGATAAGGCGGCTAAGAGCCCTCGCATTGCAGCAACCTGACCAGGAAAAGACTGCCTACGCCAAATGTAGGGGCGGAGGTGGGATCACAGAGCAGCGATAATTAAGCACTGCTCATAGACTCCATGAACGATGGAATGTATTATACGCAGCGAGTACTGCCGACGTCTAGCTTCCAGCTACCATCATGAAGGCCCAAGTGAGTACCACTTTACCGGCCCACCCATCGGCTCTCCCGCCTCTCTACCTTCTAGCAATGCTACGCAACACCCTCCATCCTCACGCCAATCATTCGGCAGTGTGATCCGCGCAAGAATGGTCGTCTCCTATCGTAGTACCTACCATAGGAAACATGATCCTACATGCTTCAAGCCCCACACCCCGACATGCCTTCAACGCTCATGCATATACAGCTCTGGGCATGAGGAAGTGTGCTCAGGACATTGAGCGTGGTCCTAGTATCATGCGCTTCAACTTCGAACGGCCACCTATGTTCTCACAAGTTTCCTTCTTACACGACTTGCGCGAACCTCGTGCATGTCATGCCCCCAATGAAAACATATATTGAAGCAAAAAGTTGGGTGGGCGAAATCTGGGTGGTTTCGCGACTCTGCTGCTCCGTATACACCGTCTTACTTCTTCTTTCCACCTGCCTGTGCGTCCTCTGAAGATTTTGTCGTCCCGGCCAAAAATCCTGCAAGATCGAAGTTCTGCATCTGTACTGCCGCGCCTGCACTGCCCGTCAAAGGGCTCTTTTTGCTGATTTCTAGAAAATTTTACCTTCATTAGTACGTGTCGCGGATTTTTCGGCACTTCACCCATCTGTGTGTGTGTCTACTGACCTTCGAATTCCTCTCTGGTTTCCGGATCCACTACGATAAGACAACAAAGTCAGCATATCTATCACTCTTCTCTCTTGTTGATTTTCTCCTTTCCTCCCAGGTAGTTTTTATTTTCTCCTTTTGCTTCCACAAACTTACTATTGTCCATCAAGTAGGGCATTCCAAAGATCAAAACCACCGACGCCAAACCCATCAGAATCATCGGACTCTTCAAGAAACTCAAAATACTAAATCCACCTCGTTCTTGATAATATTGCTTCTCCGCTCCCGCTCGCACTTCAATCCTCAACTCATCTCTCCCTGTTCCAAACGGCTGACCCTTATTATCCCATTCATTTCCTCGAAATGTCGCCCAGGCGCTGATATTCTGCGAGCCACCCTCTCCTGCATACGGTGCGACGTCTACGCGTAGTGGAGGGAAGAAGTAATCTCGAGAGTGGATGGTGAGTAGGTAGCTGGCATCGGGTAGATCGGAGAAGAGGAACGTGTTGTCTCGTCGCAGGGGCACGTCGTACAGGACTCCAGGTGGGCCGAGAAGGATGGCATGGCTTGAAGAGGGTAATGTGGATGGATTTGGGAGGAGTTGGGAGGGAGGGATCGAGACTGTCAGACGTGCTGCCGAGGCGAAAGCTGCGCAGGCGACGACGACGAGGGCGTTGCGTATTGAGGCCATGGCCATGGTAGGAGGTACCTGTATGCGTGTGTGTGTGTGAGGTGCGCTAGAGTTCACTTGACGGCAGTTGACATGTCATTCACGCAGCTTGGAGAACTAACTACAACATTTGGGGTTAGCGTAATTCGGCACGTCCCGCAGGGGCTGTGTTTGCATGTGATTGATTGTCCGCCACACTGCAGTTTGTTTTCGTTGTACAACATATTCCTACCCAATATGTAATATCGCATAGTCTGCTTCTTCACCGCCTTCGTTTCTACTGAATTGCTGTGTTCCTCTCACTCTCTCTCGCTCTGCTGTGCTGCTTTTTTTTCTACCATACGTCTTCGCTCACAATCTTGACCAGCAGTAATTCAAAAGCTCCGCCACCCATTTCAAAGCCATATACATACACATTTCACCAGACTCCCCTCCACGATTCAAACAACTAGAACCATCATGGCCTCCACAACCAACCCAAGCCCCCTCCTCACCCTACCTCGCGAACTCCGAGATCTCATCATGCTCGAAGCACTCACAATCCGCTCTCCTCCCCCAACCCGCACTCGTCGAGAAATCCCCCCCTCGGGCAGCGACGGCCAATTCTACCTCTGGTCCGAACGCTCCAATTGGAAACCCTTGAACCTCCTCGCCGTCAATCAGCAACTCCGCGCCGAAGCTCAAGAACTCACGATCCAACTCCAGAAAGCCCACAAGATTCGTTTTGTCATGGACATTCTCGCTTCAGGATACATTTATACGCCAAAATGGACGCTGCAAAATCTCGCGCTTCAACCGCAATCGACGCTGGATTTGCATTGTAATCTTCAGATTCGCAGCACAGAAGCTTTTCGTTCGAATCATTATGGTGGTGGTAATACTGCCACGACGACAGAGGAGCCCGGACACGCTTTCAAAACATTGTTGAATTTTCTTTCGCGATTCCTGTTTCTCGGTCCGACATTCCTCTATCATGATGACCATCATGGCAACGAAAATCTTGAGAACAACACCACCACCCCCTTCTCCACCAAAGGGCCCTTCTTCATCCACACGCTCAGCATCGCCGTCACATTTCAAGACCACTACACTCCTGCCACCCATCCCGATACCGTGCGAGAGATTTTTCGCATGATGAAAGCTCTGAGTAAATTGGATACTGCAGGGAAATGGATCGGGAGCATTCGGGTGGAGGCAACATGGCGCGAACCACAAGGGGGGCAAGATTGTCGATGGGAGAGGGAGTGGGATGTGAAGAAAAAAGAAGAAGAAAGAAAAGGAGGAGAAGAAGAAGAAGACCGGGAAGCTGCTGACGACCTTGATGATGAAGTGCTCAGATTCAGAGAAGAGGACTGGGCCTGGATGGAGTTGCATTTTGGAGAGGCATGGAGGAAACGGTACTTCCCTCGCAGGAGTGTCTCTGTGTAATGATGAGATGAACGACAGCATCTTCGAATATGCATGAAGTTATGAAGCTTAGGTAGGCATGATGAAGGATTGGATCTGGCTTACAGGATTGGGGCAAGCCATGGGCAAGTTTATGACACCTTAGGTTTGTAGAGAATTGACTTGATACCTTACGAAGCTCAACGAATTGGTCGAGTTCGCTATACGTGAGAGCTGCCGCGCATGCAGCTCACAGATCAACGGCCAGGCTCAAAGACGAGGCAAACCCCTGCCGTTCCTTATGCCCATTCGTTCCAACTCCATCTGGAGTCAGATCTTTTTGCATCGCCCATGCTGTATGGACTCAGCCTGCGCGAGGTGATAGCTTTTCTTCTGCGCATCTACTGGCAAAGCCAAGTAGTGCAGAAAAAAACGTCTCTTCTGGCCACTTGCTTTTATACTGCTCTTGAGAGCCATTGCCCTGACCTTGCTCGCTCTCGGATGGAGCGCGTCCATCGATCGCGTCGTCTGCTCAGGGCCACATCTATGCTGGTCATATATTCCCAGTTTTGATATCCGATTCATCTGTCGCCTTCACCCATCGCCTCGTCCGCTTTCTTGCCCGCCTCGCTTTCGGGCAAGCTGCTGATATCCGACCCTGGACTGGCAGACTCCATCACAAAGCCGTCTGTTCGGTCTACTAAGCTAGAGTAGTACTCTTCAAGCGTCTCTGGTTTGGGCACAATCTTCCAGTCCACTCGCTGCAGCAACTCCAGCTCCAACGTCGCCAATTCAGACACAGGTATGCCTCCTATCCGAGCATACGTGGGGTTCGTCCAAAATGAGTCGCTAAGACCTTTGGCGGCCACGGTCGCTGCCGTAATCAGGAATCGGTGCACTGTCAAGCTGTTGATTGTGAATGCCGGATACATAGTACATAGACGATCGATGTAGTATACCATACTCAGTAGTATGGGCGGCGACAAGGTTGCATGCAGAATCAGCCGCTGTAGATAGTCTGATATGCTGATTCCAGGCGGTGCTCTGGAATGGAACCTCGTCAATCTGCCGTCACGGAGCGGAATCTGATCGTTGATCCGAATAAGCTCCATGAGCATATTAGCAACCAAGACCCCGAGGTCTTTGGTGCTGGCTAGTTCGTAACTGAGTGGCATGATCTTCAGCGATCCTGGTTCCGCCTTTTGTCTCTTGGGCGCTGCGGAATGGCCATGTGTGGATCGTGCCTCCTGGAGCTGAGGCGAGAAGGCACTCGCGCTTCCAGATCTTGATCGGGCTGGGTCTGACCTGGGTGGATCTTCATCTGTTTCTCGTTGTGCTCGTGGTGGGGCGCCAGTCGAGGCGCCGGTACTGCTCATCAAGTCCGGAGAGGAGTCTGGAGACCTCGACGATTCCTTCCGCTTTCTCACACCGATGCCGCTGCCACTGCCGCCACCGCCGCCGCTCCCACTCGTTGTTGAGCCCGGAGGCTTCCCCACTGCGGCAGCCAGCTTTGGCCCTGCCGTCGGTGGGAGACCGTCCGGACTGTACTGCGTTCCGGTACTGACATACGCTCCACCAACTACGGGTGATGCGCTGTCGGGGCACTGCAGCTTCGTAGGGTGATTGGGGGCAGCTGAGGATGTGCTCGGCGCATTGAACGGACGGCGGGGTGAGCTCGCAAACGAGGCTCGCGGAGAGTGACGGCTCGTGGGCGTGGCCGTCGAGCGGGTGGCCGCCGACGTCGAGTAGGACGGGTGGTGGAAGGGAATCCTGGGCGAGGGCGCGGGCGAGCTCGTGAAGGTGCTCAAGGTGGACATAGGGAAGGAGGTTGGCGGGTGATGTCTGGCGAGAGAAACGGGCGAAGGATCCTGGTCATGGTATGCGCAGTAGTACACTTTCCGCTGCCGTCAGTTGCGTGCACGTGTTGTGCAGGGCGGATGGTGCCTAATGGATACGGTATGGTCCGTAACGGTGATGGTGTGCACTGTGCATGGAGAGCGCGGTGAAGACGAGACTGACGAGTACAACAGGCAGTGAACACTTCACAGGCAGAGAAGCGGCGGCTGATAGTGAGAAGTCCCGATATGACGGCTGTTTGGAGGGCGAAAGACTGATCCAACGAAAAAGGCACGCCAAGGCACGTGTCGTCGAGCTAGGTAGTCGCGGGGCACGGGGAGTCAGGGACTATATACCTTAATTCACTTATCCGGGACAGCGGCACTTCCCGTCCGCTGGTGCAAAGCGAGTCTGCGAGTCTGCATAATAATTAGTGCATACTACTTCGGTCACTTCCGAGGAGACAACCCAGATTCGACTTCCGACAAAACAGGTATATATGGACCACCTCCACCCTGTCGCCGGGTAGCGGGACCATTGATACATGCATGGTAGAGGGTAGGGGGAGGGAGCGTAATCACGTAGGGAAAGCTGTATCTCATAGGTAGTATACATGCATGTTCCTTCATCAACACCTCGAGCGCCTATGTACAGTCTCAGCCGCTCCACCCATCGGCCCCTTTCACTTATGCACTCGCACCAGCAGCCAACTCAGGTGGCCCGTAATATGGTGTAGGCTCAGTGCCGTCTAAGGCTCCAGGAGCCATGAAGTTTGTGCGAGGGTCTTTGGCGGCTTTGGCTGCAGAACATCTCGCCATTGTGGGCGATGATCTTGTGATGGTGTTTGTGAAATAGAAGTTCTCGATGGCCTTCTTGAATGGTTCGCCAGAAGCAGTGGCACCCTTGTTCTGCTCAACGAGCTGCACCTTGCTGAGACTCTGAAGTTCCTGCGAAGTGGGCTCAACAATATCATATCGTCGCAGCGCAGGTGAGACCTCCTCCATACGATCACGAAGTGCCTCAACATCATCATACGGCAGCGGCTTGCCAAGTGCCTCTGATACAGCACGGATGATCTTCCAGTCTTCCCGTGCAGCGCCGTACACGGATGTGACTGCTCGAGACATCTGCACTCGTCCCTCGGTGTTCACATATGTAGCCCCCTTCTCTGTGTACGCAGCTCCAGGCAGGACCACGTCAGCGAGGGCGGCACCGCGATCACCGTGATGTCCCTGGTAGATGACGAAAGCGTCTTTGGGAATATCCACTGCCTCAAGCTCATCTGCGCCCAGGAGCCACATGACCTTGGCCTTGGTCTTAGCCGTCTCGGGGTTGTGCACCGTGAAGCCAACTTCATAAGCACCAGCTCGTGATGCGGCACGTTGCAAAACATTAAAGCCGTTCCATTCTGGGGTCTGGAAGTTGGCCTTGTTCTTCTCAACGTATGAGCCGACGGTCTCGTAGATGGACTTGGCATCTTTATGCTCGGTTGCACCAGAGCCTACGATGATCAACGGCTTCTTTGCGTTCTTCAACTTCTCGCCGAAAGAGCCACTGAGAGCACTCTTCAGGTCCGTAACATTGGCACCGAGGTTCTCGTACTCGAATGTTGACTCGAAGTCCTGTCCCACTAGACCGACCTCTAGATCAGATCGTAGCCACTGCTTACGTATCCTGGCGTTGAGCACAGCAGCTTCGTGTCGAGGGTTGGTGCCTACAAGCAGGATGACATCGGCCTCCTCTACGCCGACGATCTTTGAGTTGAACGCAAAGTTGGACTTGATGTCCACGCCGTGGGCAAGTGGGCCGGATCCTTGTGGGAAATCGAGGGCGAGGTTCTCGGAACCCAGTTTGTTGGCGAGATCCTTAGCAGCGACGAGAGTCTCAGTCTCGACAAGCTCACCAGCGACGAACTTGATCTCGTCGCCCTTTGGTTGCAGCTCATCAAACTTGTCCTTGATCTCTACCAGGACGTTCTCCCACGTGGCAGGCTGGAACTGGTTGTCTCTTCGAATCAGCGGGGTGGTGAGGCGCTGTGTGCTGAGTCCATCGCAGGCGAAACGGCTTCGATCGTCGATCCACTCTTCGTTGACATCATCATTGAGTCTGGGGAGGATGCGCATGACCTGAAGTCCTCGCGCGTCTGCACGAATGTTGCTTCCGAGGCCGTTCATCACATCGATCGTCTCGGTGTGAGCAAGCTCCCAAGGACGAGCACGGAACGCATAAGGCTTCGATGTGAGCGCTCCAACGGGGCAGAGATCAATGACATTTCCAGACAACTCGGTGTCGAGAGCAGTCTCCAGGTATGTTCCGATCTGAATGTCGTTTCCACGTCCCGACGAGCCGAGTTCAGGCGCACCGGCGACATCGTTTGCGAAGCGGACGCAGCGAGTGCAGTGAATGCAGCGGTTCATGGATGTCTGTACTTGTCAGCCTCTCTCTCTCTCACACACACACACACCCCAGCACGGCCAACTGGGCTCTCTCACCTTAACCAGAGGTCCGATATTCTTGTCCTCGACTGCTCTCTTGCCCGTCATCTCGTGAAACCGTCCTCTGTCGGCGCCATATCGCATGCTCTGATCTTGAAGGTCACACTCGCCACCCTGATCGCAAATAGGACAGTCCAATGGGTGATTTGCCAGCAGAAACTCCATGACGCCTTCTCTTGCCTTGTGGGCGAGGGGACTATCCGTCTTGACCACCATTCCAGGCTGTACAGGCCAAGCACACGATGCCACCGGCTTCGGAGCGCGTTCGACTTCGACCAGACACATTCTGCAATTTCCCGCAATCATCAGTTTCTCGTGGTAGCAGTATCGAGGCACCGTGGCGCCTGCTTTCTCGCATGCTTGGATGAGTGCCGTTCCGGCTGTGAAGTGCTGTCAGCATGCCAGCACCAGACCGTGTCAGATGTCCGTCCGCTTCAGTACATACGTGGGACCGAGACCTTCTTGCCATCGATCGTGAGCTCCACGTCGGCGTGGCGACTCGAGGTCGTGGCAAAGGTGCGCGCGGCTCGGCTGCCACTGCGGGCGGCCAGCGCTGGCGCGCGCGGTATGGAGCGCAACAGGTGGGACCGCATTCTGATCGCTGGCCTCACCGTCGTGCTCTTCGGGGCGGAGAAAGAGAAGTGGCGTGTGGCCGTGGAGAGAGGCGGGTGTGCATAAGGTAGTGTGGTAGTGTGGACTAATGGGAGGAAGGGCGGAGCGAGCTTTCGATGCTGTCAATGCTGAATGCCGAGCGTCTCATAGGCTCGCATGCTCCCGCTCCTCGCTATATATTCCGCAGAATCTTCGCCGTCCCTTCTGCTTCCCTTCCTTTCACTATTAAATTGTATCCGGATTCTATTTATTGTGGTGCCTTGGTCTTTAATGCCAGCCGTACTCTATACTGAATCCCAGAGCGAGATGAAGCACGATAGCTGGAAGACGTAGCCTTCGGGCAATGAGACGCATCCTCCTTACCAATTGTGCGACAATTACCTTCTCCCTTCTCCCTCTCCTTGTCATGTTGTCCACTCGGCCTCCTCGCGGCGGACATGTTTCTTCTGCGTCCTCGTGCTAGTCCTGGTGCTGGTCCGCGTGCTCGTCCTGGTGCTGGTGCTGGTGCGCGTGCTCGTTCTATCCATTGCGCGTCCGTGATCGTGCTCCTGTTAGTATCCCAGATGCCTCTTGGCGTGTATGCAGTCGAAGAGCTTCGTGTTCGGTGCTGATGGGCTCTTAAGTGCAGAATTGCCTATAGTACATGCCAGTAGTATGTTCTCTACCCTCAAGACGTCCGTCAAGTCCATCAAGTCCATGATCCTGCCTGTTCGCCGCTGCATGCCTTAAGGCTAGCCAAGAAGATTGTCCCTTGTCATTGCATGGTTCCCACTGTCTACGCCAGTTTGACGCGGTCAAAGGGGAGTGGATGGTGGTTGTGAGCCCTGCAGTGCTCGCCCAGTATCGCTACGGTTCATGCTGCCTAGCAAAGAGCCCTATCGGAGCCCCCGAGAACTGCTGTATGGCCTGATAAGTTGCGCTCGGTGAATGAAAGGGTTTGATCGCGGTCAAAGGGGAGTGGATGGTGGTTGTGAGCCCTGCAGTGCTCGCTCAGTATCGCTGCGGTTCATGCTGCCTAGCAAAGAGCTCTATCGGAGCCCCCGAGAACTGCTGTGTGGCCTGATCAGTTGCGCTCGGTGAATGAAAGCGTGTGTTGCGAGTGGATGGTGGTTGTGAGCCTGCAGTGCTCGCCCAGCATCGCTGCGCTTCATGCTGCCTAGCAAAGAGCCCTATCGGAGCCCCCGAGAACTGCTATAAGGCCTGATAAGCTGCGCTCGGTGAATGAAGGGGTGTGTTAGCAGAGAGTGAAGCGAGACGTTGGCTTCACTTTCACTAGCGCCGGTGTCGGTCCGTAATCCACTCTCCTGGGACGCAGCTATAATTCCACGCACAAAACTCGCCAGCAAGAATTTCACCAACGCACTTTGCTACAACAACGACCATCGCCAGCACCACCACCGCCGGCACCACCACAACCACCACAACCACCACCACAACCACCACCACACCCACCACCACACCCACCACCCCGCCCACCACCACAACCACCACCACCACCGCCGCCGCCGCCCGCCGCCCGCCGCCGCCGCCATCACCAGCACCACCACCAGCACCACCACCAGAACCAGCACCAGCACCACCAGCGCCACCACCACCATCACCACCACTACCACTACCACCACCACCACAACAGCAACAGCAGCATCATCATGCTTGCCTTTGGCAAGATGAGGACGCTGGCTGTTGCCGTGTCCAGCGCGCCCAAGGCGCGACCATCTCTCTCTCCGGGCTTCGCCATTCGGGCAAGCCACCAGAAGACGGGCGGCGGCGGACAGCACAATCCGCGCCGCCCAGAGACCACCAGCACGAGAGGCTGTCGCGTCTTGGGCGTCTTCGCCGTCCTCGCCATCAATGGCGCCGCCATCAAGCTCGCGGCGGAGATGGGCGAGGCCCCGGGCGACGAGGAGGAGGATCCCGCCATGGCGGGACCCTTTTTCAGATGAGGCGCGCGCAGAACCATTGCCGCCTCCCTCCTCTCCCCGCCCTCGTCCTCTCCCCTCCCTCCTCTCACCCAGTCGCGCACACACCACAGCGACGACGACGACGAACAGGTAAGTTAGCATGATACTTGACCGTCAGAAATGGACACAGTTTGCTGACTCTCTAGTACAGGATGAAAACCCCGAAATAAAAAAGACCCACTGGGCACGGGCGTACATACCTGAATGAAATGAAATGAAATTGCAAAGAAAATTCGTCTGTTTCTCAAGTCTTTTTCCCATGATACCTACTACTAAGAAATCCTCCTCCCTCGTGAACCATGCCCCATCCACACATACATCTACCCTCCTCCCTCTTCCCATTTACTTCCCCGCGCCAACAACCGGACACATCTCCACCCCAGCACCACTCTCCACCTTCTTATGCACCGCCACCTTTTTCCGATGATGTTCCACCGTCGCCTTTGTAACTGGACACACCTTTTCCCCCTCCCCCTCATCATCACTCAAAACCGGCGGATGATCAGGAGGTAAATGCGCATTCACAGGTCCCACGACCGGACAAATGGCATTCGCATTCATCACTTGCTGTTGTGCTTGATGTTGAAGAGCAGGACATTTGGAAGCGTCCATTGTCGTCGCTTGCTTGTCATTGTTATCAATCTTCTGGGAGTCTGGAATTTCGGAGGCAGGGTGGTGGTGAGAGATGATGTTGTCGTGATGTTCGACTGTGGCGTTGGTGATGGGGCAACGAAGGGTAGAAGAAGAAGAGGCGGAGGGGATTTCGGGGTGGTGGGGTGGGAGACTAGGTAGGTATATATTATATATTGTTAGCGATGGGGTGAAGTTACTTGGATAGGAATGGAGGGGGAAAGATGTTGGTGGGAACTGGAATTGTAGAGATACGTACACATTGGTGGTTGTGCCAATTACTGGACAGACGGCAGCCATGATTGCAATGGGGTTTTTCGAGTACGATTCTCAGATTTGTGGTGATAGTAATGGTGGTGGTGGTGGTGGTGGTGGTTGGATTCGATGGTTTCTTGGGCAAGGAGTGAGGTGAAGAGGGAAACAAAGAACCAAGGCAAGGGATTCAAAGACTACCCTATTGACGTAGACCTATTTACTAAGGTACCAACCCCGCCAGACCTAAACCAAAACTCTCCCACAGAAGAGTTCTTGTTCCAGTGCTACCAAACCTGGAAAGCTGTTGTGCTTCAGATAAATCCCCCGCTTATTTTGTCGGATGCTGATTGGTCAATCGATGTCCGGAGAGTGAGGAAGCTCGAAGCCTCATCCGCCCCCCAAGACTTTTCTGCCCACATGACCGCGAGCTTATATCGATCGTCACTCGATAATACCTCCGTAATACGTGATACAGTACAGGCGGTATACGCACTTTCGATACTAGGTACTCCATCGCGAAGAGTTCCACCACTTCGAGGTCATGAATGAGAAAAATGATATAGTGCCCTGATATGTCGAGAATGTCGCAGCATGATGTTGGCTTCTCCAATCATGTTGGGAATAACCACAACAGAGTCCCAGGAAATGTTTGAATAGGGTGGAATGCGCTCATCAATTTGGCCCATCAGCATTTTCATCCGGAAATCTGATGCTGCGCTGTGTTATAGCGGGCCTTGGGGTTGACACTCCTGATGGATAATTGATAGGTCGCGGTGGACTAGACGAAGCTGCTCGAGGCTCGGAAACGTTTGATTGCGTGTTCCTAGGTCGAGATCTGCTCGGGATCAAAGAGGGTGTTTCCGATGACAACGCTCTTGAAATGGTCCTGGGAAGGTGGAACCCGAGCTTGCCCAGTGGCACAGAGAGTCCATGGCACACCACCGAGCAGATACACAGAAACCAGACCACCACGTTCATGGTCTCCGCGAGATGTGCGGCATCATTGCGCTCGACATCATCGACGGAGATCTGCCGGAGGAACTCCCTCGAAACGTACAAGTAGAAAATGGCCGATACTCCCTAAAGTATCACATCGATTGTAAGCAAGTCTCTCAAATATGCGTGTAAGCTTGAGCAGTAGGTATCTATCTTCAAGATATCATAATGGCCCAAACGAGCCAGAGGGAGATACTTGTGATCAAGGCATGTCGTCAAGCGGCTGCTCTTATTTACTTACGATTGGTCCAAACCAGCCAGTGAAAGTAGTCTGTTTCCAGTCTTCCAGTTGATGTATCTGTGAACGAAACAGCCATATCATGGGAAGTCGCCGCAGTAGGAGCACCAGGATTCCCAGGGGGATCAGACGATAGATTGGGATCACGTCGTTGTCCACAAAGCTATGCCAGGGACAGATCGCTCCGAACCATATGAAGACGGCCACGTTAAGAAGCATGTCAATAGTAGGTTGTAGAGAGTCATCCTTGGTCTCAAGCCGGAACCTGTCTGGGTGTGAGAAAAAGGGAAGCGTCTTTGCGAAAGTAGTGAGTATCGCTCACCAATCATCCCACTAAACACAACACAATCAGCTCAGCGGGTCGACACAAAAGGATGTAGCAGCAAACATACAGTAAACACGTTGCCAGCAATAAAGCAGGCGAGCACGTCGTCCGATCCAAACATGCCGACCGTACCTACGATGAAAAGCTATCATTTACCATTAGTCGGCTCGAGAGACCCAGAGTAGCGTGGGGCCATACCGCAAGCGTAATGGCAAAGACCAAGAACGACTCTCGATCTACATAGCGATGCTCCTCTGCCCAGTGCAACAGCTCCTTCGCGATCCAGCCCACGGTGGCACCGTAGACGACGCTCAAGAGGATCTCGTAAGCCCACGTCTCTCCAAACCACAAGGCCATGGCATGGCTGACACCCCCATGCTGGCCGGCACCACCTTCTCCGGCATACTTGAGCAAATACAGGCCGAGGAAGAGGAAGGGATAGCCGAGACCATCGTTGGCGCCAGACTCGGCGATGATGATCTTCTGCAGAGGACCAGGAATATTCTTATCGGCAAACTTGCCTTTTACGATGCTGTTGCTGAGAATGGGATCTGTGGGCGTCACACACGCTCCCACGGAAATGGCAGCCACAAAATTGATATGTGGTACGAGAGCCCACACAAGCAGAGACGTTGTCAACCACATCAAGCACATACCTGTTGCATTCGCCTCTGAATCAGCAGTGTCATTTTACTATACTAGCTTTTTTGCAGTGTGCAAAATGCGTGTATGGGAAGACCTGATGATTACCAGGTCCAATGAGTATCGCTAGGCTCTTCCGTTCCATCCATAGATATTTGCTGGGCAACTGCACGCCCGCCAAAACGAGCTGCACGCCCAAGACCAGTCGTGTGAAGTAGAGTGTGATGGTCTCTAAATCTTCCTCGCTATTCCTCGCATACTCGAGCGGTCTGATCCAATTCAGCGCGTGAGGGCTGAAGATTAGGCCCGCGACTGTGCTGATGGAGGCTTCGGACAGGTAGAAGCGCTCCTTGAGGAGGTACGACACCAGTCCGAAGATGGAGATGAAGCCGCCCAACGTGGCGCAGACGATGTTGAAGTTCACCAACGACAGCGTAGGCATGGCGGATGCTCGATTGATAATAGGCGGTGGTGGAGGAGGAGGAGGAGGAGGTGGTGGTGGTGGAGAGTGGGGAGTTGTATGACCAGCCACAAAATTGATATGAGGCTTGGCTGTATATTTGTCTGCCTCTCTCTCTCTCTCTCTCTCTCTCTCTCTAGAAGAGGCTAGACTACCTCCTAGGCTGGAGGTAGGGCTAGGAATCAATGTACTGTAGGAAGTAGGAGGTAGGTGCGGTTCAGTTATCTAATCCACGCTAATAGACATCAAGGTATCATAATTCTTTCAAGTTTCTACCGCCTATACACATAGCTAATGGTACCTCCTACCTCCCCGCGAACGCGAACTTGGCGCCGGGAAAACTTTATCCAGCAACACCTGCCGAGTCTCCATCTCGCTGGCCCAGATCTAACACTCGAGACGATCGAGGAGGGATCATGTCATGTTGTTGGGCAATGTTTCTCGCCCGCCTTCGCAACAGTAATTTTGCTGTGACTTCATCTAGTTTGATAGGTCGCTCTGCACGCACCTTCTCCATCCAAAGCGCGCAGCTTGAGAAACCACTCCCACCCAGAATCGTGATATCCGAGAAAGATATCATAGAATCCTTCTTGAAGGGCAGTGGTCCTGGCGGCCAGAAGATCAACAAGACGTCGTCCGCGGTACAGTTGAAGCATATTCCCACGGGCATTGTCGTCAAGAACCAGGCGACTCGCAGCCGAGACCAGAATCGCAAGAACGCCAGGCGGATATTGGGCGAGAAGTTGGAGGAACTCGAGCAGACGCCACGATGGGCAGCGACGGAAGTGAAGAGCGAGAAGATTCGGAGGAAGAAAGCGAGTGCGGCAAAGAAGTCGAGGAGGAAGTATCGGCAGCTGGACGAGGGCATTGTGTTGCCTGAGGCAGAGGCTGAGGCAGCGGAAGAAGAGAAGAAGCATGATGCGGTGAATGCAGGAGCAGGAGCAGGAGCAGTGAATAAGGAAGGCACGAGTGTGGAAGTGGAAGGAACGAATTCGCAAGACACTCGCGTTGGCTCCGATGGCGCTGGATGAGCGACGCCTCCTGTTTCTCACGCCTCGACCACTTTCCATGGACAACATCACGACACGAACCACATCCAACAAGCCACATTGGACACCTCGAGCAATATGGCGTCCGAGAACATGTTCAGCATGCGCGTTCAGACTTTGGGTCCGTACCGTCCATGACAAAGAGCGCCCCGTCCCCCATGTGCAATCGCTGACAGACATGCACAGCGAACGCGAAGATGCTTCTCAACCCACGCGTCGCCAGCAACCTTTCATCGAACGACTCTACCACTACCCTCAATGGCACTGTCACTGACGGCGCTCTGGACATCGTCGTCTTCGGACGAGGCTCCGAATTCGTCGCCGCGGTCATGGACGGGCCCACACCTGCCATCGAAGGCGAAGCTGGAGCCACTCCAGAAGTCGCCATGCGCAAGTGTCTTATGACGACTTGTGAGCTTCTAAAAGAGTACCTACCCAAAGTCGGTGAACATCACCGCAACGTTCCTGGAGGGGGCGTGTTCAAGGCCGATATCATCTCCAAGGCCTGGACCAAGTAGGCCGGGGAGCTCGAGGAAATGAGAAAGGTGGCGTTCATTCGGGAGCGTCTCACTGCCTCTTCGCGATCAAGGAGGCGACAGGAATAGACGCGCACAGCTACTGCGAACGATTCGGAGCTTGCAACTGTTTTCAGAAAAGCGGGAGACACTCGGCTCGTTTTGCATCTAGATTCCTAGCCTAGTGTCGTGTGTGCTCCAACAGAGCGCATTCCTACCCAACCTACCTACCTTAGGTATAGAACAAACATGAAACACACTTGAAAATGCCTTGTCTCAACTCACTCATATCTGCTTTCCTGCTCCCCCTCTACCCCGGTTCTTCCGATGAAACCATAATGCTTGCAAAAATAACTACCCAAGACGACTTACCTTAATAAGCTAGAATGGAAGTGAAAGTGAAAGCGCCTACCTGAGGTTTTTTTAGCTGCCGCGCACTCGTTCGCAGGTCCCACGCATCCATTACTAAGCCAAACGAGTGCAGATGTACCTAAAAGTAGATCTTCACGAGTGCATGCCAAGCAATAACGAGGCGCCTTGGCAAATAACGAGTGCATTGAGTGCGGCGGTCCTTTTTTTTCTTTTGGCATTCTAGGAAGTACCGTACCTACCTGTATACCTATACCTATACCTATACCTATACCTAGTACCTAAGTAGGTAAGGTAGTCAATGATGACGGTAAAGATCTCATGAGATTCATGTGATATTGCTACACGTATTTATTGCTTTTGCATAATTCCATCTATCTCTCATATGTCAGGTAGGTAGTTTCCTGATATCCTGAGAATCTGCCTGGAATGTTCTCTTCAGCAGCCCAATACATTCATCAGATGGATTTCTCATCTTTCACACTGATCACAGTCGACTTCTCTTCGCTTTGATCATCGGCAACAACAATGCTTCTCGGCCGATCGCCTTGGGTGCCTAGAGTCAAAAAGGGCACGAGACATGTACCCACCACACAAGCCCCTGTGCCCATCCAGAATGTTGCGGCATAAGGCTGCGTGTCAGTGTCCCAATAGCTCGACATGGTAGGCTTCTTTTCCACGGCGTTGAATACGGCAGTCGCGATGCCCATGCCGATGGTCATACAGAGCTTGGTGACAGCTTGAAAGATGCCTCCCGCAGTACTTTGTTGTGACGGTGGCATGGAACTCATAACGTACATGTTGGCCACATTGAATTCCAGGTCGGCTCCGATAACCGACAGTGCCAGACCAGGGAAGCAGAACGACCAGTATGAAGAGCTGTATCGGTTACATGCGAAGAGGAGAAAAGCAACTGCATATGCTGCTGCTCCGATGCCCATCAGTAACTTGTTTGAAACGCGGTTCAATGCCCAGCCTGCGAAACAGTTCACAATGATGCCGTTGATCGCCATGGGCAATACATGTATGGCCACTTGCAATGCACCCATGTGCCAGACATCTTGAAAGTAGAGCGCCACGAAGAAGGTCGCTGGTGTAAAACCGAGGTATCCAAACAAGAGAATGACCATGGCCAGCGAGAAGTTCCGGTCCTTCCAGATCGACATTGGCATTAGCGGATGCGGGAAGTGCAGCTCCCAAAAGACAAAGGCAACGATCAAAGCCAAGCCGACAAGTAGAAGAGCAAGCACATAACCAGTTTTCCAGCCTTGTGGAGCATGGTCTCCCATTGAGAGTGCAGCGGAGAACATGCCAATTCCACCAACAGTAAGTATCGTGCCCACAATATCGAAACGCTTGAGGGTATTCCAATTCAAGGTTTCCCTTTCGGTAGTGTCCTTGGGTACACTGAAAATTGCGATTACCGTAAAGAGGGCGAAGATGATCGCGAGTAGCCAGAACGATGATCGCCAGCCGAACAGACTGGTCGCGATGCCGCCAAATATCGTACCCGCCACGAAGCCCAATGGATTTCCCGCAGAAAAGCAGGCGAACGCATAGTTCTTGCGCTTACTGGGCTTCTCATAGACGATCCCTAGCAGACCGACTGCCGGAGGAGTTGCTGATGCACTGAACAATCCGAGAACTCCATTGAGGACATCAATCTCGATCGCACTGCGCGAGAATCCGGTCACAAGACACAGTATGGAGAAGAGGCCCAGAGATCCAACGAACAGCGATTTGCGGCCAAAGAGATCTGCAACTTTGCCAAAGAAGAGCAGGAATGCACCACTACTGAGCGAGCTGGCGGAAGAAATCCAGGTGATCTCAGCGGTAGACATGTCCAGATCTCGACCGATGAAGGATGACGATACCGTGATCGCGCCAATCAGGAAAGAAGTCATTCCAATGGCCATGGTCGCTGAGAGGACAAAGAGCACCTCCTGGAAGGTGTTCTTGAAGCATGCGGGTCGTCCATGGCTCAGGGCAGTAGGAGAGCCATCCTCAGTATTGTGATTGTCGACCGTAACTTCAGTACATGCCACACTCTCGCTCGGGCCCGTTCCGCTATCACCAGCCATCGTGCCGGAACGAAGAATCTGGGTGAGTTACGTGTAGAAGGCAATATCATATTCTTCAGGCCGAGGTGAGGGAGTTGAGGTGAGTAAAGAGCGTCGGCGTAGTGCGCCGGGCTCTTGTCGCCGATCTGTATAATGCCGGCTGCACGTAACTGGGCCCAGGTGGGCCTCCACAACTACCCGAGCTTATGCCACTACTCTACCGCTTATTAAAACAACCTGGAGTTACCTCCGTAGCGCCATTTATCAGTGAGATTCGTATCATATACCTAGTGCTAGGCTCCTTCACTGTGCTGTGTGTCGCCTTACTGAGGATTGGTGTCTGTGTCGACATTATTCTCGAAAAAGATATTCGTACTCCAAAGAGAATCCTGTTGCAACGTTGGCCAAGGTCTGGCACAGAGTCTGCTCTGGTACTGTAGAGAAATCAGTGCCAAAGCTGTGTACTGTTCAACTAGCGGAGCCGTTTTCGGATAAGCGAAGACCTCGAGCCGGTGTCCGGAAGTGCACATCACAAGGGATACAGTGGCGGGTGAGCAAGGGCGAGGCGTTCAACGCTGTTACGCGACACCATACAATGGTATAGGTGGCTACTCGCTCCGGCAGGACTGTCGCCATCCCAAAGGATGATCACTGAAGGTGGTGGCGAAGTGCCTTCACAAGTCCATCACAGCTTCACCACATCCCACCCGGACAGATCCAGCGTGGACAGCACGCCTCTGAGCGGCCCTTGCACTTCTCTGCCATTAGACCACTGCTTGGCGCCTGCCCAGTACCTGAGGAACCCCTCTGGGCCTGACACGAACAGAATGTTACGGCCACTGTCCGTGTCTTTCTGTGACCGAGAAAGCTGGTAGAGCATACGCTTGACATCTTCAGGCCTGATGAATGAGCCTTCCTCATCCACGAAGTAGTCGACTGTCAGACGTCTAGTACGACCATCTGCCCCGGCAGAGCGCTTCTTCAGGTTCTCCAGCAAAGTGACTAAAGCCCCCTTCTCGGCATTGGGTAGGTCCTCACCTTTCTCCCCATGCTTCGCGGCCTTGGACGCACCCCAGAAGTTCCAGCCAACACTTCTGCCCTCGGGTTGCGTATCGTTGTATCCGCCAATACAGTCTTCCCTTCTCCTGCTCGCCCATAGAATGTGAACATCTGCTTCGCTTGACAGCATATCTGCCGCCTGTGCTGCAGGAGCTATGCCTGTACCTCCAACTAGAAATGCTACGCTGTTCACGTTCTCTGGGAGCACGAACTCTGGATGGAGTCCACGAGTTTCCAGCTCGGCACCCTCAGGCAGGCGATGCAAGAAGTTCGAGACTTCACCTTTCTGCTCTCTTCTGATCAAGAATCGTAGCTCGTCCTCATGCTGCCCATCCGCCTGAGGGAGACAGGTATACGACCTCGCAATTTGCAATTGGGGTTGTTTAAACTCTACGCTCGTGATAGCTCGCTCGAGGTTTGGGTCGTCCAAATCTACTGCGGTTCCCGTCGAAGGCTTAAGCCGGAAGATGGCGCATGTTGAAGACACATTCTCCTTGCCGATCAGAGTGTACTTTACAAACTCGCTCGGGTCTGACAGGCTGTTCCCTTTGCGGAGAGGCAAGTAGTCGCTGAAGTAGTATCCAAGTGGCAGACCGACAGCAAAGAATACCAGGGATGGCAGGCCGAATCTTGCCGTCTTCTTGACCCCCTCCCTAGCCTGCTGCCTCTTTTCTTGCTCTTCATTCTCTTGCGGGCCCTCGGGTAGTGTAGGCAGTTTCGCTTCTTTCTTCGTCGCCGTTGTTCCCGTTGCTGTCAACTTGTCCTGATCTTCACTCCGCCTGCTGCAGTGCGAGAATCCGGCAATGCCTGACCTCGCCGAAGTTGCTCTTCCCAGAGTTCTCCATAGTCCCGCGCTCAGTGACATGTCCAGGTACACGAACAGAGGGTACGGAATAAGGTATGGCGGGCTACGAGGCAGGTGACTCTAGGTACTTCCAGATTCAATACGCCCCTCGGAAGGCAGTCGTCAAATTCAGAACAAACTTTGGTTAAGAATTGATGGACAAATAACACTTCGAACCTCTACCTAGTAGCTGTGTAACATGTGGCTCCGAGGATGTCCAGTCCAGTTGGATTTGAATGCCTTAGGCACTACATCTGCTGATTCAGCAGAGAAACATACATATAGCCCCCGGCCCGGTCCGTGCAACACCCCAGATCTCTCCTCCACACGGATCGACGGAATAACCTACTACGACCTCCTACTCCACACACATTACGCCGCTGATGATTCGATGTGTGCACACCTCAGTGGGATGTATGTATTTGCAATCGCGTCCTGACTCCCAGGACTTAGAAAACGCGCCGTGGCGTTCAATAGCCGCTTGTGCTGCATGTCACTCCCACACTGTAAGACGCCGAAGGGGGGCTGCAGACTTGCCACATGTGACAGACGGACGATAGGGCAATACATCATTGCACAATAGGCGTACCTACATGTAGCCTGCCCTTCTCACACTCATTTACAGGTACCTTAGGTACTCTCATACCCACCGCCTCCGATTTATTCATTCTACAGTCACATCCTCGTCGTCTCCACCATCATGTCTTCACACACTCAAGATCCAGATCCAGATTCGGAACATCAACGCCTCCGCCTTTCAACAGAAACGGAACGCACACTGGTAGAAGATCATGTCGACACTACTACCCATCCAACGCCCCGAGCAGCTTCACCTACAAGAACGCTAGTCGACGCATCAGACTCTCCATACCGAGGGTTTCCATCGAAAGCGCACTATCTAGCTGCACTACATGAGTGGGCAGAAGAGAAGCGATACCTCTCGGCGGGGACGACGACTGTGGAAGGCTTCTATGGAAACACCACCCTTGAGTCATATGCAAGCAGACCAAAGCATGAGCTGGGGATAAGAAGAAGGTTGAGGGAGATAATGGAGAAGAAGAAGAAGCATACAAAGCGGAGCAGTAGTTGGCCCGAGTCGTTGAGGAGGGCGTCGTGAAAAGACTGTTATTGAGAAAAGGAACGACTACTGCAGAGGATCTTTGCCTAGACATGGAGACGACGTGATGAGCCACGAGTGATGAAATAAGAGAAGCGTTGATTCGAGGCGGCCACTTGGCATCGTCCAGTTTGTAGCCACTACTTGCATACCTGCTGCACAATATTGCTGCCATCTGAGTGCCCATATCTGCCACATCTCCTTTCCATGCATAATGTACACTATGATTGACAAGTAGCCCGGGAGCGTCCTCTTTTTCCGCTCTCACAACGCCAACGCTAATCCCGATCATCTCATACTGCGCCATAGCCATGACACGGTCTAAGTTGTTGTATAATTCTGTCATCTGGTTCATGCCCCCGTAAACTATGCTCCGCCAGCTCCATTCTGCATCACAGGTGTTCTACACATGCATGCGCGCAAAGCTAGTAACAGTAACATTAGCACTCTCGATATCTTGTGGCGGAGTGTCATCTGTTGGTGAGGGTGGGTACTTCTCATCCCTGAGAACCTCAACGCTGCTCTGCCTGTCCACAGTTCCACTCTCTTCTACCGGAATGTACTCCCAGCACATGAACTGCCAATTCAGCTCCTTACGCCAGCACATGCCATACCCGAGGCCAACCGGTCCGGAATCGTTACTATTCATCTCGGCAGTCAAACCTCCGGTCTCGGGCATGCGGGTCTTGAAGATGACTCGGCCAACACGGCTATGGACCAGGCCCATCGAGCACATTATGCAGGGTTCGTGGGTAAGGAACACCTCTAGTTTGAGGCAGAGGTAGCCATCTGGCTTGAGGTTGTCTTTCTCAAAGTAGACACGTTCGAGCTCGGTGATGGGAAGATCGGCGAAGAAGGCATCTCGTGCTGCAGGATCGACGGCGAGACCACCCTTGTGGAAGTTGCTTTCAGCTTTGGCTGCTGACTTGGCGATGGCCATAGTTGCGACGCGCAGGCGTTTACGACCAATCATGCCGACGGCACGCATCACCGCATGGCCCATCATGTTTCCTTGTCGAGAGCTCTTGGGGTCGGGTTCCGGTATGTTTGGTACTCGCGGTGCCCATCTGGCGTCACCGGCGACAGCGATGATCTGAGTCTTGCCATCGACACGCTCGACAACGACGCAACCAGTGCCGGTGCCAATGCCCTTGCGACGATTCTCCTCTCCAGCCTTACGCGCAAGTTCAAAAGCTTCGTCCACGCCGATGTTATCTTCCGACGGCGCCTGGAGCTCCTCCTCTGCTTTCTTAATGCTGGATGGGTGAGCTCCAAACGGGTTGGTCTTTCGGTAAAATGTTGGCCAGTATTCCTTCGACCAGTCGTTGGCTTGCTTGGGGCTCGTAGGTGCGAGAAGAGGAACGGTGATCTCTTTGAGCTCCAGTGGGTAGGCCCATGACTCAGCGTTTGAGCAGAAGGGTGGGAATTCCTTGAGCACATCGAATAAGTCCCTCAGACTGATAACCCGAGTGGGACAAACAAGAAGGTGCAGAGTTGCGGGACGGGCACCAGAGCTTCGTGCCTTGCCGGACGCTGGGGTCGAATACTCCCACGCGGTACTACCGGGTGCTTGCATAACAGTGGATGGTATCGACTCCCAGGCTCGCGGCACAGCGTACATGGCTTTGGCCAGATCTCGCTTGCCGAGAACATGGTCAGGAAGGTACTTGGGCTTCGCGAAACGGCGGAGGTGCTGCAGGTCGATCGAGTCTTGTCCGGGAATCTCGTCCTTGATCACCCTGGCCCAAATCAGATCATATTCATGAACGGAACAGGAGACGAGGTACTTCAGAATCCCTTCAGCGTGCTTGCTAGGCAGCTCAACGGTCCAGACTTGAATTGTTTCATTCCCCAGCCGACACTCTTCTTTGGTCTTGAGGTGAGCCATGCGCCGCTTGGGCTCTGGCTCTGGCTCGATGGTGAACTTCGAGTCGCGGCGAGGCATGGTGGCCATGACGGCGGCGATGAGGTTGCGGGACTTGCGGAAGATGTACGAGTGGAGGAAGAGGGAAAAGGTGGTGAAGCTGGAGAAGAAAGACCATCTTGGAGTCAGACTTGCCAGGAGCTCGCGAGCCCCCACTAGAAGCGACGACATCTTCGTGCCTTCTGTCTTCACAGTCGCAGTTGCACTTTTTAAGCACGACGGAGCTCAGCCCGCGCCGATCCCTGCCCTAGCAAGCACTAGCGCGTCGCGTAACTCAGACGCGCCGACCTACCTCCTACTTCACCTATCTGAGGTGCTCTCCAATTTCCAGTCGATATGGGCTTCAAAATGCTGCAAGATGAGATTTTCGGGTCTTTGTCAAAGGAGTGGTCGTGCAGAGATGGTCCTTTGCGACACTTATCCGCTTTGCTCTCGGCACGTGGATGACTTTCCCCCCCACCCATCCCCAACCAAAGTACGCATCTGCTGACTTGCGGCACAGCCCACTCTGCCCAGTCCTTCCTCGCTAATTGTATATGGACCGCGTGCGACTGGCAAGAGCGCCATCGTCAAGTCATATCTGGAAGCGAGCAGGCTGCGCCATGCAATCGTGCGATGTCAAGAATGTGTAACAGGCAGGCACCTCTTGGAGCAAATAGCCGCTTCCGTTCACGAAGGTTCCACGAAGCATGAACTCAACAGCGATGTCGCTCCACATCCAGGACGATGCGAGAATATCAGCACTCTCGTGGTCCATCTACAACGAACACTGGAAGGAAATGACAAATTTGTGCTGGTGCTGGATGGCATCGATGAGCAGCGCGACAGGGCGCCAACCTTATTACCAGCACTGGGACGTCTAGGAGAGGTGTTGCCGCAGCTTATTTTGTTACTCGTTGTGCGATATCCATCGCCTCGGTTTCTTCATCAGGCTGGCATTCCGCATGTTCACTTTCCACCTTACAGTCGAGCCCAGTCAGTGCACATATTGGCTCGCAAACCTCCAGACATTTTCGTTGAGCCACCGTCAGAAGCACTAGACTATGATGACGACACTCACGAAGAGGATAAGGCCTGGTTATGGCCTCGCTTCTGTGCTGCAGTGTGGGACTCTTTTGCGCAAAGTGCAGTTCGTGATCTGGCATCATTTCGAGATACCTGCCACAAGTTGTGGCGACCTTTTGTGGCGCCAGTAATCAATGGAGACTTTGGCACGCGAGATTTCAGTCGCCTTCTAGTGGCGCAGCGTCGAATACTCCAGGATGAAAGCTCATTGCTGGATTCTGTGGTGGGCAGTGCTGAAGCGGCTACTCTGATATCGAAAAACAAAACTCATGAGCTGCCATACTACTCCAAGTGGATATTGGTTGCAGCTTACCTGGCTTCCTTCAACCCTGCTCGTTTGGATGCACTTTACTTTATGAAAACAACGGAGAAGAAGCGGCGGAAGAAAGGCGGCGGGACGGCACGATCTGGTGGCAGGCCAAGCCAGAAACGGCAGATATCTCGACACCTCCTGGGAGCATCTGCTTTCACCATCGACCGATTACTGGCAATCTTGCATGCCATACTGCCAGACGAGGTCAGAACGACTATTGATATGTACAAGCAAATCGCCACTCTGTCGAACCTCCGGCTTCTGGTGCGAGCTGGCGGTATCGGGAGCAGCGATCCTCTCGAGCCTGGTGGAAAGTTGAGAGTTGGACCTCTAATATCCTGGGAGCATGTCCAGAGCCTTGCCAGGAATCTGGACTTTAACCTGATAGATTATGTCGCAGAGTGACCTATAATCTTATGATCTCTCCACTGCGATCAATACCACCACGGAACAGGTCCTTGGTCACTTTTCCGTCGATGATCGTTTGAGAAACAATACCCTCCACATGTTCGGGGCCCACTCTGCCATACCATATCCCTTTCCCGGCTAGTGGATGGTCTGTGAAGCTCGGTGGTATGTATATGATCACATTTCCGGCCCATTTATGTCCACCAATATGGCTTATCGTCCCGACCCTTGCAGTTGGCATGCCGGCCTGCTGTTCTTCGATGTGGTCTGGGGCCTCTTTCATCACTTTGATGTTCTGTCGTTCCAGCTTCTCCTCAAATTCATCTCTCAGCAAGGGACCTAGCGTCCCGCATCGCTCATCTCTTCCACCGTGTCCGCAGATCAGAACAAGAATCTCGTTGACGTCTCTTGCCTGGGGAAAATCTCGCTGTCCTTCAGGTTGGCGTAGAAGAAGCTCACGTTGCGCAGGTGAGAAGGTATCGTAGGATTTGTGAAGTTTACTCGGAAGGACGAAAGCTTTGATAAAGGATTCCACCGCTGCAGGATCCGAAGGGATCGAAGGGACGAACTGGAAGCTGGGAAGTAAGAACGCCGATAGAGGCATGCTAGCAGACATGGTCTGGTCTGGATCTGTTCTGGTCGGAGTGCTAGCGAACGAGCTGTTGGTTATCAAGACATTGTGATAAGGCTATACTATCTGTATCAGCCTCTATTGTACATGTGACTCTGCGAATAGTCTCTGCCCACGCACATCGACATATTTGCCTCCTCTTACGAGAAACTTCTTCAGTTGCCGCAGCAGTCCAGCATCCTCCTCGTCTTCGATTTTGCTCTTCCAATCTGCTTTCCCAGTGCATAGCAAGATTTGTTCCCCATACGCAGCCATTGTGCCACTCAAGCTTGACTCTCGATCGATGTCAAGACCCGACGGCGCCGCTCGACAACCACATGTGGGGGATGGACATGCATCGACTACTGGGACTGGTGGCGAGGCTGGTGGTATTGGTATTGCTGTTCTTGATGCCGTTCTTCGGGACAATCGCACAACATGTGCTCGCATACATGTAGCCTGACGTGCGGTACGGCTGCCATGGCGAAGGATGAACATGGTATGCCAAATCTCGCGAAAAGGATGAAGTGGTGACGAGTTCGAGTGATGGGAAGCTCGAATGTCGTCGGCAACTGTGATTACCTAAGCCATAGCGCATACACCTCACTTTTTTCACGACAAGCGCCACCACCCCACTAGCCGACGCTTGCATCGCTGACCAGGACGCGCCGAGTGTGCCCAGCACTCCAACTCCAGGATGGCGCTGGAGCTCACGTTTGTCAATCAATACGGCGACAGCGCACCTAAGCGGAGGAGGCTCGCCAAGGCGTGTGAGTCTTGTCGGACGAGGAAGGTGGGCTTTCCCATCCTTGTCCAGTATGCTTCGCAACTTGTGCATACCTGAGACTGATGATGAGCGTATCAGAAACGATGCATTCACTTTCCAGCAGCCGACGAGTCAGAGAAAGAGAGGGATCGTCAGGTCGAAGATGAATCTGAAGCTGACGGACCGCCCTCGAACGGCAATACCAACGGGAGTCTGCCAGCACCGAGTACGATGAAACTTTGTATACTCACTCCTTCACCACGTCTGGAACTAACGTCTAATTAGCAGGATCAACAGCGTCCATTTCCAGGCGGTTCATCAGTGATTTGGTCCCGGAGTCGACCTTCTTGCAGCGACATCAGCCTGCAGCTCCACAGGAGATCCGTGAACAGAACGACGACATCGGGATTTGGGTAGATCGTCGCGAATATGACGCCCTGGTACGACAGAAAAATACTGCTCGAGATGAAGCTGCTGAGGCGACCGCAGGTGAAGAGCGACCTCACTCAACTGCTTATACCCCTCTGATCGACATTTACTTTCGAAAACTGCATCCCGTCCTGCCTTTGCTGGACGAGGCTGAATTCCGCAGAGACTATGCTCGAGGTGTCGTGCCAGAGGCTTTAGTCCATGCTGTATGTCTGGTTGCGGCAAAGCACTCTGAAGCTGCTCCTTATCTCCGGCTCAACGAGTCGTCTACTCCCTTAGTCGCACGCGAGTTTTGTCGTAGGTTACACAAGTCGCTTATGGTTGCGTTACGAGTACCTGGAAGATATGAGAAAATCACACTCATTCGAACCCTGGCTCTAGCTAGCCTGCACGCTGAGAGCGCGGAAGGGGCGGAAGAGGCTACCTTGTGTTTAAATCAGGCAATGCATTATCTGCAGACGATGGGTTGGCATCTAGGGCAACATACTGGAGTCACGTCGAGCGATGATCTCCAAACCAAGCGGATATTCTGGTGTCTATGGAGCCTCGATCGGGTCAACAGCTGTATCTATGGCCGTCCGATCATGATGAGTGACATCGACGTCGCCATAGAGCCGTTCGAGTCTGGGGAAAGTGGCTTTCCAGCATTCGAGGTATGGTTGTGTATCACTCGCACACTCAATAAAGTGATTGGCTTCTACCGGCCAGGGGTACCGCTAGAGGTTTCTGGCTGGGAGGAAGACTTTCCAAGCTTTGAAGATGCCATTGAAGAAGGTAAAGGACACAACTTGGACCGACCTACAATGGCTACGCTGCATCTGTACTACATGCTTGTCGCCGTGCTCTCGCATCGTTCACGCGGCGTCAAGTTCGTGTCTCGATCGACCAATTCATATGTCCGACAGAGTCTCTGCGCAATCGAGATCAATAGACTAATGAGCTCGCACCTACTGCCAACCCTTCTACCATTCCCCATCCTTTCCTACGCGATCAGCTTGGCAATGTCGGTATCTTATCAACATCTACGTCAATCACAGCTCCAGCACCAACAAGAGGATGCGCGCCAGGATTTCAAGTCTTGCTGCCAAATATTGCAAAAGCTACGCCGTACATGGTCTTCTGCAGATGTCATTGCAACGATCGCCAGAAAAGTGTTGGATCAACTAGAAAAAGCGCCTGATTTGGCAGTGTTCCGAGTGACCAGAGGATCGGAAGAGGGCCGACATAGTCCTCACATCTGTGCCGCAAGCTTTTGGAAACCGCATACCCTGGTGGATCATCCCACCGCAGACAACGCCACGGCTGAATCAGAAGGCAATGAGTCCGCTGCGCCAGATGTCGAACAGCAGCCGGCTACTGAGGCCGACTGGCTGGGGATGTTTGAGGGAATCGACGACATTTTCGGGACTTACTTGGATCCCAACTATCCAGTCAATCTTGACGACATCTCTTTCGTGGACGACTTGAGTCCACTGGATTGGAGCGCTCCTTCGTGAGCTACTTTGGGCATTTTCCCAGATCTTGGAATGATACCCAGGCGCTGATGCATTAAGCCGAGCCGTTCTGATGGGGTTACACGAGACAGATTGCAAAAATGACGCCTTCTGTGATGTTCCTTGGGCGCGACAGTGACGATCATGCGGATACGGAAACAGCCCTGAGTCCGGCAAAGTGCACACTGTGTGTGGATTCCCTCTTCCCGCGAACCTGTATGCTCGAGGAAGGGTTCAAAGCGTGCAGACAGTCAGTTTAATCATTTTCGTCTCGTGGCAACACAGCTGAGTCCTGGACGGATTATGGGAGGCTGAAGAAGCCTGGGTAAGGTTCTAGCATTGGGCCGCAAATCTCGAAGACCAGACTCGCCTCGTGCTCCATGTACAGATAGACTTGAGTACTGGCACAGATAGACCTCATTGTCGGAGGAATAGAATGGCGATGTTCATAGGCAATTCGACACAAGTGTGGGGATCGAGAGCAGGTATTTCATTGTTCTTGAGGGTGGTTGGTCATAGGTGATCTGGTAGCGGATCTGTCTTACTCGGCCGCATCGATGCCTCTACCCAAGTTGAGGGAGGTAGATAATGAAGATACTTCGAGATCGAGACGACCCCGAGTATAATTGACGTTTCTTGCAAGCATCTCTACCCGAAAGACAAGGTAACGCTCCGACTAATATATCACCAGACCAGAGGAACCCCTTCGCGAGAACACCCCATCCTCCCCATTGCCCCATCCCAACCCCATACAGGCACCAAAATAACCCAGAGAAGAGTCCTAATGATCCTCCTCGGCCTCCTCCGTAAACTTCTTATACTCCTCCGCACTCTTCAACCCCTCAAATTCAGCCTTGCTGCTGATCTTAATCTTGGCCAACCACCCATCTCCCTCGGGAGACTTGTTAATCGTCGAAGGGGTATCTTCCAAGACACTGTTGGCCTCCACAATCACTCCGCTGACAGGCGTCATGATGTCCGACGCGGACTTGACGGATTCTACGGCGCCGATGGAGTCTCCTGCTGAGACTTCGAGATCGACGGTCGGGAGTTCGACGAAGACGACGTCGCCGAGGGCGGAGGCTGCGTATTGCGATATTCCGATTGTGCCTGGGAGGAGAGAGGAAGGGGGGAGGGGTGTTAGCACATCAATTTGTTTGGTTTGCATGTGAAAGTGGGGTCTAGTTTCTTCATGGAGAAGGATGGCAGGGCATTGTCATTGCACTTACCATGGACTCCGTCGGCGTCAAGTTCAACCCACTCGTGGTCTTCAGTGTAGCGCTTTTCCCAAACTGTATGATTGACCATGCATCAGTTTGGGAACGGAAATGTGTGATTGGTCAGGCCACCATCTTTGAATTTCAGGTCTGACCTTTTGCGCTTGCGGTGAAGCTTCGCACTGCGGGCTTGGTGAAGTGTTGTTGTTGTGGCTGCTGTGCGCGCAGACGAAGGAACTGCGGTCGACTGCATCGCACCGCTGCGAAGGCTCGTCCTGCCACTGCTGAAGCCATTGTCTCGTCTTTCTTTCTTTTCCTCTTTCTTTCTCAGGGACTGGTGTTGGGTCTCGGTGTTGCAGGGAGGCTCTGAGAAAAGAGAGTCACCAGTCGGCATTGAGAGCTCGAGGTAAATAGTCGGCTATCGCGGCTGCTTATCGCTTGCGGGAAGAGCCTTGAAGTATAAACTCTAATTCTACCCTTGCACTTTGACCTTCAATGTAGAATGGATGCTTGGAGGCATACACATTCTCACAGCCAAAATGCTCTACGAACTCATCGGCGTGGTATGTCTAGATGAATCTTCTCGCACGGGAATTATACCATGCATTCTAACAACCACATCTTCCAGGTCCGTCCAGGCCGCAGCGTCAACGAAATCAAAGAGTCCGTCCTCCTCCATCCGCCCCCATCTCATCCTCATTCTCACTGCGCTCACGCATCTAACCCTTCCCTCCCAGTATCACCCGTACGACCGGCAACATCATCCTCTCGGCCGGCGGCGTCGTCCGCGGCATCACCAACTGGGGCACCTTCACGCTCCCCAACGTCGCACGAAAACAAGGCGCGACGTATCGCGAAGGGCATTATTTCATTCTACGCTTCGATTCGAGCGCCAGAACACAGCACGCCGTGAGAAGGACGTTGGGACTGGATCCGAGAATGATTCGGTACAGTTTGGTGAAGATGGGGAGTAAGTTGGAGGATATTAAGGATGTGGCGGGTAAGGCGGACTGGGGGAGAGCGCCGCGGGTAGGGGAAAATTGAAGAGGGAGACTTGCGAATGAGGAAGACTCGAGGTGGAGAAGACCTGGGGGTGGGAAAGAGAAAGGTGGAGGTCGGGCGAGAGATGGTGTGAGGATGTGAGGGAGTCGTGAAGCAGGAGAATGAGGTGTATGAATATGGGTTTGGATCTGGCATCTGAATTGCATTGGCTGGCGTTTCGGAAGAGGGTATGCCATGTGAAGAGCTGGAAGCAAACGACCGGCTGTGCTTTTCCAGAAGCCTCGAAACCTGCACATCTATGTACTGGAGAGTATGGACTCTCATGGTACGGAGTCGAAGATGCATATGTCAAGAAGACATTCATTATGCTACGATGTGGATCGGCGGGCATTGCTGTCGCAAGATGAACCTACACCATCGAATTCAAAGCAATTTTCTGAAAAGTTACCCGAATCCAGACGATCGAGCCAGCGCGGGTTCCGAATTTCTCTTCTCGACGCTGAGGCGCAGGCGATGCAACTTTGCCACATATGACGAGTGTGATAAGACGGAGACGAAGAAATGTCAGAAGTGCGCAGAACGACGCAGATGATTGTGTGGAGCCTTTCCTGTCACCCATCCTGTGGAAGCATATTCCCGGGCAATCATGTGCAACACCCTCTAAACTACCCACTGATAAATTCTACAGCCTTCGTCCTCGCGGCATAGTTACGTGTATGCTCGCTGTAATAGCTGAGCGAGGCGCTCGGTACGAAAGTAAGTTCGCCATTTCGTTGTGGAGGTGCAATGACCGGGAATCTCAGTGAAGCAGCCGTCGTCAGTTTACCATGCCTCGATGTTCCTAGATCCGAAACCAAACTAGCTACGGACAGTGCAATGCAGTAGTGGTTTGTCTGGACGTCTGAGCTCTGCATAGACGCTAAACAAATGAGTGGCTCCACAGCACATGCTGCTTGGAGCAGCATCATTATTCTGTCTGATAAGCGATATTGTGGGTGCATGCTCAGCTTGCATCGCCTAGCCGAAGCTCCGGATATTGGACTTGCTTCGCAGCAGCTTGGACCATGTCGCGCAGAAAGCCATTTTGAATCCAAAAAGTGCCGCTGAAATCCATGTCGTACCAGTAATTCACGGCGCAGGAAAAGTCCTCCCCACCGGTGCTCTGCGCAACTTTATGATACCACATCGCAGGCAAGTACATCATGTCCCCTTCCTCGAGGGTCACGTGCAGAGGCTTCGCAAATCTGGAGTATGCCGTGGCTCTCGCCTTCGGCTCATCTGGGTCCCATATGGGGGTTGGTATCGGTTCACCTGCGGGGTCGAGTCGCGGTTTCAATTCGACCTGGAGTGCATCTTCATCAGAGACAGGCTGATATCTCGCAAATCGAATCGGAGTTTCGTTGACGCAGGGCATCTCGACCGGAGACAGCAGAGTGAAGTGTTTCTGTCCTCGGATTTGGACATAGATGTTTTCGTAGTTGTCTCTGTGCAGTGCTGTGACGGATCTCTCGTTGCCGAGCCAGAAATTCACGGCATCTGGTTCTAGATTCAAGGCTGTGCTGGCAAAGTTGATGTCGTTGGGCACATCGTGGAAGAGAGCTGCATACTCGTCACGCAGATTGTCGTTTTCTAATCTACTGGTCAGCGCGGTGTGGGACTCGATCTACGTCTGGTCATGGTTATTGGCAGCAATACGCACGAGTCTGGCAATACCGAACATTCCTGTTTTTCCGCTCCTGCTCGGAAAACCCGGCATCGGCTTGAACATGGTCCAAAAAGTCGTCAAACGTCTCACTCTTCTCATATGGTTCCACCAACATCAAATGTCCTCCTCGCTCATCTTCCACCACGCCGTCTGCATTTCTGTGACATGAAACTTCAGCTCACAAGGATCACCGTCACAGCATCACACAGAATCAAACCACACAACATTGTTTGCAGGCGGAGTTGTTTTAGCGAGAAAATCAACCTACCCGGTCGGTGTGATGGCCACGCGCACGTGTCGACCAATCATGACCTGTCGCAGATATGCACTGTTCCAGGCGTGTACAGCTCGCCAGTGGCCAGCACCCTTGCGCACCACGAAGGGTCTATTCTTGGCGACATAGTGCATCATTTGCAACGGGGTAGGCTCAGCAGTAAGCTCATCGACGACAGCAGGATTTAGCGCGTGGTAGGCCTGGATGAGGCTTCGTATGGGATCACTGTCATCACTGTCATCTTCATCCTCAGCCTCTTCTTCTGCCGTTTGCTCTTCTTCTTCTTGTTTCTGTTCTTGAGCTTCTTGTTCTTGGTCGCGGCTGTCGAGGAGTGTGGCCATCCTTGCAAGTCCTCGTTAAGATTTCAGCTTGTCTAGGGAGCCGGTGTATATAGTCCTGTAGGTGCGAGCAGGGAATAAGATTGCTTTCCTGGCGGTTGGTCTCAGCGCTCGTGGTGCTCGTGGAGCACGTTTCATCCCATCATCGTTGGGACACGATTGCGCAGCAACACGGTATGTGCGTATGCACAATATGAGGCTTGGACGGTGGTGAGGCCAAGCAAGCAAGATGCGGAAAACCAAAAAAAAAGGTCCAGTCGGCGAGGCCGAGTGTACGGCGATTAACTTCTCTTATATATGAGGGCAGATCGCACGCCGGTCGTGGTAAGGCGTGGCTGGGCTGGAACGGCGAGAAGAGAACTAAGCTAAAACCAAGGAGTGCTTAGAGTGATACATGCTGGAAGAGCTGCGCTTGACCACCAATATTCACTAGTTCTACAACAAGTACCTAACCTTCTGGGACTACCGAGCCTACCGTCACTTGGGCTATCGTAGCCGGGGCGGTGCTCTTATTTCTCGATATGGACGATTTTGTTGGCTTTCTGTACAGGGTAAGCCTTGCCCCCCGCCCAGCTCTTGCTTTGCTGCACCTGCACAGTGCACACAATGCCAGTCTTGCCAGATCGCAGTCATCGCACCTCTGCCTCATGTACATGATATCCGCACACAACATGCGAGTGACTGCGCTGGCCGACGACGACGACCACCACCACCCCCTTCTTTCCGCCGCCTTCACCTCCACCGCCCCCGCCGGCCCTCCAAGATGAAGCGTGCTCGAAGCCCCGATGCGCCCCCCAAGAGGGCCGATATGGGCGCTCCCATGCGCCATTCCAGCATGACTGGCTCATATCGCAAGGTGCCCCCTATGCTGGTCTACACTTCGCCCGCCGCCAGCACCGCTCCTCCTTTTGGCGGCGGCGGACAGCGTCCAGCGACCACCTTGCCGCTCAACTTGGTCGCGCACATTGTCTCGTACCTGGACGACGTGGGGGATATCGCAAGAGTCACGCGGTCTTGCAGATTGTTGTATTACATGACTCTGCCGCAGCTGTACCGGCGTGTTACTCTGCATTCGTACGGGGAGATGCGCTATGTCAACGGGCGACCGGAGGGTTTTGGGAGCGGAAGCCCCTTCATGATGGGATTGAATGGGCTGACAACAAGAGGGCATGCTGCTTTGGTGGAGGAATTCCGGCTATGGGTGAGTCGAGGAGGATTGGGAGAGCCGGTCATGATGATGACGACGATGACAATGACGATAATGATGAGGAAGAAGAAGAAGAATGCGGACACTGATCCATCGAATAGGGCAAATGGCAGGAGACGGGCGTGGAAGACTTTGCAAAGGGCAGAATTCCTGACAGTTCGATGATGCTGAACATTATCCTTCGCGCTGCGACAGATAAGATGACGAAGCTGAAGTCTTTCTGCTGGGAGCTGGAATGCAAGCCGCTCAAGACCTTATACCTAGGGCTGGCCTCACACACCAATCTCACCAGTCTCACTCTGAAGTTCCCCTCGGTGCGAGTTCCGCGGCCATCTGTGCTCGTCCCAGCCATGACGAATCTGCGAGTGTTCAAGGCTCTCGATATCGATCCTCTATGTTATCCGGATGACATCAGCCTGCTCATGCTCCAGAGCAAGAAGCTGGAGGATGTGCGCTTGCACTTCTCCCCACGAATGCGAGCTGAGGCGGAGTCCATCATAAATTTCAATACCTACTTTGGACGATGCCACAAAGCCAATTATCGGCTGAATATCAAGCACTTCGCGTTACAGAACTGGTTTGGACCTAATGTGCTTGGTCTAGATGCGATTTTCGACCCGGATGTTTGCAAGAGCGTCACCTTTCTGGACTCGTTCGTTGGAAACGATCCCCGGACCGTCTTTGTAGACGACACATGGAAGGATGTTCCACCAGATTTGGCGGTAACATTCGAACGTGTGCGATGCAACGAATTGTCCCTACAGCACATCAAGGTTATACAGAACGCCAAAGTTGGCCTGAAATATGTGTACTTGCCGAGCAACGCGCACCGCCAGCGAACGGGCTTCACGCCCTCTTCGAACGGGAACTCTGCGAGTCCGCATACGCCTAGCGTCGAGACGACACCGCTCACGCCTTACGATCCGTTGAAAGACGCGGATTGGGTGGCATTGGGGAAAGAGTATCTCCATGTTCTTGGACGAAAGCACGGGGCTACGCTGAAGCACTTGCTCCTCAGTGACTCATGGGCAGTCACGCAAGAGGATTTCGCGGATCTCATCAGCCATTGTCCGCAGCTCGAGCAATTGGGAATCGCAGTGGATAGTGCTGATCACACTGCGTTTCGCCTTCTGACGCCCTCGTTGGTCAACCTACGGTGCTTGCGCATACTCGATAATGAATATCTCCGGCAACACTTTGCTCAATGGACACACGAGCAAAGAATGTGGGTGATGAGCCGAGAAATGGGCAAGCGTCCTCCACGGCACTTGGAATTCATCTGCTTAGCGGACTTTTGCTACAAGATTGGTGGACCCACGGAGATCTTGCTCGAAGACGGATCGGTCGAAGCGGGTCGGGAAATCACCTTGGTTGACAAGAGCGAGGCCATGAAGTACGAGATTTGGCACTTGGACGTTGTGGATCTCACAGTGGACCCGATCGCGCCTTTCACGAAGTGAAGCTTGGCTGCAGAAGCTGCTGCTTTACGCAGCTCTTTCTGGCAAATCACTAGTACTCGCAACCACGCTACTCAATCACAGCAGCTTGCTCGGTATCTGGGAACAGCTTCGACCATCTGCTATGGAGGACCCTGCCATCTTTGATCACAGCGAGCAAGTGCTTCTGCGGCCTCGCCAGGACCTCCACGTCCTCGAGCGGGTTTGCGTTCAAGATGATCAGATCGGCAATGTATCCTTCCTTGATCCGCCCCAGCTTGTCGTCCTGGCGCAGCATGCGTGCGGCATTGACGGTCGCGCTCTGGATGATCTTGAGATTTGACAGACCCGCCTGCTTTCGGAGGGAGAACTCGCTGGCCTGCATGACTTCGAGCGGTCCAAGGAGGTCGGTTCCATAGCACATGGTCACACCGGCCTTGTCGGCGATTTGGATGCTGCGCAGACCCGCTTCCAAGACCTGCAAGTTCTTGGTAGCAATCGATGGCGGTAGGAAAGTCCCGAACTCCTTACTGGCCATGGTCTGATATGTGATCTAACAACTGATCAGCGGTCTGACGACATGGTTCAAAGGCAATCGACTTACCAGGGTGGGAGTTAAGAACACGTTGTGCTTGGCCATCAACTCGGCTGTTGGTTCGTCAATCAGATTGCCGTGCTCGATGCCCAGCACACCGTTCTCGACAGCATTGCGGATGGCGGCTGGAGTGTAGGCGTGCGCAGTCACCCATGTCCCCGAATCGCTGGCGACTTTGGTGAAGGCTCGAATCTCTTCGGGGGTATACTGGAGATTAGTGAGCTTATCCGTCGGCGATACCACTCCTCCCGACAGCATCACTTTCAAGAAATCGGCGCCCTGTCGTAACTCTTCGCGTGCGGCGTGCAGACACTGCTCGACACCATCTGCGATCCTGCCCAGACCTCGCGTGTTGCCCCCACAACACGCATACTCATCGTCCTTGGAAGAGCGCATATCTCCATGCCCACCCGTCTGCGAAATGCCATGTCCGGCAATGAACAGCCTCGGCCCTGGATACAGACCTTCGGCGAGGGCTTCCTTGACGGCCAAGCCCGCGCCACCACAATCACGGATCGTGGTGAAACCGCGCTTCAGAATTTCGCGAGCGAGATATGGCTGACGAAGCAAGGCGGTATCGGGGTGTTGATTCATCGTATCCTTGAGGCCATCCTCTCCCGGCGGAGTGGCCAAGTGTACATGACAGTCGATGAGACCGGGTAATAGAAATCTCCCTTCCAGATTAATCATGGTCATTTGTTCATTATTCGTCCATTTGAACACTTCGTCGTGGGGACCGGTCGGGCCCGAATCCAGTTTCGTCATGCGATGAATGATGCCGTCTTTGATGTCGATGGTGACGTGTTCGTGGAGAGAACCATCTTTGGGATCTATTTTTTCAATCATATCAGTCATAATCTATATATCGGTAATCTCATTTTTTTTCCCCTGATACCTTGTGCTTCTACAGACTACCGTATGTCCTTTGTCTACTCTAAATCAGGGTAAAAAGTAGAAAAGTAAAAATTTAAAAAAAGTAGAAAAGTAGAAAAATAAGTAAAATAACTTACCGATCAATTTCGCATCAATAAGTCGATATCGTTTTCGAGGTATGCTTGTCGTCCAGGGTTTGAGGGGAGGCGCTGGAAGAGAAGGAGGAGGAGGAGTCATTGTCGCGTTGTTGTTGTTGGTATCCGCCTGTGGAGGTATTAGTGGATGTACACCTCTGATGACGATAGTGAGGTGGTCGTCGTCTTCGCGGCGGCGGTGGTGGTGGTGGTGAAGAAGGTTGTTGTTGGCGTTGGCGTTGGCGTTGGTCATTTAATAATCAGAAACTAAAAACTCTCTTAGCTCCTCCTTAATTGTTGTTGTTGTTGTTGTCGCCGGCGGCGGCTCGGGAGGGAGGGAGGGAGGGAGGAAGGTAGGGGAGGACGGACGGGGGGAGAAAAAAATAAAGTGGTCTGTGCGACCGAGGTTTCTGCCGAGATTCTTGTTGTTCTTGTTGTTCTTGTTCTTCTTTTTCTGATTTTCTGATTTTATTTATTGCGTGTATAAGGTATGCACTTTGAGAGGTCTTTTTTTCTTCTTCCTAATTTGATACGGATAAGACGAGAATCCATCCCTGTGTAATGTTTGTTGATGGAGGTACGCCCAAGTTTGGGTGTGATATGAGTGCCGATAAGAAGTGGAACAATACCACGGCCACGCCTAACGTCGGCCAAGCTACGGCCACCATCACCACCACCACCGCTATAACAAACAGTTTTATATCCGTAAGGTAGGTATGCACGTTGCTCGCTTGCCCTATCAGATCTGTAAGTACCTAGTTATCGTCTAGTTGTAGGTGTCAGTCAGTCTTTTTGACAGGTACTCATATTTCACTCAATCTGCCTCCTATAGTCAAGGATTCAAATCAGCTTTATTATCGGAATATTTACAGCATGCTTACAAGTACATGTGACGACGAGAAGAAAGTTCCCATCACGCAGCAGGTCGGCAGCGAAAATGTCGACTATCACCACCACCAACAACAAGGGGTTTCTCTACAGGACGAAGAAGAAGACAAAGCAGCCGAGAAACGAGTCCTACGCAAGATTGATTTGATTGTTCTACCTATGGTTCGTACCTCTTTTGATCGACGAGCCCATGCCAGAAACCACAAAATTCATTCTCCAGCTGACCAATCCCCTTTTTTTCAATAATCAAAACAGATGTGTCTCGTCTTCTTCACACAATACCTCGACAAACAATCCCTCTCCTACGCATCCGTCTACGGTCTCCTCACCGATCTCCATCTCAGCTCGCATCAATTCAGCTGGCTCACGAGCTGCTTCTATCTCGCCCAACTCGCTTCCGAAGGGCCCTTTATTTATCTCATGAGTCGCTTCCCCATTGCCAAATTTGTGGCGCTCACCGTCATTGTATGGGGTGGTGTGTGCATGTGTTTGGCTGCGCCGCAGAATTTTGCCGGGTTTGCTGCTGTGCGCTGTCTCCTGGGGTTTGCAGAGGGCGCGGTGAGTCCGGCGTTTATTACTATTACGTCGATTTGGTATAAAAAGGATGAACATCCTTTGCGGGTGGGCATGTGGGTAGGTTTTGATTTTTTTTTTTTTTTTTTTTTTTTTTTCTTATTTTTGATTTTCCATTATATTATCAATATATGAGAAAGGGAAAAAATTGTTCATCCTCTCCAACAGAATTGAGTGATTTATGCTTGCTTTGCTAATTCATGTCGTAAAATTAGGTAACATGCAACGGACTGGCCCAAATCGTCGGCTCCTTAATGATGTATGGAATCGGCGAACATCTCAACCATCTCAGTCTCGCGCCCTGGCGAATCATGTTCCTCGTCTGCGGCGCCATCACCATTTTCGCAGGAATTCTCTTCTTCTGCGCCATGCCCTCAGGCCCGGACACAGCCTGGTTCCTCACGCCCTCCGAACGCAAAATCGCCTCCCAAAGACTCTTCTCCCAACACGACGGCGGCGACAAAACTTCTTTTTCCCTGCAACAATTCTCCGAAGCCTTTTTCGACTGCAAAACTTTCCACGTCTTCCTCTTCGGTCTCCTCGTCACTTTTAGCTCTCCCGTCCTCACATTCGCGAGTCTCGTCATTAAAAATCTCGGCTACACTCCCTCGCAAACTCTCCTCTACGGCTCTCCCTCGGGAGCCATCCAAATCCTCTTCATCTGGCTCGGAATCGCAGGCTGCATACAATTCCCTCAGCGCCGCAATCTCATCGTTCTCCTCCTCTGCATCGTCCCCTTGACGGGTTGTATCCTCCTCACCATTCTCCCTCCATTATCCAGCGGCTGGGGAATCATCATCGCGAGTTGGCTCGCATCAGTCATTAGTTCGCAATTCAGTATTCTCATGTCATTATCCGCGAGTAATGTACGAGGAAATACGAAAAAAGCTTGCGTCAATGCCGTGTTTTTTGTCGGGTATAGTACGGGGTGTATTGCGGCGCCGCAGTTGTGGACGCAGCCGCCGAGATATCGCGCTGGTGTGATTTGTGCGCTGGTGGATTGGGGTTTGGTGTATTTGGTTGTGCCGAGTTATTGGTATTTGTGTTGGAGAGATAATCGGCAGAGGGAACGAGAGGGGGGAGATGGGAATGGAGGAGGGTTTGAGGAGGGTGCGGATCGGACTGATAAGGAGGATCGGTCGTTTCGGTATACGACGTAGATATATATCTCTACATGTGGATGTGCTTTTTTCTCTTTTCTGGTGGTTGTTCAGAAATCAACCTCCTTTGTCTTGATGGTGCCATAACAGCAGCATCATCATCATCACTCTTCAACAGCATCTTGATGAGACTTGAGCAGCAAATGTGCCTTGTTGTTGTTTTTGTAACATGTACAAATTGACCACGCTGCTATAGGATATATTCATAGCCTCTCTCCTCTTCTCCTCTACCTTTGTTTGATAAAATAAATCAAGCTAAGTAGTACATAGATACGCCCGATGAAGCTTGCGTGCGCGTGCGTGCGTGCATGGTAGTCAAGATGGCAGCAGCACCCACCAACTTTTCCTCCTGTGCACCTTTGACGACCTCTCTCTTTCTCTACCCCCCCCCCCCCCCCCCCCCCCACCTTCTCTCCCTCTTTCTTCCTCCCCCTCCCCCTCTCCCCTCTCTTTCAAAAGAGCACAACCACTAAACTAGATACTAGAGTTACACTGGGTAAGGAGTGTCCAACCGAACCTTTCTTTTGAAAAGAGAAAACCCCCCCCTCTCCCGCCCAAAAAAACTTTGACTAGAGCCCTGCCGTGTGGGTATTCCGAAATTCGTGTCCATAAAAAGGAAGAAGAAAAAAAAAGAAGAAGAAAGAAGACGAAGAAGAAGCCAAAGAACAAAAGTTTGCCACCCCCCTGACTGCCCTTTGCTGGTCCTGTTCCTGTTCTGTTGCGCGTCCCATTTTTCTCTCTTCCCATTCATTACCGTTTACCATGATAGTACATATTGAACCAGCCGTTACGTTAATACATCGCACTCGCTGCTCTCGGGGGGACAGTAAATCTGTCAGTCTCGGAACAGACCACGAGTTTTCTCTTCCATATCCGCGCAAAGTGCGCCTTCGACATGATCCATTTTCCTCCGCAGGTTATTGAGCAATTTGGTAGCCTTCAAATGGTTTTCGCCGCTATACGCTGGGTGAGCACGCATCGCACGCTCCAACTTTTCAAAGGTGACGTATGGGTTTCGGCTTTTGGAATGAGGCCTCAAATGTGTTCGGTAATGGTCTGCGGCGTTGTCGGAACGTCCCATACGCGCCTTGCAAGGTGCAAGAACACATGGAAAAGGCCGCGCAGCTGTGTGCGAAAGCTCATGGCGCTTGAGGTGCTCTGCGCGATCGAACCTGGCAGAGCATGCGTTGCCGTCCTTGTCCTTAACAGGCTGACCGTCCTCGTCCGTCACACGGCACTTGTGGGGCTTCCCATTACTGGGGCCTTGAGGAAGAGTGACAGCTCGACCAGTCACGGCGTCAAATCTGAGGGAAAACGGCTTTCCTTCCAAGCGGACATCGAAGTGCGGTGTGCTATACTTACCAAACTCTCTGCCAGAAGCAATAGACTTTCGCACCTTCTTGGAGTGGCGCCTTTGAACCGGACTCTGTTGATGGCCACGGTATGTTGATTCGGATGCCCTGGAACCACGGTATGTTGATTCCGATGACCTGGAAGGAGTCTTTGTGAGCTCTTCCTTCACAAACACATAGTTGTCGTCCGTGGTAACCATATAGGCGTCGTCTGGACTCTCTGGTCCAACATATTGGTAGTCACTATGGTGGGAGCCGTTCGAAGTGAAACTTTCGCCGAAGCCATGAACCATGTCATCATTTTGGCTGTAGTCATAATGCTCCATTGGAAAGTCCTGGGGACCCAGTTCCGACGGAACGACGGTTGGTGGAAGCTGGGAGAAGGATCCACCAGTATACGTACTGGGATTGTACTCTGAAAAGGGAGAGTGATCTAAAGATCCTACAATCGAAGTCGACGGGTTACCGTACATGGACTGTGAAGCCACGTGCTGATCAAGACCCTGTGTGAAGCCGTGCTGCACGGTCGCGCCGAATGGTTCCGGTTGCCAGGCATCGTTGCGTATTGGCGACGTTGTTGACATCTGCATAGACATCTTCGATGCACTGTTTGGTAGCCCATGCGTCGCAAACGCCGTGCTGTACATGGGAAGCGCACAAGTCGACGGCAGGTGGCCAGGTATGGCGGCGGCCATATCAGCAGAGTCGGACCAATGCCCAAAGTCCTCGGTAGAGTTCACCATGGAATGTACAGGTGTTGGCGGTTGTGAGAAGCTCGAGATTGAAGACGGCCCAGAATGCTCAGACTGGAGCGAGCAAGCATTCGAAGGCCGCCTTGAATCTTGCGCAGCTGCTGATGGTGGTGTGAGAGGCCATCCATTGAAAGAGTTGTGTGTCGAGTCCGGCTTCTGATCGTGGATGCTACTTGTGTCGATGCCAGGCACGACGATGCCGCGACCTGTGCGAGTTGGAGTGGTGTGGTTTGACATGGCGTAAACTGCGCAACACAATCAGCATAGTGTTCATCAACGCCATTGTCCATGTGAGTCGACACACAAGACAAGTACCTCCGTATGACCCAAGTAAATATTGTACAGATGACCTTGATCGATGAGAAAGAGTGTACTCAGGAGTAGATGGGGAAAGGATGTGGCTTTTAGAGTTTGAGGCGTCTGGCATGGGCACAACTGTCTGGGGCAGGCTATCGGGAGACTGACCACAGTACAACGGCAGCTTTACGCTGTCTCTCGAGTGCTCGTGGAACGACGAAAGGTATAGCAATGCTAGGGTGGCACGAAGAAGGTGGCCTGGGCAACGCTCTGTATGGTCCAGTCAGCCGTGGTCGAATGCAAAGGTAAATGCCAGGTACCACCACCCCGACCTCGTCTCTACTGACCTAATCTCCAGCAGTTGAGCTCCGGATTGTTGCAGGCTATGCAAGGGGTTCGGACTCGTCTTTGAACGGGAGACTTTTCTTCACACGGTTTCTAAAACTCGCAAGGTATGATTTTCTGCAACGACGAAGCCCGGGACCTTGCTGAGAATAAGTATTTGTGCGGCCCCAGCTGATGAGAGATCACGAACTGTCACCTTGCAGGCCAGGTCCTTGTACAGCATAGATACTCCGGCAACTCGGAATAGGTAGCAGAGCGTCAGGGTGGACAGCTCACTGCAACGTCAGTGGTCATGAACGCCTCAGCAATGGAATGCAACTGTACCGGCAAATGCCTTCCTCGACGTGTGCCGTTCTCTCCGATTGTCCACCGAGATCGAGAGACGCTGTGTCGTAAACAATCGGATTCTTTCCTCAACGTTTCCTCATGCGCTCGTCTGCTTCACAGCATTGTTGCGATGTCGATGAAATGATGGTCTTCGAGGCGGTCTGCGAATGCTACCTTGTGGTCGACAGAGCACAGACTGTTTCAAAGACTGATCGAGCAGCGATTGGACCTTTTTTGGCAGATGGTATCCGAGTGGCCAGGTTGGCGGCGCTCACACATCTGCTGCAGTGCGGATCTCGAAGAGGTCCACCTATAGCGCAATGGCTTTGCAACATGAAGAGCGATCCGATATCACTGGCCGGCGTCCAGGCAAGTGGGTTCTCTCGTTCTCCCAGCCGAGGTCAAGGTATGCACGCTGCGACCGGTTTAGGCATCGTAAAGCATTGGTGGCGCCAAACATCTGGAGTTCCCGGTTTCCTGACGATGCCAACCAATCTGCCGTCCCGTCGAAGCACGCGAGATCTCGTCGGACAATGGCATCTGTCACTGCCAGAAGCCGTGGGTCTCATTCGTGGCATATTGGACCTCAGGCTGTCACAAGTCTTTCGATGACTTCTCTTGCTGTAGAGATAGATGTAAGAAGAGCTGGCCATAGGTGGTTGTGATGCCATTTTGCACCGAGTTGATGGAGTGCGTGTGGATACCACTGAGGTTGCACAACCTATGTCGTACACACCCGCTGTCGGCGAATAGATTCATTCTCATAGTGTTAGTTGTAACGCTCGGACACTCCAAATATGTGCCCCAGCGTGGTGTGATCGACATGCACGTACATATGCCCATCTTTTCACACATCACTCTCAAAGAAGTTGAAGGGTGACATTGGAGAATGGTATTGGACTTACTCGCCACTGACAATCTAGACGCCCCGTCTAGACGTCCCAAATATGCACTCCGATCTCTATCGTAATGTCGCGGCAGTCTGCATGGCATCGTGTTCATGCGACTAACCCTATCCGCTGTTATTTCAAGACGTGCGGTCCGCTCACCAAGCGCTGCAAGTGGAACGCTCTGGTCACCATCATCGACTGGAGTGTCCAAATGAATAATCAGCGACGACGTTTCAGGAACCGCATCGTCCATGTTGCTGATCCAGCTCAGGTGGGCACCCATATGCTGGTACAGCCGCACTTAGGTGGAGAGCCGCAATGTTCAGCCTGTGGCCCCGTCTGAGCACGGAGACCCGCAATTCTTGATATATTGACTGTGTGGGCGACACACTGAATGGTGGTGTTCCTGAGGGGGCCGTGTCACATTTGTCGGTGTAACATTAGAGACCGTCTGTCGGTCTGGGCATCGTGAATACTAGTGTCATGCAAGACATAATTGCCTCTGGACGCTGTCGTCCTTCACAAGCTGCATAAGGTACACATGACTCGTGCTCTGCCTACAGTCGGAATGGTGGTAGGAGGTAGGAGGTACCAGTAATAGCAGCTTGATGACAGTATTCGACGTGACAGGGCTTGGCGCATCAGTGGATCGGTGCATGCCCGGTATTCTATTCCGCTGTACTCCACCACCACTTACTGTTATACTGAGGCCTGTCTATGAATGCCCCACGATCTCTTTGATGATCACCATTGAGTGATCTGCCGCCGAATCCACTTCTGCGGCGGCTGTACAAAGGCACAGCATCTCTGTATGATGTGGAGAAAGGACCGAGAAGTGGTTGAGCAAAGGTCTAGCAACTTTTCTGGCATCTACATGGTGCATCGCGAGAGGCTAGTAATAATTCGGTCAGAAGTGCGTAGTATCATGGAACCCTCATATCGCTCGCCATCCAGTCCCGCTCGGAGCCATGCCATGATTCGTGATATCATTCACGGCCCGAAAACCATTCGTGATCGCGGTCTCGGAGTTCGGCAGCGTGCTCACATTTCCGGAGTCTGCCGATGGTGATACCTTAATATCCAGCTCTGGATGTGATCTGACCATTGAGTCTGCTGCGCTGTCGAGTGGCGCATATTCGGGCAGCGCAGCGTCGTCTACTACAGGTGTCTTGGGACCATCACGGCCCTCAACATCAACATCGCTTGCAGGTGCCGGCTCTGATGCGTGGTGGATCTCGACAGTTTCGTCAACATCAACATGGGTCTGCGGATCACGCAGACTGTCCTCCCAGCCTTGCCGCGCAAGTTCCTTTGCGTTGCGCAAGCCCTCCTCGTCCTCTCGGATTTGATTTTCCTGCTCTGCTTTCTCACCAAGAGCCTCCAGGTCCTCGAGAGGGTTGCTATCATCGTCGTCGCTCTCCTCGTTGTGGTCGCCATTGTCGCTGCCATGACCATTGCTGTGGAGTATTCCGTTGGTCGATGCAAACTCTCCTGAAGGTGGATAAGCAAATTCGTTAAATTGGTCTAAAGCTCCGAGCTCATCGCGGGACACATCCCGCCAGTGGCAACGCGCGTGCTTTCTCGTGCAGCCGGCGCACGAAGTCAAATTCTTGACACAATCCATGCGCAATCTACGGCATCGATCGCATGGTGGCATGACTCTGGTCCCGCGAGGGAGACCGTCCATGTGAGCCTGGCAGAGTGGTCGAAATGGCTGACTGCTCTCGAGAGCAGGAGGCAGTGGGCGACTGAAGTTGTGCTTGAGAGGCGTACCGCTACTAGAGTACTGATTCCCATTGCTCATGGAAGGTCGATGCACATGCGTGCTCGTAGTTGCCTGGGTGCCATCGGCAGCGTAGGGAAGGTTATCGTTAAACACGTTGTGAGGCGCAGGTGACACAGAGGACGTGGTAGACATGGCGCCATCATTCTGCGTCACGCTGCTGAGGTCCATGGGCTTTGGGGTCTGTCGTGAGGCATCGATCGCTGTCGCAGAGTGGTTTCTGGCATGTGATTTTGACAGTCCCTGGTTGTGCGGCAAGCTCTCGAAATGGCGCATGAGCTCATTACGAACTGCTGCATTCGATCCCATAGTTGGCTCCACGCTATCAATAGCTGGCTTGCCGTTCGTCGATGTCGAATTGACAGCTACGAAACCAGAAGTCAAGGACGGAGGTGGAGCTGTTGTTGTTTGAGGTGCGGTAGCCTTCGCTGGTGTCCCACTGCCTCCCTCTGCTCTCCTCTCGAGGATCGCAGTACGTCGCCCTTTCAATCTGTGACTGAGCTGTCGTGTGCGCGCTGCGATCATGTCCGCAACATTGGTCAGCTCTTTAAGCTTTACCTCGAGAACATCGCAGGTGGCCACCTCCTTCTCTTCGTCCTCCCATATTGGCAGAGGTGGTATGAGCTCCTGGCAACGTCCGCTGTTGATGAAGAGGAAATCTTCCTCGCTGATCTGCACGCGAAGCTGCTTCTGTGGATAGTAGAACTGGCATACTCTCCTGCCTTCGGAGAAAGTATCGAGTGTGAATTGGCCCGGGTGCGAACGAGCGAATTCAATGACTTCCAACCATGTGATAGTGTGGCTGGTTTCTGCCGGGTCTCCAGTCGCATGTTTGTGGTGACTAGCCACGATCTTTGGAGGCGCATCAAAGCAGCGTTCGAAGCGCTTGATCAGAATGGGCCCGAGAGGTCTGGCACCCAAATTTGAGGCCAATGACTCGTGCCGGTCGAGAATATTGCTGTACGCCGCGAGCAAGTGTATTAGGTTGGGAAGCGTGTCGTCTTTGCTGATAAGTGGCAGGTCGTCAACCGTCTGCCGTGCGAGGTAATTGATGCTCAACTGGCTGCTCGTCTTTGCGACTTTGGCCACGGGCGCGGATATCGAGCTTGTGGACGGGCTGCGCTTGCGCTTGACAGATGCAGCAGCAGCGGTGGCGGCGTCGCCCGACGGGGCGGTGGCGGCGGCGGTGGTGGTGATGATGTCGCCGGCGTCCAGCATGATATGCGGCAGTGGAAGAATTGGTGACCTGAGGACGGGAAAAGGAAAAGGAGGGAGCAGAGGGACGGGATATGGGATGGGAGGAGGGGAGGGGAGGGGAGGGAGGGCGATGGCGCCTTCGCGGCGGCGAGCCGGACGTGGGTGTGGGCACGCAGACGCAGCCTCCGCCCGCTCTGTGGCTCACTGACGGACGGAAGTTGATTCCCTGCCCGGCGGCGTGGGCGCAGGCTGTTGGTGCGGCGCGGACCATCGTGCTGCTGATGGCTGGTGGCTTGATGCCCACTTCTCACGGTGATGACCTACCTGCATCTCTCGGCGACGCGTCTGCTGTCCTGTACGGCAGTGATCATGAATGGGTGTGTGTGATACTGGACGCCCGGCCACAGCTGTGTTCGGGGCAGGTTCAGCGGAATAGGTACCTACACGACGCGATCCCAGATCCTCCCCGCCGCTGCTACGCTGCGTACCGTCGGCCACGGGGCATAAAGTCGATGCATCCTCGACTGCTCCAAGCTGTGTCTGTTCCTCCCGCCGCCCGCCCGCGCTCTCCACCCAGGCCTGTCCACCTGCAGCGACACAGATGTGGTGCCGTCGCATGCACCGGTAAGTTCATGAGGTGGTGATGTGCTGCTGGGCGCCGACAATGTCGCCGACCCGGCAGGTCGCTGGCACGGTGGAGAGGGGACGCGGGAGGAGAGGGTGAAGGTGTCGGCCGCGGGTTGGTTGAGGTGTCCACGGGCTGGTTTGACGGGCAGCAATCATGGAACATGGAGGTGCCAGTGCAGGTGGCCACCACGACTTTCTTGACACAACCTCTCGCGCTGTGTGCCTGGCGCCGGGCAGTGGAGCGCCCACCCATCCCACATAAACTTTGAGCCGCAGCAACGACGTCGCGAGCCCGGACAACCTTGCAGGCCAAGCGTATCAACACCATAGACACCATGGCAGAACGCGGCCAATTCAGAGGCGGCGGACGTGGTCGTGGTGAGGGACGTGGGAGAGGTGGCGGTGGCGGAGATCGGGGAGGTCGTGGTGGCGGACATGCTCCAAATAGCGAGCGGAAAAAGGAAAACATTCTGGATCTTTCAAAGTACCTAGAGAAAGGCATTACCGTCAAGTTCAATGGTGGCCGAGAAGGTATGTGCTCGTCTCAAAAAAGGGTCGTCGTTTGGAATGTTACCTGGTACTAATACGTGGACTACCTACCTAGTGACCGGCACTCTCAAGGGGTTTGACCAGCTGATGAATTTGGTGCTTGACAATGTCAAGGAGACGACGAGAGGTGAGCAGGCGTGATGATTAGGCCGCAAGACATGAGCTGACTCGCTGTGCGATTAGATGAAGAGGGCAACACCAGTACAAGAAACCTCGGTCTGCTAGTAGCCAGAGGAACATTGCTTGTTCTCATCAGCCCAGTGGACGGTAGCGAGGAAATCGCCAACCCATTCGTGCAGGCAGATGTCGACGATGAATGAACAAGGCTATGCAAGAGAATGCGCCAAGTGAGTCTCGAATGCGCTCGCAACACCGGCCACACCATTTCGCGACTCCGGTCTCATCTTCATACCCATCCTTCTCCTGGCCACACGAGGACAGCCGGTTGGCTCTTCTGCTCTGAGCATATCACCGACTGCAGGCTACGAAGGCGCTCAATAACGCCGCGGCCATGCCGGCTCGTCAGGAGTCGGATAGTACCTCCTTTACACAGTTCAAAATAATTCCACAGCACAGGTGGCAGCGCATACAGACTGCTGCCGTCGTTGCCCAAGGTCCACCCGAATCAATTCAAGTGTACTGTTCTTAAACTCACTCCCAACAACGTGGATTCGATCGTACCTTGCCTACCTAAGGTAGGTACCTGGGTAGTGTGCCATACTTCAGAGTCCAGCTAAATTTACTAAGCAATCACCAAACAGCGGAGGCACGCACACCATCTCTGCCTACCTTGTTGTGTACTAATTCGTTCCGCTGCTGTGGTAGAGATGTTGCAAACACATGAGAATCCCATGGATTTATGTCAACCCTAATATAACCCTAATGATGTCTCTCAAATGGAAGCGAGTCAGCGACGACCACGACGTGAATAGGGATAGAGCCCGTCAGTACGAGAACACTGAGATAATAATAACCAGAGGACACAGAATTTATTATGCATGTACTCTCGGGAGATTACTTTGTTGTGATCAAGCAGCACCCAGCTTCAGATTTCTCATTCAAGGATGTTCAAGTACCTATAGCTCGACTATTACCTACCTTATTGATCTGCTTCGTAAATTTACGCCTTGGCATCTTCTCCGCCCGTTTTCTACTTGGAATACTTCTCAATCCAATCTACCAGCAAAGGTTGAACGCGATCGGGACACTCTTCAGGCAAATAATGGCCAAAGCCGTCTGTAATCGGTTCAAATCGCACCTCATCCGCTTTTTCCACCCACTGCGACCAGACTTGTGGAACATTATGCATTCGGCCCAAGTTGGAAGCAGACCATATGACCATTAAGGGAATGGAGACTTTCTTCCCGGCGGCTTGGTCTTTCTTTTGCTCGTCGACATCCTCGAAAGCGCCAGCTGCGTAATCTCCGCAAGAGCCTTCGATGCTTTCGGGGCTGGTGAATTGGTGGCAGTAATGCTCAATGGCATCGTGTTCTTGGAATTTGGCTGTGCCGGCTTCAGAGGCGCCTTTGGAGCGTTCGAGATTCATTTTGGTCCATACTCCATGGCCCATGGCCTCAATCATTCGAGGTGCTGTGGGTGTGGCGAGGAAGGGCCAATGGTAGTAGGCAGCACTTGCAGCTGGGTTTGCGAATACGTCCCATTGTTCTTTGGTGGGAACGATGTCGATGATGATCGCGGAGGTGATTTTGTGTGAGGGGTTGTTGTCTACAATAAGTCGATGTCCGATCCTACCTATGGCGTTTGTCAGCAAGACGACATGGCTGACAGAAAGATGGTTGCGTGCCTCCTCGATCGTGGCCACACCAAATGATCGGCCGAGCCTTTGTAAACACTTGTTGCAAAGCTTCAATGATGAGGTTGCCGACGGTGCGCTTGTCATGCTTCGGCGGCAGCGATGAGAAGCCGTATCCTGGCAGTTCTGGTATGAAGAGCGATGTCTTGTCCTTCAAGTCTGATACCACATGTCGCCACATGTATGAGCTTTGAGGCCAGCCATGGACCATACAGAGGACAGGCCCTGACCCTTGATCATGTGAGAAGCTCTTGATTGTGCCGCCGGAGGACACTTTCGTGATATTCTCTTGTAGGAAAGGATGCAAGGTCTTGATGGTTTTGTCTGCCATTATGATGGTAATTACCTTATTATGGGAATAGCTCAGTCTACCTGCCTCCCTCATGGAAGAAGCAACGGAACGGCTTCCAGGTTGTCCTGAAGTGCTTTGTAATGTAGAAGCTCTTGCGATGACGATAGGTTACCTAAGCAACTAAGGTGCATGTGCATGTTCAGGTAGGTAGGTAGGTGTCTGTATTTTAAGCTTCAATGCATGCGGAGAGTCTGTCCTCGACTCCTCGGAAAGAGGGATGAAAGTCTGCTGCTTTGGACTGGTCTAGACTCCAGAGCTTTTGCAGCATTGGTTCTATTCCTACTATGGATACCAGGTAGAATCCAAAAGGACTAACCTTCAGTGTGGCAGTGTGCTACTACTAACCGCCCTAGGAGTGAGTGAGTGAGTGCGCAGAAATTGCTACTGTACCTGGTACCCAGCAAGGCAAACCAGGCTAATGATGAGTTTCCGAGTACGTTAAGTGGAATGAGGGTCGCACTCAAAATACGGTGCTACAGTAAGGTTATTGTGGTAGGTACCGTATGTAAGTTTGCGTCGCTCAGCTTCGTTCAGAGTTCCGCGGAAGATGCTTCAAGGCGTGAAAGACGAGCATATCTTCGTCAGGTGCCGAGGCCCGCCAACGCAGTGGTTGTTAAGTTGCCGCCGAATCGACCCGGTGTTGACCAGAGGTCTCTGTAAGCTGGGGTGCGAGAGCGTGAACAGGAATAAGAATAAGAATAAGATGGACGATCGGCAAGCCAAGGAGTCGTGCAAGCATACCGCTCACAAGTGGTTCTTTTCGCTTCGTTCATCCGAAGTCCGAGTGTGCGAAAAAGATGAGGGTCATCTCCGTACCAAGCTGCTTGGCTGCAGTCTCAAGTGCGTGTTCCATGTGCTTTTCGGTTTGGAGTTGATGATGACTAGTTGACTAAAGTACTGTATACATAAGGTACGGGTACAATGGATGTACTTGCATACTGCTATCCTCCACACTGCACACTGCACAGCACTACTAGGTAGTGCATGGATTGCCCCTCGTGCTGGCCGGCACGCGGGATCTTTTTTCACGGGACCCTGGAAGCTTAATTTCGCGCCTGCCATCGCCCATCTTGTGGGTCCACTGGGTCGGTCGGCGGTCGCACGGTCGAGCCTGCCTCCGCGCTCGCTGGGAGCCACTGCCACTGCATCATCCATGCTTCGTTCACCTCTCGACATACTCCCACCACCACTTCCAAACCACTTTCGCACCCTCCGCTGTACCGGTCTTCACTTGCGACGCTCCCACATCAACCCACCTACACACCTACACATCCATACACACACACACACACATGCGCCCACTTCGCCCGCCGATACTCCTGATCTGACGCATTCGCGGCGCTCGATGTGGCCGCCGTGAGGAAACCACGGGCGCCACGCCAAGCCAAGCCTTCGCTCAGCATCATTACGAAGACACCGACTCGACCCATGTTTCAAGGCGGAGCGCATCTCGAACCGCGCCAGCTATGGGATCTTCCCACGATGACCACCAGCACCGATGACCAGGCGCACTGCACGCCGTTCACCCTCCCTTCGAACGGCGTGCTGTCGCTGGCAAATGACGCCGCCATCACCCTCACTACCGATGTCATCTTCCAGCCCGAGTGCACTGGCACGCGAGCCGGCGATGTCTTCACCGTCGACCACCTGAGAGACCCATTCTACGCGTCCACCATACCGATGGTGTATGTCGTGAGCGCGGCGACTGTGATTGCATGGATCCTGGTGGTCATGCTCACCATTACACCGAGGACTGGCTTCTTCGGCGCCCCCGGTGCGCCTGCATTTAGCAATGGACGAGGTATAATAGGCGGCGCGAACGGTGGTGTTCTGGGCGTGACAGGAACAGGATCGAGACCGTGGTTACAAAAAGTTGCAGCACTGGCTGTTGCCATATCTCTTACCATAGCCTCCGCGGATACTCTGGAAGTGGCAGAAAATCAATACTCCATGGGCTTTTCAGATGCTGCGCTTCTGCGGAAAGCTGTTCTGGGCTCCCTCGAGATTCGGATCACTCGCGTTATATCGGACATCTTCCTCTGGCTCGCACAGGTTCAGACGTTGATCAGGCTCTTCCCTCGACATCGCGAAAAGGTGCTCATCAAATGGATAGGATTCGTGCTGATCTTGCTCGACACTATTTTCTCATGCCTAAACTCCTTCTACAGTGTCAACGTCCTTAACGGCAGGAACATCGTTGATGCGATTCCTGCTCTGTCATATCTGTTCGAGCTAGCGCTGGGCCTGCTGTACGCCGCATGGGTCCTATACTACTCACTGACGAAAAGGCGATATGCCTTCTACCATTCCAAGATGCGAAACATACTGCTAATCGCGATTATCTCTATTGTATCTATACTTACGCCGGTCGTCTTCTTCATAACTGATGTTGCCAACGAAGATGTGGCTGGTTGGGGCGACTACTTCCGCTGGGTTGGAGCTGCTGCTGCTAGTGTCATAGTCTGGGAGTGGGTGGAAAGGATAGAGGCACTCGAGCGAGACGACAAAAAGGATGGTATCTTGGGGAGAGAGATCTTTGATGGAGACGAGATGGTCGACGTGATGCCGGAAGAAAACGTAGCATGGACCGAGTCCCGCAATTTGAGGCGAAACTTCCGGAGACGACGAGACGACGATCCAAATGGCGGTGGTAACATGTCCACTACTGTGGAGCGAGGGCACGGCTTGAATGGTGTCACTCAGCGGTTCCGGTCAAGGCATCAGCAGTCACCTTCTCACTTTCCCCTCGGACGGGCACACAACGAGTCCGTCCTGACCAGCAATGACAATCTCCGACCTGGAAATGGTCTTGCGATGCAGCAGCCGCCGCACGATTCCTCTGTCCTTGGAGGTCCGACGCCACCGCCCCAGGTCGCCAGTCCCATAAGCAGGGCTGATACGACGAGTGCAGCCAGCACTTTATATGTGGTCCGATATCACCCGATCGCGGATGTGCCGCAGCCGATACGAAGAAGAGCAAACGCAGACCGCAGCGGCGCAGCCGGACAAGGGGATCAACCACGAGGATTGCAGAACCGAGAGCTAGGCGTGAAAGATGTAGCGGATGTTGATGATGACGAGATCCGACCCAATGTGCAGCGCGGTAACAACAGGTTATGGAATGCGGTGTCCAATCCCTTCAAGCGGAAACGCACTTCACCGCCTACAGAAGTACAAAAAGCACGGCAGGCAGCCGGCCAGAGGGTGTCTACACCTGGCAAGGAACCTCCACGATGGGACTTGCGGAACCGCAAAGGTACCAAGGCGCCGGAGACTGGCACGGAAAGCAGACAGGAGGCGGAACTCCCAGTCACTGTCATTCCCGCACAACCTCGAGGCGGTCATCGCACGTGGAGTTCAGTTGACCAGACACCTGCGACAACACCTTTACAGCTCGTATACAGGCAAGATCCACCTGGCTCTAAGGGAACGGGTTCAACGACGTTGACTGCAAATAGCCAGTCGAATAGATGGGCGCCAGCCTCCAGTCAGCCAGACGGCAGCTCAGTCCGACTGCCCGACACTGGTTCTGCTGTAGTGCCATCATCTCAGATGTCTGTCGGCGGGACTGGACCTCCTCGCGCTGATGACATTTCTCCAGTGAATGGTCGCAATGCAGGGACCATTGTTGTTCCAGCTCCCCCGAGACGGACCCCTTCACATCAGACACCACCCCTTAGAACTGGAGTTACGCCTAGCTCGAGCAGACATACACCGCCTAACGACGTTCAGCCTGCTCCGCCTGACGAGTAGGGCACGCTGGGAATGGCGATTATGACTCTCGTTTTATTTGATGGTTTAGCGTGGCGCTGGTGGTATACCCATTGCTCAAGTTAGGAGACAGCATCGTTATGAGAAAGACCTTCTGGCCCAATGACCGGCCTCATTCGCGGAGCGGAGGTATTCATCGTGGATATAGATATCCACATCTGTATATAGGTCAACATAATGAGACGACTCGAAAGGCTGCCCTCACCAGCAGGTGCGCATTCCGAGGACTTCGACAGATCTCATCCTGATTCGCAGTCATTTTCTCTGTCGGGATGTAAGTCAAACACCATTTCACGGATTTCGGACGCAGCAGCAGTCCGGGGCCGACTGCCCGTGTGAAACTAGACGTATCTGTTGTGGTTCCACACGTACATGTACAACCTAGGGCAGCGCAGCTTACATACCTACAGAAACTAGTGCTTGGCCACCACCATCGGAGGCTGGATGCTGACTTTCTGCTTTCTGGCGGACAAGATAGCGGTCTTTCGCGCATCGGAGTGTGTACCTAGGTATACCTATGTACTTATTACCTAGGTCCTACAGTACACCAGTAGGTACATACCTTAGGTATCCGGTACTAGTATAGGGATGAGCGGGCCGTTTGTTCTCTTGAGCCTTGAAGCCGTGAGATTTTGCTAAAAGTAAGGGTAGGTAAGGTACCCTTGCAAACTGCTAGGATACCCCAGGTTGGATACCGTAGTCTGGTCAGACTGGTCTCACACGCTCCGATGCGTGAAGACGTTTGTAGGGCGTTAGACTCGATGTGATGTATACTGCGAAGACGGGAGCTTACGATTGGGTCGCCAGACTAGACTCGTTGTTTGATGCCGTTTATGATTTAGTACCTCTTAGGTACATCATTAGGCCTCGTCTACTCTGTCGATATGTCGATAGTTAAATTGTCGATAGTTGTCGGAAATTATCGTCAGCGTCCATCTGTCGATAGTAACGATAGCTGAGTAGACACCTGTCAATAGTTCTATAGGGATACCCTTGTCTCCGCGCCGTCGTCGCCGTAGAACCCACTGTATTGCCGCCTTGGCTAATTTAACACACTATCATCCGAGACGTGTCGTACCTCCTACGTGTCGTTCTATTCATCTCTATCCAGACGCGTCGTATCGGCCGAGTTCTACTATTATATCTATTTTATTTTATCTACCTCTTTCCAGCTGTTGCTATTATATCACAATGCCGCCTATGCCGCCAAGCGCTACCAAGAAGCCCCGAGGCGTCAAAAAAACGAGAACCGCGACTCAAACGAAGGCCGCTGCAAAGCGTAAAGCGATACGCGACGCGAAGAAGGCAAAGGACATACCAAAATACCCCGAATTATCGCGGTACGAGGACACTCATATCGACTTCTTCTTGAGGCGTTTGATCGATTCCAAGGCCAAACAGACACATGGAAAGAACTTCCGTAGCAGTGATCTACTGGCGATCGCGTTAGTAATGCGCGAAGAGTTCAAAATTCACTTTACTAGCGAATCTTTGAAGGCCAAATGGCAGAACGATATCAAGCCGACTTGGGGTATTTGGCTACGACACCTATCACATGCTTCTGGTTACAATGGCCCTCCAGATAGAGCACCAACCGCTGTCGCTGCCGCTAGGGAAGCGCACGAGGCAGCGTACCCCGAGTGCCATCGGTTTATGGACGGTACTGAGCCGCAATGGAAGCACTATATGGAAGAGCTCGTCGGTGATGAGATGGCAACTGGTGACGAAGCTGCTACTGCCGCAGATCTCGTCGCTCCGCAGGAGGACGCAGATACTATGGTTATCGACGATTCGAGTACGGATTCGGACAACGACGACGACGTTGACCTAGACGAGCTGTCAGATATTGAGCGTAGTGCGATCGTCGCACGGCGAGCTGAGAAGGAACATATACGGGCCAAGAAGAGAGCAGAAGCGGACGCTGCGAAGAAACGAGTACACCGCGTTGCTGCCGCTGAGAAACTACAGTCTACAGCAGCCCAAAAAGCACTTGAGCCGTTCAACAGGACACTTGCCGAGTATCTGAAAACCCAGGAGATTCGTGCTACGCTACCGCCGCCGCGGCAGAAGAGCGATATGGAGCTCCTGTCGGATAGAGTGTTAGACGCGACCTTCTTACCTATGCTTACGTTCGACCGGAAGATGGAGGTGTTGGATTGGGTTGGGCCCGAAGCATATCGTGTTAGTATTGGTATGTCGCTGCTAGCCGTAGGAAGAGAGAAGGAACTGGAAAACTTCGTTCAAGGTGCGCTCTCGAGACTCGACCGGCCGGCGCAGATGCCAGAGCGTTTCGTCCACGACTCTAGGACGCAGCCGTCGTCGTATGGGTATCCGCATACACCATACAATCAAGATCTACTTCCAGAGGGGCGTCGGTGGTAATGTAGAAGCAGAAGAAGAGATACTAATTCGAAGCGGAAGAAGAGATAATAATGTATAATACAGCTCGATCGATATTCCTATACTACTGTCGCCGCTACTGTCGCCGCTGCTCCTGCTTATATCTCTCTATGGAGATATAGCTACTGCTCTCCTTCCTTGCCCCATATGCTCAACGATCTCATTACCTACAAGTCCATTAACTACCGCGGCCTCGAAAATCTCAATCATTGCCTCCAGCGACTCGACGACGCACCGTCCAATCGGCCCATCCCTTACATATACTGTTGCCCTCTGCCTTGAAGTGTAGCTCCTAAGAAGAAATTGAACCACCGCCATACCCTGAAGTGCGATAATCCTTGTCGTTCCTCTCGTTATATCTTGTTCAGCCACTCCACCTGTGGAATAGATATGCCAGTGTCCTTGGAGTTTCATTACCAGTACACAATGCCATTGGTTGGAGGCATTGGCTATACCATATGATTGGTATTGGCTGGCGCAAAGAAATACCCGTGGGATATCGGCTCTTTGATGTTGTAAGGCCGGCTTCATTACTGACCACACCGATGCCCCAGGTGCAACGCCATATCGTTGGCGATCGTTGGCGTTTTTAAAACAGAGCACACTCTGGGTAACGAGAAGGACAGGGGTTTCTTCTGTTGGTAGGACGTCCAGGAATTCCCTCAATGGCCTAACGGCTACCAGCCATACTGAGCAGTCGTCATCATGCTGGACCAACGCTATTGCTGTACGCGCTGTCTGTACAAGGGCAACGGCCATAGTGTGTGGTGTGTGGTGGGTGGTGTGTGGTGTGTGGTGGGTGGTGGGTGGTGGGTAGTGTGTGGTAGGTAGTGGGTGGTGGGTGGTAGGTGGTAGGTAGTGGGTGGTGGGTGGTAGGTGGTATGTGGTGGGTAGTAGGTGGTGGGTAGTGTGTGGTGTGTGGTGTGTAGTGTGTGGTGTGTGGTGTGTGGTATGTGGTGTATGGTGTAGTGAGGTATGTGGTGTAGTGAAGTGAGGTTATAGCGAGCATCTCTACAGAAGTAGAGGGATATATAGCTGCTACAGGTCAATACGAAGAGACAATAGCGATACTATAAGACAATGAGCGAGATAAAAATACTATAAGTGAACAATGGTTCCTTTCAAGTATAGAGAAAACCCCCTTTGTCGTAAATCGATCGATAAAGTATTATTTCTTATAGTATAATGGAGGAACCTGGGCACCATTGTTTTCCTATGTTGTACGCGCGAATCGTGCGATCAAAATGGTCTACTTAGTATCTCGCTAGGTCGACGACAACTTGTAATATATATATATCTCTCTCTTTTCGAGGTCGATCGATCGATATAGTAATATATTAGGTACTAGAATGGAGGAACCTAGGCAGTATTATTTTCCCATGTTGTGCGCGCGAATCGTACGATCAAAATGGTCTACTTGCTATCTCGTTGGGTTAACGACAACTTATAATATATATATATCTCTCTAGTTTGGTCAAGTGAAGTATGGATGTTTGATTGGAATCTAGCTATTCTCGGCGAAGGTCGTGTAGCCTTGGCAGTATACACCTCCC